AATCTTTACCTTCATTCAGCACTTGTTAAATCGAGGAATGTTGACAGGAAGAATGTTCAGAAGGTCAAAGAAGCGAATTATTATTTTCTCATTGAGGCTTGTATCGCTCTGTTTATCTCGTTTATTATCAATGTGTTTGTTGTGAGTGTTTTTGCTCATGGTCTTTATGGGAAGACAAATGATGATATTATTGCTGATTGTCAAAACGTGACATCTCTAATTGACGAAGCAAAAGAAATTTTCCAAGGTGACACTCTCGATGTTAATATTTACAAAGGTGGAATCTTTCTTGGATGTAGCTTTGGAGTAGCGGCAATGTACATTTGGGCAATTGGAATTCTTGCTGCTGGTCAAAGCTCAACAATGACAGGAACTTATAGCGGTCAGTTTGCAATGGAAGGATTTCTTAATCTTAAATGGGCTCGATGGCAACGAGTTCTTGTGACAAGAACAATTGCTGTGTTACCAACATTCTATGTTGCTTTCTTTAGTGAAATTGGAGAAGTTACGAAAATGAATGATTATTTAAATGCTGTAATGGTAAGTTCGGCGTTTTATTCTTTTGATAGAAAGTTCATAACAAGTTTTACAGGCACTTCAATTACCATTCGCCACAATACCAACAATTGCTTTCTCATCTTCCAAAGCCATTATGGGCGAATTTGCGAATGGATTTGTGAACAGATTTATTGCAATTCTTCTCAGTGTTATCGTTATTGGTATTAACATTTTCTTTGTTATCAATCAAGTAAATCAAGCGAATTTATCTGCGGGATGGATAACTTTTGTTGGTGAGTCAAATAATCAAAAGTCGTTTCATTTCGTTTCTTTAATCATGAAAAAATATTCTTAATGAATTTCCAGTGATATTTGCACTTGCGTACATAGCTTTCAACATCTACTTAGTGATTCACATGTGCTGTTCGATTGGAAGTTCACGTTTATCGCAATATCATTTCGTTCAAAAATATGTCTTAAAAAATCCTTCTTTATTGCTCGATTCAGTGAATCCCAATTCCTACTCGAGGTAAGATTCGTTGGGTTGTTTCATTTGACATACATATAAGATGTTGGTTTGGATTGGATTTTTAAAAACAAATCATGCAAATTTGGGTCGAATTTTTGGAAAAAAAACATTTAAATATTTGTAAAAATCTTCCAATCTGATCTATCATCATTAGAAAATTATTTAATCAACTTTTAATATTCATTTCAACTAACTAATTAATAATATTTTTCTTTCTCAACATCAGACCTCTCCTTTCATCTGAATCATGATACTGATTAAACAAACTAATCACATTTTTCGTATTCTAAGTTATTTTGGTGATCGTCGGACAAACAAATGTTTATCATCTGAACTTATGTTGATAATACTTATCATTATATAATAAATGTGCCTTTAATACTTTCTCTCGAAATATTTGCTGTTTAAAATTGGGATTTAAAGATATAGATTAAGATAAGCTTCCAACCTGCCTAAAGGTTTCAACAATTTCATTCTTCTGGCTTCAACTTCTTTTCACCTTTTTCATTGATCAACTTGAACTTATAAGGAAAAAAAATGTAAAATAAATTATTGAAGGAACTTGGTGAAATATTTTATACAAAATTCAATTGATTGATGTACATTTTTTGGTTTCTAAATAATAAATTATACATCTACATATGTTATGGGATCAGTAATCACGAAATTAATTATTAACATTAGTTTAATATTATTTTTATAGTTTTAAAGTAAGTCGTGTGATACGAAGACCAATACCAAATGAAGAAATTGTCCAATCTTGCCATTTATGATCTTAAACATTTTCAATTAATTCAATCAATTAAAACAAACCTGTGACGGTATGTATTTCATATTATTATTATCAAAAAAGTTATGCTAATTGATCGAGTTCAGAATACTTTTTTTTTCATGACTCAATTGAACATAATTCAAGATTTTAATTAGTGAGCAATCAACCATGATACCATACCTTGACTTGAATGCTTTATGTTGATTTTCTATTATAAACCAATGTGAACTTAGGAGAGAATTTCAGAATTACATTGTCAAAGACGTTCGTAAGAAGAATGGAATAAAAATAAATAAAACTTAAATTTAAAAAGAAAACCTAATTGAAGTTGTTAATGCTATAAAGCTAAGTTGAGTTATCTGTCGACAAATGAACACAATTAAACTTATAATAGGTCAATGGCCATTGGAATGTTGAATCGGTGAATCGGTGAATTTTTAGCTATGGCTGATTATTGCTATGCGTATCGAATTTGTCTCAATACTTAACTGTTTGATTTGATTTTATTTATATTGTTTTTTTTTCACTTCTCACTTCTATCACATTATTTGTCGATTTATTTTACCATAAACATTACATCGAGTGGAATTGTCAATGGTGGTTTGGATTTGAAGTTAAGAAAAATTTCTTATATAAAATAATTTTCACTTCAGACAGCTCTCAGTTGATTGTAAGAGGTCGCATTAACAGTTTGTATTAAGAAACTTATCTAGATATCTACTACTTAGTGAAAAATAAAAAAAGTTTTGTTGAAATGAAAAGCAAAAAGTTTGTGATTCTGTTTTTGTCAATTGTTTGTGAATCATTATCAAAGCCAACAGAACATGACGATCGAATGATGCTTCGAAAACGAATGGATCTTTCTGACGCTGGTGCTTCATATGTTTATCGTAGTGATAACAATGGTCCAATTCAAGTGTATTATTTATCAGCGGGAGATTTGGGACAAACGTTCAATCATCAAGCTTTGCCATTAATTTCTTACGAGCCTTTAACTGCAACTCCCTATCATTATCAAAAGCCATTCACTGCTTTTCAAGCATCTCCCGCACCAATAGCTGAGTATCATCATGTTCATTCTGAACAACCCACTTACGAAACAGGTTTCAAACCTATAATTCCATACAATACAAATAACTTTGTGCCGATACCTCCACCCATCTTAAGAAGTTCTCCAGTTGAAAAGTCATTGCCTGTTATTAAAGTCAAACCTATAATAGAAGAAATAAAAGAAGAAGAAAGTAATGATGATGATAGCGACGATGAAATAGATCAAGATGAAATTGTTCAAGATGAAGCACAACCAAAAATTGATTCATTATCGCATGAAGATTCTTTTTCACATAGTGGAGAAGACATTTCTCGTTCATTTGACTCTCATGATAATGATGATCATTTATCTGAAAGTGCACAATCTCATGAAGACAAATATAAGAAGAATCATGGAAAGAAGAGTAAGGAAGGTTACAGTAAAGAAGAAAATTTCAAAAAGGGCAAGAAAGGATCTTATCATAAAGATCATAAGGAAGGAGACGAAAGTGAAGAAGGTGAATCTGAAAAGTCGCATTATGACGAAGCTGACAAGCATCAAGAATATTCTTCGAAAGATAAAAAGGAGAAAGGTGGTCAGTATAAGAAACAAAAACATCATAAGAAAGGTTCCCAATCTAAAGGCTATCACAATGTGTTCATGAAAGATGAATACAAAAAAGATCACACATTTTACGGTAAGCACTAATTGAATAATTTAAACTTATGCAAAAAAAGTTTCATAATTTCATTTAATTTCACAGATACGGCCGATCACCATGGCCACTATTCAAAACATGGAGCTAATCATAAAGAACATGAGTCCGACGATGGTCATAAAGAAAAAGGTTCACATTATGATTCAAAATTCAAAGAGGGACATAACTCTAAAAAAGGTGGTACTGATGAGGGTCACTACGAAAAAGAAGACGAAGGACATAAGAAGAAATCTGGCCATTCTGAAAAACATTCGGATCATGAAAAATATGCTAAGGAAGGTTCTAAGGATAAGAAGAATCATCACGGATATAAACATGAATAATTTTTAATTTCATTCATTTTGATTGAGGGCCTCTCAAGTGTACAAAATTGTTTCAACTGTTATTGATAGGTCAATAAAAATACCTAAAAGATATAAAAAGAAAAAAGAATTTAATGCCTTGACATTTTACGCAAGGTCTTTTTTTATTATTTTAATTTCCTTACTTACTCGTTCTTCAAGCTTTACTTTATATTTTCCACAATGAAAGATAATTAGATATGCTTTCGGTAATTAAGTTATTCATTTCTTTAGCTGGCAGGTATTCAATCATTAAATTGCCTCGCAAATTAGATAATTTAATTTGATACGCTGTGAGTGTTTGCTACCTATTGACTTTTAGTATATTGGAATTTAATTGAAATCATCTAGATGATTCAATCAAAAGCTTTTTTCCTTCAAATTTATACTTTAATTAAAAAAAAGTAAAAAAACTGATTTCTAATGTGACATTGTGAAAAAGTTATGGAAAAGAAATTTCGTTATTATTGAATTGATTCATTCTGAAAAAGTTTTATGAATTGAAACTACGCAATACGAAAGATTATTTTGATAATTTTATATTACCTAGTAAGTAAAATGTTAAGTGGTTCTGTAATTCACGAAAGGAAGTCTAAAGATAGCAAAAATTATGCGATAGATAGGAATCATAACTAATTTTGTAGAAAGTAGAAAATTTTCGTTAGCTATAGTTTTTAATTTCCCTTAATATATAATGAATGAATTCGTAATGGAATTATAATATTTATGCAGAAATACAAAATAAACTTTTGAGCTTTTGCTTTTAAAATTTTCTTCTGTCCTGAACAATTGTAACGATTCAAAAAATTTTGAATAAAGCTTTTCTCTTAAACGACTTGATTCAATGTGAAAAGCTTAATTTTTTCCGTTAAATTCATTGTTTTCCTTCAATTTGGTTCAAATTTTCCTTAAAGAAAACTAAAAATTAAATAGGTAGATTCTTCTTGAAAATCCAATAATTTATTCTTTCCATATCTGTAAAAATCCTATCTTGAAATAATTTCATATTCTTTTGTTTCTAAGAATATTGCAAGGTTCAAAAAATAAACTTCTTCACCACCTCTCAACAATTTATTTCTCTTTTCGTTTTTTTGTAAGATTTCTTAAAAGCTAACATGGATGTTAATAACTTTTCTTTAATTATATTATGATGTCATTTATATGGTATTGGAATTTGGCTAATATTTATATTCTTTAAAGATTTAGAGCAAAATTTTTGGTTCAAAATAAAAAGGGTATAAAGTTTGTGAGATTTTATAAATCCCAAAGTTTCATACCCCAATAGTGAGAAAACTCGCAAACAAACTCTGAGAAACTTCTCCGTTTATTCAGTTTATTCTTAGTTTTCTTCGTATCAACTTTGGAATTCGCTTTATTTACACAAAAAAAATATAAATAATAATTTGCCTTTGAAAGCGATAAAATAACGAACATAGAACAACAATTTGGAATAGATATAGAACAAGTTGTTGAAAAGTTGATTTGTTCTCATTAAAAAAAATAAAAAAAAACTAAATAGAATAATTTAGGTGAGGAAAGCTATTAGTTTCATTCTTGTTAAGTGTATAAAAAAAGAACAACCTATTTGTGACTTCTCCTGGCATTCCTCTCGTGTGAAAAAGATCCCGTTTAAATGCCGATGAGAAACCTGAAATGATGATTGAAATAAACCAACACATAAGAACACAATTTCGCTTTTATTGCGTCATTGTCTAGAGAAACAAAACATAAAGAAATCAATCTCTGACCCCAACAAGGGCAGAAAAAGAGGAAAAGAATTTAAGAAAAAAAAATTTGTTTCGTTTGTTCGATCAGGTAGATTTTAGGAAGTGGCACAGATTTGATTCTGTTGCGTAAATAAAACTATTACAGTGTTCGAGTGCATTTTCCGTGATCATGTAAACACAATTTATCTCAAGTAAAGAAGTTTTCCCGTCGCATTAGTAACTGCTTTCGTTAATATTTTATGGCCTTTATTTTTCAACAATATTTTTTGCTTATTTAACAACTCGTTACATGTGTCAATATTTTGCTTGCTTTTTCTTCTTTCGCTGTGGCTGCGTACAGCATTTCAGAGGCTAAAACAAACCGATGATGTTATATCACACTTTGAACATAATATAAACTTGAAAAACTATTTTAAGCATTGCAGATTCCTATAAATTGAGACGATGATACAGTGAAATGAAAACAGAATCATTGGGCGACCTTGTACCGAGGAGCGTGTGTTTTGATGACGTCGTCTCAATTTGTGGCCTTCGAAACAAAAATCCTTGAACTCTTGTTGCATTGGCCATTATCAGGAAATGGGGAAAAATTCTCCTTAGAATCTGCGCACTTGGCAGAAAATTATTTTCAATAGAAAGAAGAAAATTGTAATGCGAAAATCTTAAGAAGCTTCGCATGAAAACTTTGAAACCACGTTATAAAAAAGTGAATTTGTTTAATCTAATTATTGTATATCTGTGTGCATTGTATATAAGGTTTCAGTCGACTAAACAGTCTGAAAAATCAAATTGAGTTCCCACGATATTTGCTCAAACTAATAAAACATTTTATTAGATTGCAAAGCATTCACTGATAAGCGTCAGTTTTAAAGTGGAGGAGATATCAAATCAGATTGTGTTGAAACGGAATAACTCAGATTTATTTTTATCGAAACAAAACGAATGCGTATTGTTAAGTGGTTATACTCAATTTAAAACAAATTTAAATTGTCAAAACAAACAAATAAAGAAACTTTGTGAAGTTTTTTCGAGAAAAGCATATCAACGTTGACAAAATGATTTACGGCTATCCGAAGAAGCCATCGAAATCAATTAAAGAAAAGATGAAAATATTCGAGCCTCAAGTTATGTACCAAAAGAAAAATTTACTTAATTTCTTCATAAGCAATGCAGACATGGTCAAAGATTGTTCATTTTCACTTAAACAAGGGGCGAGTTGAGCATAATTAGAGCGAAACATTGCTTATGAATCATAATCTTTATGAACAGTAGAAAAGCAAGAAAAAAATTATGTGAATTATGTAACATCTAAACAGCAGTTAAATTGAAACATGAAAAATCTAATAGCTCATTATTGTTTCATATTTTTATTACAGATGACGATTTGGTTGTTAACAACGAAAGCATAAAAGCTAAAAACGAAATGATTTCTTCAAACATTGTACGTGATGAGGAAGGCTTAATTGTACCGAGAAAGCTTATCAATCCATGTCTGGAATCTTCTGATCGTCAAAACCTCCATCGAGAACTCTTGTTTAATCAAAAGATGTAAGAAATTGCTTTTCTATCTTCTTTGTTTATTTACATTTAAAATAACCAGAAGGAAAAAATTCATCAAAAATCATTAAATAAGTTAACAAGCAAATCGTTTTGTTTTTCTTTTAAATTTCAGTGGCAAGAATGTTCTTAATCAGAAGACAGAACTGCAACGGGCCTTGGAAAAGCAAAAAGAACGCCAAGTAATTGCTGCTCAAAATGAAATGAATAAAGACTGTCACACAACGTCGTTACATGGTGAACTTGGAAAAGTCATAATGGAACGAGCTCAAAAGAATAGACCTAAGGACGAGCAAAACACGTGTAACAACACCGAGTTTAATGAAGAATATCTCAAAGCCCGCGCTAAATTACGTGGCTGTAACAAATACACTTGATATAATTAAACATTAAGATAACTTCTTTTCATCGACGATATTTATGAAAAGAAATCAGAAAACAATTTGCAATAATTATAATTTTAAACGAACAACACAAAATTATGAAAAAAAATCTCAAGTTGAAAGAATGTTTTCAAATTTGTTTTTAGATATTTTAGAAAATTAGTGATTTAACTGTGAAGAATGGAAAGAAAACAAGAAAATTGATGTTTAATCATTTGATTTTGTGTTAGGATAGATGATTGTCGTTATTGAGGAAAATTTTTGCAAGCTAAAAGCTCACAAAGTAAATGAAACTACAAACAAGAAAGATGTCAACGAATTTAAGCTCACAACAGATCGATTAACGAGAAACATATAAAGCAAAGATTATCTACTTTCAAATTATATTTTAACGTAGTATTTTCAAAGGAGTTAAGCTCAAGATTGACGATAATATGAACGAATATTCTTGTTGGATATTTAAGATATTTAATCCCTCATAGTAATTCGCATAATCCGATCTAATCTCGACTCCAGATTTGTAGATAAGATGAAAGAAGTGAACATAATGATGATGATATATTTTTATAATCCTCAATTTTAAAGATGAAAACAAAACATATTTGAGACAATGATATCGAGTTCAGTGCATGCATTTCTTGCTTTTTAAAACCTATAGTAGAAATTTTTAATTTATCTTGGTCAATCGTTTAAAAACATTGTGATTTCAATAAACTAATAATTCCATGAAAAATGAAAAACAATTTATAGTTTTTAATTGTTCAATTTTAATTTGCAACATTTTGGACTACGAAATGAAACTTTTAAGAAAACAATAGAAGCATGTTTGGTAAGAATACTCTTGTTTCTCTTATTGCACAATTTTGATGTTTATTCAAAGATGAAGAAAAAAAATATTCATCAAACATATGTTTACAACTTTGGTGGAATGTAAAATGCTCAATGGTCACACCACAGAACATCAAACTTAAGTATTTAAAGAGTCAGACTTAAAGTGATCTTTCACTCTCGGGATATCCATTTCGTTCTCTTTTTTCGTTTTCTTCACAATTTTAACACTAATGCAAGACGAATCTTTGAATGTAGCAATGATCCAACGTCGTCTCATGAGTGTTTACAGCGAGAAAATGAAATCTTTTCTGTCATTTCTCCTACACTGCTCGACGGAAAGAATAAAATCTTTTTATTTTTCAGCATTCAACTTCACATTCAGTCGCGATCGAGAGAGTGAAGTGATGAGTCGTAAAAAGCAAAGCTGAAGCGTTTTTCTTTCTGGTTGTTTAAGAAATTAAGAAAAAAATTTTTGGTACATAATTTCATTATCTCTACTTCCATATACATAAAAAAATGATTAAAATTATCAGAATTTAATGAATATTATACAATTGTGACACTATATAACACTCAATTGATGAGTTACAAGACGATTTTACCGAGAAACTTTCAGATGTTTTCTTTAAGTTATGAAAGAAGTGTTTAGTGAGCCCTACGGAAAGAGAAAAAAAGAAAAGAAAAGAAAACCAAAGAATCTTGTGTTGTATTTATCAACATATCGTTGTTTCGTAGTTCTATTTTGAGCTAGTGTTTAAAAAAATTTGTGTAAGATGAGACCGACTTTTAATTTAGAATGCATAAAACAATCTGCTGCATAAGTCTTAGTCGAGAATGCATAAATATGAAATTGGAATGAAAAGAAAATCTTAAAAAATATTTCTATGTATCAAACGTTATATTCTTTCAAGATTTACATAAGTGCTTATGCTCTCAAAATTACATGAAGAGTATATAAAAGGTTATCAAAAAAAGCAGAAAAATTTACGACATAATTTGTTTTTTTTTCCAATGACTTTAATATCAACTCTACAAGTGCATGAATGCACATGGATTTAATTATGAGAATTTCCAGGAAATTTATTTGTGAATATAAAAAAAAAGTTAGCGAATAATGAATCGATTGAAGCATTAGTGAAATTCATCCCAAAAAAATCTTTTAATGTGTTACTGTTATCAGCTTTCAGAAACGGAAGTTATTATGTGAACTTTAAAATATTTAATTGAAATGATTACCAGACAAAGCACTCACACTAAGATTATATTGTCTTTCAGGATCAAATAACTTTATTGACATAAACTAAAGAATTTTACCAGGCCATTGAAATGGCCAATCTTCTAAATGATCTGAGAGTGTTGATTCTCGTTTCATTTTTTTTAATAATATTAAGTAAGTTTCCGAATTTCAATTTTACAACTGCTCTTGACTTACAAGGTTTGCACTTGCAATTTTTTAGACATAAGTGCAACAAGATCACAGAATCAACCATCTCAATATCCACAACGCATCAGACATCCAAGACCAGGCGTTCAAAGGAGTAAGCAAACTTAACTTAATTAAATTTTAAGCATTAAGAAAATTTACATCAATTTTGGCTTCTTCACTGATTACAAATTAATTCAATTTCATACGCAATTTTAATATTATTACTACAGAGCGTTTTATTTATTTTTCTAGTCAATACTTATGCCTTCTTTTAGACAATTTACTTTAAAAAAACTCATATTTAATTATACACACAATCTCTTAAGACTCATTTCGAAGAACTCGTGCACCTCTCTTGTCAAACCAGGAAAAACGTAGAATGAAAATTGAAAAAATCCCCAAAGTGAAAGAACAGCGTGGAGATCAATCTCCTGACGATGATAGTGAGAATAACATCGGTTTAACATATCATCATCCTCAGAGTTTAATGAACCCATATCGAAAAGGTTTCAAAGTATTTTCATGCTTAAATAAGGAAGATGGTTTTCGATTTCTCCCTTTTTTGTTCCCCAAATGGTTATGTTTTGGAATATTTAATATCATATTATCAACTAATCATTGATCAAAAGCAATATCCCAATTAATATTTAAAATGTGACAGCGAAACATTCTACAATCATGCTGTCAACTAAATGACATTTAAATGTTTAGATGATTCAAATATTATTTGCTGACATTGAAGTTATTTTTAGATCGCCCTTTAAGGATAAATCCACGACTTCATCCATGTGAACAAAGCAGTTGTTATCCTGCTACTGGTAATCTGTTGATTGGCAGAGAGAATCGTTTACAAGCATCATCGACTTGCGGTCTAAATGGCCCCGAACGTTTTTGTATCGTTTCACATTTAGAAGAAAAGAAATGCTTTTTGTGTGACACAAGATACGAAACTGAAAATGATCCACATTTAAATCATCGTGTCGGTCAAATTATTTACAAGTTTAGACCTGGGTTAGTTTCAAATTGATTGATGATTGTTGTCATTTTAATCAACTGACATTTCTGAATTTCTTGTTATTAGAACATTGGAAAACTCTTGGTGGCAATCAGAAAATGGAAAAGAAAATGTTACAATTCAATTAGATCTTGAAGCTGAATTTCATTTCACTCATTTGATTATTGTGTTTGCAACGTTTCGACCCGCTGCAATGCTTATCGAACGATCATATGATTTCGGTAAAAGTTGGCACGTATACAGATACTTTGCGTCGAATTGTGCAGAATCATTTCCGCATGCTTTAACTGAATCTAGAAACATCACGGATGTAGTTTGTGATCATCGTTACTCGCATGTTGAACCATCAAAGAACGGTGAAGTAATTTTCCGAGTTCTGCCACCACAACTTAACATTGAGAATCCTTATTCGGATCACATTCAAAACATGTTGAAAATGACAAACCTTAGAATCAACTTTACAAAATTACATTCGCTTGGTGACACTCTTCTCGATGATCGTTCAGAAATACAAGAGAAATATTATTACGCTATCTCAAATATGGTAGTTCGTGGGTCTTGTTCATGTTATGGACATGCATCACGATGTTTACCATTGGAAGGATTTGATACTCAAAACGACATGGTTCATGGAAGATGTGAATGTACACACAACACTAAAGGTCTAAACTGTGAAAATTGTGAAGATTTTTATAACGATTTGCCGTGGAAACCCGCACTTGGAAAGCAAACTAATGCTTGCAAAAGTAAGTTTAAAATTATATTAAAGTTGATTAGAAAATTATTTACAGTTTTTTCTATGTTCCTTTAGAATGCAATTGCAATAATCACGCAGTGACATGTCATTTTGATCAAGCAGTTTATGAACATTCAGGCAAAGTAAGCGGAGGTGTTTGTGACAATTGTGAACATAACACTGAAGGGCAACATTGTGAACAATGCAAAGCGTATTTCTATCGTGATCCAAATGAAGATATCCAAAGTCCTTATGTTTGCAAGCCATGCGATTGTGATCCAATTGGATCTCGAGATGAAGGAATTTGTGATTCAATTCCTGATCCTGAAGAAGAAAGTATGCCAGGTGCATGTCATTGCAAGACACATGTAAAAGGAAGACGTTGTGACATTTGTAAAGAAGGCTATTGGAACTTAAATGAAACAAACCCTGATGGATGTGAACAATGTACTTGTAACATCTTGGGAACAATCAACAACTTGGGTTGTAACTTCTACACTGGTGAATGTACTTGCAAGAGATTAGTGATAGGACGTGATTGTAATCAGTGTATGCCAGAAACGTTTGGATTGTCAGAGATTAATGATGGATGCACACCTTGCGATTGTGATCCTGGTGGTTCAATGGACAATAATTGTGATGTCATCACTGGACAATGTAAATGTCGACCATACATGCAAGGAAGAAATTGCAGCGAACCAAGGCAACATCATTTCATTCCAAATTTACACATCATCACCGAAGCTGAGAGTTCAAATACTGTAAGTTGTTCTCTTATTTGATGACTGAAAATTACTTTGATTCATTTCAATAATTTATAAAAATTTTACAGGTTTGTGAAGGAAGTACAAGCTACGGTGTAAGTTAACAAAATATTGTTTCATGACAAATTTAATCAACATTTTTCTTCATTTCAGAATTGCACAATTGTTGTACGTGATCCATATCCGGATCGTTTACAAACGTGGACTGGTCCAGGCTTTTTAAAAGTTCACGAAGGCAGTGATGTTAGTTTCACAATTGACAATGTTCCCAAGACCATGAATTACGATATTTTGCTTCGATATTCTCCACAAATTCGAGGAAGTTGGGAAGATGTTCGAATCAGTGTTATAAGGCCCGATGCTATTGGACATGACAGTTCTTGCTATAACATTAATCCACTTGAAGAACAAGAAAAACAGTTGAGACTTAATGAGTATGAGACGAGTACACTTGCATTGAATGAGTTGTGCTTGGAAGAAGGAAAAACTTACAAATTTATTGTCACCTTCAACCGACAAAATTCTTACGAAACAAATCCATCAGCACAAATTCTTGTTGATTCTGTAAGTTGAAATGTTCTTTCCATGACGAGAACATAAATCATAATCATTTTTCTTTTCTTACAAAAGCTTGTATTGATTCCACGTATTGAAGTTACTTCCATCTTTTCTGGATCGACACCAGCTGATTACAGAAGACGTGACTTTGAATATTATCGATGCAACGACTCTTACTACGATGTTGCTCCCCAAAATATTGAGCCAAAATGTGAACAATTATTCCAAATGGCAGGAACTTTAGTTTTCGATGGGGCATCACGTAAGTTCATAAATTTATTAACAATTAACGACTTCGATAAATTTCATTTTCAAACTTCTTATCTTATCAGTACGAAATTCTTGTTTTAAAATTATTTTTTGTGACCTTTCTTTACATTTATTCCATCATAACAAAATTTAATAAATTTCTCAAATGAAATTAAACATTTCAATAATTTTCATTATTTTTTTGACATTCTTACCATCAATTAGAAGTGAAAATGATACACTCACATGTAATTAATAAACATAGAAAATAAAATTGATTCTCATAATAATTTCTTCTTAGCTTGTGACTGTAATCCAACTGGATCGATAAGTAAAAAATGTGAAGAACATGGTGGTCATTGCAAGTGTAAACCGAATATTGTTGGACGTCAATGCGAAAAGTGCGCTCCAGGAACTTATGGTTTCTCGCCCAATGGTTGTCAAGCTTGTGATTGTGACAGTGTCGGATCAAAAGATAACGAATGTGACCTTGTAACTGGACAATGTAATTGTCATCCAAAAACATATGGAAGAGAATGTAATCAGTGTCAAATTGGATATTGGAACTTCCCTGACTGTCAAGCTTGTAATTGTAATGGACATGCTTCAACATGCAATCCAAAAACTGGGGAATGTATTCAATGTCAAGACTCTACAACTGGATATAATTGCGATCGATGTATTGAAGGCTTCTACGGTGATCCGTTGTTGGGAAGTGAAATTGGCTGCAGACCTTGTCGATGTCCCGACACAATAGCTTCTGGGCATTCTCATGCATCTCAATGTTCACTCATTTCTAGCACCAACGATGTTATCTGCTATTGTCAACCCGGATATGCTGGTGTCAAGTGCGATGTTTGCGATGATAATTACTTTGGAAATCCTGAAAAGCCAGGTGGTTCATGTGAACCATGTAACTGCAATAACAACATTGATATCGCTCGTCCTGGTAATTGCGATGCCAAAACTGGAAAATGTTTACAATGTTTACGTGATACTGATGGAGACGGTTGTGAATATTGTAGAGATGGATATTATGGTGATGCATTACGTCAAGATTGCAGAAGTAAGTTTGAAATGAAGCTCATATAAATTAAATTAATCACAATTTTTTTCAGGATGCGAATGCGATGTTCTCGGTACAAATGGAACTCTGAAGCATTGTGACCGTTACACTGGTCAATGCCCTTGCCTTCCTAATGTTATGGGAGTTCGGTGTGATCAATGTGCGAAGAATCATTGGAAAATTGCTAGTGGTGAAGGATGTGAAGCTTGTAATTGCGATGAAATTGGATCACGAAGTGAACAATGTAACCCGGTAAGTTAAAAACTTTAACTTTTGTTTCGTTTCCTTTAATTTTTTTTTAATGTATAAAGTATGACGGTCAATGTGACTGTCGACCTGGTTTCGGTGGACGTGCTTGTGACCAATGTGAAGCCAATTTCTGGGGTGATCCCAACGTCGAATGCAAAGGTGAGAAATAAAGGAAATCGAATTTAATTTTTTGATTCAACAATATTATTGTTTACAGCATGTGACTGTAATTCATATGGATCAGCAACGTACCAATGTGATCGTGAGACCGGTCAATGTAATTGCATAAAAGGAATTGGTGGATATAAATGTGATCAATGTGCAAGAGGATACTTGGGTGAAGCACCTTACTGTTCACCATGCGGTGAATGTTTCGATAATTGGGATGATATTTTAAATACACTTGGAGACCAAACAGATGACATCATAGAACGAGCTAAACGTATCAAAACTCAAGGTGCAACGGGAGCTTACACGAAAGAATTTGAAGATGTTGAGAAAAAGATTGAAACGATCAGAAATATTTTGAACAACACAACTGTGAGTGCAAAAGATGTCAAGAAATTGAATGAAAATATTGATCGACTTCGAGCTAGATTTAACGAGTCTGATAAGAATGTAAAAGAAACTGATGGAGCTTTAGACAAGTTGAATGAAGAAATGAATTTGGCTGGAGTTGAATTGGCAAATTTAGCAGAACAGAGTGAAAAAATCAAACTTTTGTCTAATGACTTGAAAGAAAATGCCACAAAATTACAAGAAGCAAACGTTGAAGGTGCTTTGAATTTAACACGTGATGCTTGGAGTCGTGTTCAGTCGCTTTCTGATGTTTACAATGAAGCAAATGAATTGAATTCTGAAGCTGATCGCCAATGTAAACGAATTGAAAATTTGATTACACGCCAAATTGAAAACGAAGGAAATTTATTAGCAAATGACAAACAAATTGATGAACTTCAAAGTGAGCTTGATAAACTGACAGCTGAAATTCCTGATTTGAATGAACAAGTTTGCGATAAACGTGGAGATCCTTGCGATAGTCTTTGTGGTGGTGCAGGATGTAATAAATGTGGTGGAATATCATGTGAAAAAGGTGCTTTGACGAGAGCTGAAACTGCTTTGAACTATGCCAAAGATACCGAAAAGATCATAAAAGAAAAGGAACAACAGGCTGACGAACTTATTCGATCAGTTTCACACTCAATAACTGAAGCTGGTGATGTCCATAAGAAAGCAAAGGAAACACTCGACAAAGTTCAAGAAACTTACAAATCAGCTGAAGGTCTTCTTGGTGAAGGAAGAGAATTAATTACAAATCTTACAAATGTTGTCTCAAACAAGACTGCATCACCAAATGAAATTAAAACTATTGCTGAAGAAGTTTTGAAACTTGATTTACATTTAGATCCGGCGGAGATTAAACATTTAGCCAACAACATCGATCAAACTGTTGCTGAATTAGAGAATGTTGAATTAATTATCGAAAACACCCGTCATGACCTGGAACTTGTTGAGGGCTTAAGAGATAATGCAACGACAGCACAGTAAGTTTTTTAATATTTTATCTTGAAATATGCTTAGAAATATTCTTAATGTTGTGTTTTAGGACAAGGGCTGATGAAGTGTTGAAACGAGCTACTGAAGTTAGTAATGCTTTAGAAGATGCCGAACAAGCTCAAGTAAGAATAAATTACTTAATAAACATTAAATAATTTTCATTTAAAATTTGAATTTTCCAGAAAGCTGCACGTGATGCAATTAAGAAAGCTAACGAAGACATTTCTACAGCAAAGGCAGATCTGGAAGAGGTAAAGTTATTGTTTTTATACATATTTTAAATTCTATTGTATTTAATTCCAATTTCTTTTTTTAAAGATTGACACTGAAACAAAGGAAGCAAAAGAAAGCGCTGAAGAAACAGCTGGTGCTGTTGATGCTTTACAAGCAAAATTAAACAAATTGCAAAAGAAATTCTTAAAGAATGCGCATGACGCTAAGGAAATAAAAGTTCAAGCCGACGCTGTTAAAGACACTGCATCAAGCACACATGAAAAAGCTAGGAAGGTAAAAAATATTCATTTGCTATAATGAGACTTTAAGTTTGTCAACTTATAAATATTTTCAGTTGAAAAATCAATTCAAACAAGCAAATGACACATTGACGACAAAATCAGCTTCATCAGAAAATGCTCGTGAAAGGGCCCAGCAACTCCTTCAAAGAGCTTCAAGAATCACAGTCGATACAACAACTAAATTGAAAGAACTGAGAGGTAGTCTAATGACATTTTCATTGATAAAAGTTTAAAATACAAAATTCTTCTTAGATATGGTGTCTGTTGCTGTATCAAACGACGCTGAACTCACGGCAATGGAACAAAAAGTTAATCGATTAAATGGCGAAATAGATGCTTACATTCGACGAATTAGAGAACATGCGGACCGTTACAGACAATGCACATCGTAGAAGAGAGAAGAAAACAAATGTTTTTGATGTCTATTTAATTAATTCGAAGAAAATTAATATTCCTATTTTTTTTAATCTTAAAAAGTTTTAAATAATCCTTTCATGATCATAGACTTGCTACGCATAACAGAATCTGTTGTTTTTAAAGATGTTTCATGATAGCTAAGTAAATATAATGATGTAGCACCTAAACATATTTTAAAGTGCCAAAAATACTTAAGAATAAGTAAAGCCATTATCATTCAGATGCATTTGCCACAAAAGAATCAAATTTAAATTATACACCTAAGGTTTTGTACTTTACAAAAATCAGTAGAATAAAGTTGTACTGCCATTTTTTTATCTAAACAGAGTAAAATTTAAAGAATTTTTAATTTCTTATGAAAATATCATATCGAATACTTGTCAATTTCATTTTGTGGGTATTTATTAAGTCGCATAGATTTGATTACCTAATGATGTGAATTTAAAAAGCTTAATCATTATGTCCATAGGTCACCAATAAAAACATTTCGAAAATTTCTTATCTTATTCATCATTACTTTTTATTTATTATAATTTTAATGTGCACAAATTCAGATAAAGGTTCATCATCATTAGATAAAATTATTCCAGACTGACAAGGTCAGAAAACTAGATAAGGAAAGATGAAGATACTTTTGGAAATGAAAATTAATTTAGGACATTGCTTCGATAAGTGAAGCTCTGAGATTGGATGTGATTTTCGATGGCTGACTTTCATTTAATTTGAAAACGCTTTCAATCACTGATAGTTCGGTTGATGTTGTTGTGATGCCACAAAAAGCTGTCCAATCATTGGCAACGATTCCCGCAGCAAGAAGTTCACTTCCACGATTTACTGTGCCAGCCTAAAGCGATAAACAAAATTCTTTTAAGAAAAATTTCAAAACAATATTGCGAAATTCTTACAACAAGAGGAACTTGAAGTAATGAAGATAACTCATCAAGCTCTTGAGCACTGGTTTTCGGATGTATAATTCCTCCTTGATTGTTTAAAACTGAGTAAGCACCAACAAGGCTGTTCCCTGATATTGTCTGGCGAAAGACTTCCACTCCCAACACATCCGTGATAATTTCTATGAAATGATTTCAAAATTAATTTACAACTGAAACGTTGTTTAGTCATTCTTTTACCTTCTGTTTCTCTATCTATGTCGGGGTGAATCAACGAGACATAATCATTACATGCAATAACATTACCAAGCGCTGATAATCTCTCTTCCACTCGTTGAATCTTTACTGAGTCTGGAAGCGCGTTTCGCAAGTGTTGAAGTTCCAAATCTGTAGTTGAATGCGGCACCAAGAGACCTTTTCTGTTTCCTACTGTTAATCTACCTATGATTCGACATCCAGCTATACTTGCATGGATGACTGGTATTGTTTCTGAAAGTTCTCCCTCAAAAACACTAAAATTCCGCATGGAAATTTGTTAACCTACAATACTAAAATATTTTTAATATTATTCTTGATTTACCTGTAAAATGCTTCGGATCCTCCGATTGCAGTTAAGCAATAAGTGTTTGTTAGTTTGGCAAATACACCAATGTCACTGGAATTTTCAAATTCAGCACGTAAAGCCATTTCAAAGATAATTTAAGCGCAGTTAATTTTAAGACAAATTTATTGTTGTTTTGATAAAACAGTTAGCAATAATCGAGGTGAAGCGAGTTTGATATTTTATATCTGTCTGACAATTTGAATTTTACAGAAGAACCTCGATTTTAGGAAAACGTTTTTAAACCGAGGTTTAGATGTAAAATCGAATGATAACAAAAATTTAAAAAGTCAAAATTAATAATAATGCTGGCACAAATAAACCGAAATTTCTTAAAATTAATACCACATGCAATACGCTGTTCTACAAGAAGCAATGTCAGCTATAGATTGAGAGGTAAAAAAATGATTTAATCGAATTAAACAATAATAACCACAAAGAATCTTTTTGATTAAAAATTATTATAAATTTATCAATAAAATCTTTTAAATCAGTGAATGGCATAACACCGACTGCTTCTTTCGGAGCTAAACATTATCATTCCATCATTCGAGAGTCAGAGAAGCCTAAAGGGGAAACTAATAAACATGAGTTCAAAGCAGAGACAAAAATGCTTCTCGATATCGTTGCCAAGTCTTTGTATTCAGAAAATGAAGTGTTTGTACGAGAACTTATTTCTAATGCTAGTGATGCAATAGAGAAATTTCGATACATCGCCAATACTTCAGAACCAGACCAAATAGTTGAACTCGATAGAAAATGTGAGATTCACATTGAGACCAACAAACAGGACATGAAGTTAGTGATTCAAGATCGAGGGATTGGAATGACAAAAGATGAGTTAATTGATTCATTGGGAACAATTGCAAAGTCAGGTTCAAAGAATTTTTTGAGTCAACTAAAGGATAGTGGATCGATAGATGCGACAAACATCATCGGGCAATTTGGCGTAGGCTTTTATTCGGTAAGTGAATCTCAAAAATAAATATTAGCTCCAGTTCTGATCTACAAACTTCTTTTAAGGTATTCATGTGCGCTTCTCATGTAGATGTTTATACAAAATCATCAAGTCCAGGAGCTATCGGTTACAAATGGTCAAGCGAAGGGACTGGATCATTTGAAATTCAAGAATGTGATGACGTTGACGTTGGAACTAAAATAGTCATTCAACTTAAACCAGAATGCCGAGAATATGCAGATGAAGACCGAATTCGCAATGTTGTTAAAAAGTACAGTAATTTTGTGGGAAGTCCAATATTTTTAAATGGCAACCAACTCAACTTGGTTCAGCCTTTGTGGCTAATGGAGCCGAAAGAAATCACAGACGAACAGCATTTACAATTTTATCGTTACATTGCGAATTCATTCGACACACCTCGTTTTAAGATCCACTTTAAAACCGATGTTCCGGTAAGATGCACAGAAGAGAAAAAGAAACAAGAAGAAGGAAGTTTGTTGATGTTAAATTTTATTTATTTCTCTAATTAAGGTGTCAATTCGAGCAGTTTTATATTTTCCTGAAGGTAAGCCAGGACTTTTTGAAATGTCAAGAGACACAGAAACAGGCGTTGCACTTTACACCAGAAAGATTCTGATTCAATCAAAGACCGAATTGATGTTACCAAAGTGGTTGAGATTCGTGAAAGGTGTCGTCGATTCTGAAGATATTCCTTTAAATTTAAGCCGTGAACTTCTTCAGAACAGTAGCTTGATTAGGTAAATTGAAAGAAATTAAAGAAATTTATGAACAGAATTAAACTTCTTTATTTCTAATTACATTTAGAAAGATTCAAAGTGTTTTGACATCGCGTGTGTTAAAGTTTCTTTATGAAAAATCTACAAAAGAACCGGAAAATTACGAAAAGTTCTATAAAGATTACGGACTTTTCCTCAAGGAAGGAATTGTCACAACACACGATCAAAAAGAAAAGGAAGACATTGGAAAGCTTTTACGATTTGAAACAAACAAAACGGGTGACAATGTTAAAATAGGACTTGATGACTACTTAAAACATTTGAAGGAAAACCAGAAGGATATTTATTACCTTGCAGCGCCATCACGACAACTGGCATTAAATTCTCCTTATTTTGAGAGTCTGAAAAAGGTAAGTTATTGAAATGTTCCGACTAACAATGAAGTGGAAGTGAATGACCGAAGTCTGCGGTCAAGTTGTAAATTGTAATAATATCTTCAATGTTTTGTTTTCATCCAACTTGAATTTTAATATTTTTTTTCTTCTGTTTTTTGTTTGTATTCTCCAATAATAGAATGATTACGAAGTTCTCTTTTGTTATGAGCCATACGATGAGCTTGTACTAATGCAGTTGATCAGTTTCAAGGTAAAAAAAAATTTTGCTTTCAGTTTAATTCTTTCTATTATTCGTTAAATTTCAATCTATGCATTTAGAACCATAATTTAGTGAGTGTTGAAAAGGAAATTCGACGTGCAACAAGCACTGAAGAAAGCGACAAGCTTTTTGAGGAAAATCTATCTAAACCGACAGATTCTTTATCGAAGAAGGATACAGACGACTTGATTCGATATTTACGTAAGGAATTAGGAAATAAAGTTCAAACTGTGAAGTACACAACAAAATTAGATCAACATCCTTGCGTAATAACCGTCGAAGATATGGCGAGTGCTCGACATTTTATTAAAACACAAAGTCATCAATTAAGCGAAGACAATCGTTATGCTCTTCTTCAATCACACCTAGAAATTAATCCAAAGTAATTTAAATCTTATAACATTCATTCATTAATTGAATATTTAATAAGTTCAATTGTTACAGACATCCAATCATCATGAAGCTTCACAAACTTCTTTCAACAGATGAAAAATTGGCATCTTTACTAGCGCAACAACTGTTTTCCAATGCCTTGACGATTGCTGGTCTTGTTGAAGACCCGAGACTTCTTCTTACACAAATGAATGAGTTGCTAATTAAGGTTCTCGAGAAACATTAGATTAATGTTGAAAAGAAAAAAAAAGTTATAAAGAATTTTAATAAAAATATTTGTGTCGCCTGTCAAATATTCAATTTCGTTGTTATTCGCTAAATTTTATAATTCTTTATTTAAATTGATATTACATCATTTAGGTATTCGTCATTAATTTATTTAGAGATGAGATTGTCTTCAACGTAAATCGTGATTGCTTAAGGTGCGACAAAATAATCAGGGGGTTGATATTTGAATTTTTAGGCTTTAACATTTTTTAAAAGCGAAAGAAATACGTAAAATTCTACTATATAGCAAAAGCATTGCTTAAAAATTATTCCATCAGTTTGAGAAGATGAATCACCTTTAAATTGTGTGAATTGGAAGATTTGAATGAACAAAAGAAGTGAAGTTTTTACAGATTTGTCAAGATAATTTATATTGTCCCATCCCCCTGAAGATAATAATGACGATAATAATAACAACATCAACAAAACTTATTGAAGTGGCTTATTTTCAGTTAAATTTTCTTCTTTTGTATTGACAATTGCTTGCGAGACCTTTAAGTATATTTGTTAAAACATGTGAGTTTAATGTTTTTAAGTGAAAGAGAAAGTGAGTTGCATCGGAAGCTGCACAAAATGATAGTGAAAAGCAGAGACATTGCTGCTTCCTCGTACTGTACCGTACCACGCAAATGGGACTTTGTCAAGTTACTTGCATAACATTTATTTACTCATATAGAAATTTAAATATGCTTTAATAAATATTTAACATCTCACCTTATGTCACCTCACATTATGTACTTATTCATGTGGATAATTTGCATAGCTCAATTATGATTAATGATTTTTTTTTCTGAGATGAGAGAAAAATTACTTTGACTTGGAGATGTTTACCTTGAGTGAGATCAGAACAAAAAGAACAAAGTGAGAATGCGTAGCGAATAATTTAAGGTAAGGAAAAAAATTAAATAAAAATTGAGAAGCAATTGGGCGTTAAGCACAAGTTAAGCATCGTAAAATTATGCGAGAAAAGTAAAATGGATTGAAATTTGTGCCGAAACTCCACCAGACTGTTGTGTCTTGAGATCAACACGCAATACACGCAGAAGTTAGCAATTAATTGAAGTGGCAAATCAATTATTTTTGGAAAGCGATTTGTGCGGTTGCATCATCGCAACAAAACTGTTTCTATTTGGCAACTCCACTGGCTGTGTGGTTTCTAAGATATGTGCTTGCTTTTTTAGGTTTGTATTCTTAGTCTTGAACTTATATTTTTCTTCGTTTCTTAATGCAAAAAAGAAAAAAAAATCAAAGAAACAACAATTCGAGCTCGTTGAAAACGAAACATCACACAACATTCGACAACAGTGTGGTTGGCAAACAAGCAGCAATGCTTTTAGAAAGGTTTCTTTTAGTTTGTCTTTAGCTTTCCGTGAAGTAAGTCAAGACAGTAACTGCACGCGCATAAAAATAAGATTGTGACGTAAAAATCGCCTATATTTCTGAAAAAAATAACAATTATCGATGGTAGATTTGTAAGAGTTTGGTGAAAGAAAAAATTGTGTCATTTTTGGAATCGATGTAAGTGAAAATTGCCTACAAATAATCTCCGCTCTATAAAAACTTTAGAAAAAAACGGAATTGGTAAAAAAGCAAAAGTCAATGGAATCCACAGATACAATCATAAACACGTTATAAGTTATTGAGATTTTTCTTAAAGATGTAAATGCTGCATTGTAAGATGCCTAAATGTGCCAAAGTTTTTACATGAATTTATGAATAGAAGAAGAATAAATATCAATCATATGGTTTCATGTTTACCAAAGAATGTATTTATGTAGCTGTTATGAAACAAGAAGTTGTTAAAACAAAAAGAGAAATATAAGTTTGTGATATTTTTTTATTTCAATCATTGATTGTTCAAGTAATAAGACCATTAACTAATCGAGTTAATTAGGTAAACTATTGTATTTGTCTCAATTTGAGAATATTCATTTCAGTGTCGAAAATAAATAAGAAGAAAAATGGATAGTGAAGGAATAGTCAAAAACGTTGATGGAATTTACAAGGTATGTCAAGAATGTTTTTTACTTTTGCCAACTATAAGCTGTTGTTCCTATGTAAATACATGCATGGAAAATAAAAATATTAAAGCAAAAAAAAGCGACTTGCAAAGGAATGTGTTTAATATTTTTTTTTCTCTTGTTGGCGCACCTTGCAAGGTTTCATAAGATTTACTATTTTTCTGTCTTTCTTTCTTCACAAACGCATGTCAATTGCTATTTAAGAAATGTTTAAAATATAATGTCTGCGTTAAAATGTCTAAGCAGAAAAAAATTTCCTTCTGTTACAGAATATCCTTGAGAAGTTCAACCCTGGTGCGAAACAGCTCATAGCCTCTTCTAAATCTTATTTAAAAGCACTGCACAATACTTCGCAAGCGTCGAAAGGTTTTACTGAATCGCTAGCAAAACTTGCTGTTAACGCTCATGAGGGAGGAACCACAGATATTGGTGAGACAGAACGAAAAATAAAAAAACTTGAAATGCTTCATTTAAATCTCATCATCATCGAAATATTTTCGGTTTTTGTTTTCTTCTCTTTGTACAAAATAAATTTGTTAAAAATATCTGGAAACTCTCTTTAAAAATGTTGCTTAACAGGTTTTTTTGTCTGAAATCAATTTATGATTTAAATTAGTTTTCATTTCATTAACGAAAGAAAAGAAATGCTGATTTCTTATGTCGCATTCAAATACATAAATATTTTCTCTTCTATTGATATTCAGGCGGTGCATTAATGGACCTCGTTGGTGTTTTTAGTTCAATAGAAGATCAGCATATGAATATCGTAAGTGAAAACAAGTTAATGTAAATATATGTATTGAGTCATTTAACTCAAAAATCTACTTTCCTGCTCATGGCCAGTTGAAGGCGTTTTATGTTGACTTCATTTTTCCACTTGAAAACAACATTGACAAGGATGCAAAAGTTATTCATGCTGAACAGAAAAAATTTATGCAATTACATAAGCAGAGAGTCGAAAGTTTTAACAAAGGTTGGTAATTATTAGATATTTTAAATATATAAAATGTGACGAGTGGCAGTTTACAGAAATTTCAAATTCCATTCAAATATTTGAAGAATGATGATTTTTCATTAGTTTCTAATATTTTTATTTAAAATTAAACAGTGACTGACAAATCTTGTAGATATATATTTTTATTAACATGCCTTAACAGTTGACACACGATCACGTCACTTTATCTTCATGTGATTCTTTGCAATCAGCAAGTTTATAAATATGATCTAATGATTAAATATTTTTGTTTAGCTACATCTGCAATGAAGAAACATCGGAAGAAGAAAAACAACGCAGAAAAGGAACTCAAAGTAAATATTTCAACCACAAACATTGAATAAAAGTCGTCTTAAGAATTAAATAAATTTAAATATTTTTTCTTTTTATTAGTGTATTCAAGCTTTAGAGGATGAGAAAAAACTTCTTGATAACTTTTGTGATCAAAGTATTAAAAATGCTTTGATTCAGGAACGAAGAAGGTTTGTTGAACTTTTTATCTATTTTCGTTGTAACATAAATACATAAATTAATAACAATTTACATAAAAACGATTAATTTTCTCATCTCAGATATGGATTTGTGCTTGAAAGATGTGTTCAAAGTTTGGCTAAACATTGGTCACAGTATTTTGAAGTGGGTCACTCCAGTATCGAAAACAATTTAGAGTGGTGGAATGATGTTTCTGCTACTCGAGAAATCTTACCAACAAACGTTGATTTGGCAGGGGCTAAAAAGCCTTTGGAACCAAAAGATCCATTATCAAGTGTTTACGATGAATATGGCTCTGTAAAGTCTGCTGGCATAAGGAAATCACAAAGTATTCATGCGTCTACTAACTCACTTCGTGATGCTCAAAGTGATACTTACAAAATGTCAAGATCAAGAGCCATGTCGTCTGAGAGTTTAACAACTCCATCTCAACAAAATAACAGCTTAAACGGTTCTGTTGTTTCTGCTTTGTTTGCCTACTTATCATCAGCAGAGAATCAACTAAACTTTTATGAAGGAGACAAAATTCATTTGATCGGTGAAAAAACACAAGGGTGGCAATTTGGGGAAAATTTAAGAACGAATTCTTATGGTTGGTTCCCAATATCATATGTTTTACCAGAACCTGAGTAAGATAGAAAACTACCTAATTAAGGGAAACTTAAGCAAATAAACTTAAATCTTCTTTCTGATTCTTTTAGAAAACCAAATGAAGAACAAGAAGATGATAATAATAGTAACAGCGATGACAGAGGAACAATAAGAAGGGGACAAGATTTTCAACGTAAGGATTCAACAATGAATAAATATCAAAAGCTTGAGAATCCACCATCTACCCTTCCACCACCACCTCCATCAAGTAATATGGGATCAGACTCAGTGCGCGTTCGCGGAAGTGCGACAACAAACTTTGCTAAATCGGTAAATGACCTACGTTTGCTTTATTTATTATTATAGCTTTCGTATTCATATTCACTACTCCACTTTAGCAGATTCAAAATCAGAAAGAAAGGCATGAAAAGAAACCATCACTTCATGGAATCTACAGTAGCAATGATAGTGGATTTTCAAATGAATTGCCACCTGCTGCTCCTGAAGTAGACTACTCGGACGATGACGATGAAGAAATGCCTAAAAAGATTCCTATTCGGTAAGATTGTATTATTTCTATTAAAAGCTTTATTATTATTGCATTATGTGACTCACAGTGAATAACATTTTGTAGGCTTCATTTCATTTCATTGTTTTATGGAAATGTGATACTATTTAAAAAAAACTCGAACTGTGACTAAACATTTATATATTCTGTAGTTTTATCGCTAGATTTCTTTTTTTTGATATTTAGGGACGAAAGAACAGTCGAAAGAAACAATGAAATCGAAGTTGAAAACAAAAGAGACACAATCTCAAAGTCACCGTACAATAATATTAAGCAATCTAGCAGTTATGGAAACTTAACAGATTCCTCAAGAAATGCTGATCATGGCTTCAACAATATTGACACAACAACAATGAAAAGAAACAAATCATTCTGGCGATTTAGCAAGTCGGAAGATATTTTGGAAGGAATGTCTTTGTGGAAGCATCGAGATTTAGTGCCCATTGATGTTGAGCAAGCTGATAAAGATTTAACTTTGAAAAAGCTAGAAAAGCCTGCAAAGAAAATGGAAACGTTACAGAAAAAGAAGAATAATAACAAAAGTTTAGAAAAAAATGATGAAGGACCTTCTAAGAAGATGAGTTCGAATAAATTTGGCGATGATGGTGGGAATCATTTAGTGGATCCACGTTTCAGAGCTCAGTCTTTTAGTGGTAACTACAGTAAAGATCAAAGGAAGAACTTTAACAGTCGAGATGATGACGATGAAATTTATGATGAGTCGCCTAAGAGAAGAAACGACACAGGGCCGACAGCAAAACATTCCACACAGAAAGGAAAAAGCAAAAATGTACAAAACTCAAAAAGCTCGAGACAGGAATTACAAGACACTAACTTTTATGATGACGATATAATGGTCATTAAAACTGTAAAGCGGAAGGAGATTTTAAAGCAATATTACTCAAGTGGCACTGACACAGAACTATCGAGTTCAGATCCTTATGATTGTATCGTTGTCGATGATCATTTAGTTCCACCTGTACAGTCATCTGCATCTTATCGAAATCGAAATAGTTATATCGAAGAACCAGACAAGAGAAACAGCATGTATTCAAGATCAAATAAAAACGATGGTGGATCAGTATCAGGGACATTACTTCCTCGAACAAAGTTGTCAAAGCCCAGTCGAGCAGAATCAAGTGAAAGATATGACATGAGTGAAAGAACAAATACTGCTAGATCGACTAAAAGCTCAAACAAGAACAATTTTGGACAATGGTCAAATTTATGGCCTGATGAGAAATCATATAATTAATTTGGTGCTACAAATTTCTTTCATACTTTTTCTATAAACTCTTTTTATACTTAAAACATGTGCCAAACATTTAAATACATTCAATTAACTATTGAACAGAAATGGTCCATTACCAGCACTTATGTTTCCATATATATTTTTACATTGTGTTGTCTTTTGAAGAGTAATAAATTATATGTATTGTTGATAGACCGTGGTGGATGATTCTTAAAATTTCCTCAGTTATCTTATCATTTCATGTTTTAGACACTAAATTATTTTTAAATCCAACTTCTTTTTTTCGTTTTTAATTTATATCTAAAAGTAAATAGCAATTGTTTTTAGGCAATCATAACTTTTATTTAATGTTGATGATTTTAAGCTAGAGTAAGCAAAGTTGATGTCTGAAAGACAATACTTAAAATTGTATTCATTATTGTTTGATAATAAAATATCTTTTAATGTTGTTTAAATTCATTCTCTTTTTTTATGGAATTTTATTTATCAAGGCCATCACAACTCAAATCTGCAACAGTTAAATTGAAAAGAACTCGTACAAACGATAGATCGGCTCCAACTTTCAAATGAAAATATCTTTAGAAGGAATTTTTAGATAGTTAAATATTTCATGTGAACAATTTTAATGTGTTTTAAATAAAAAGAAAATTTTAATCTACTTACTCAAAGAAATTCAATGTTTCCGCTCAATAGAAAAAGAGATATCTTGAGATAATTTGTTTTGCAAACAGTTTTTATGAAAGCAACGTGAAAAGTGGTGAATAAAACTGACACAGTTTCTAACAAAATTTTCTTGAAAAACTTTGCAATGCTTGTTCTGTTTATTAAAAAACTTGTGAAATTTCTCGTCGTGAATATCACACAAAATAAATAATTTTAAGTTTGATCTTCAAAGGTTCATGTTTAATTTAATGTATTTTGAGTAAACACCATTAATAGTGAGTAGCCCCTCAACATCGACTTTCGAACTCACCAAAATCGTTTTCGAAACTTCATTCGATTTCGAAGACCTTCGGTCAATAAAATTCATTATTTCACAAATATTATTTTCAAATATAAAGCAACAGCAAAATGAAGAGAAAAATTAGTTTGTAATGAAATTTAGCGTTTAGTAAGTTAAATACAGCCATGAAAATGATGCAAAACGAGTAGAAAAGGTAACTTAAAAGCAAACATATTTTGTAAAAAAAGTAAGGATAAAGTTCAGAAATCATTTCAAAGATTTTATGTTCAAGTACAAAGGTGCAGTGAAGATTTATTGTTCCTAATTTTTTTGTTGGATACGTTAGATGAAGTTTAAAAGGTTTAAAAAATTATTTTTACGTAAAATCAATACTGTGATTAATGTCCGTGGAATGTTGGTGAAAAAAAAACACAAATATTCAACATATTTTTTAAATTAGGTCAATTTTCTAATATGATTGTAAATTTACAGATTTGAAGCTCAAAAAGGAAGTGAAATCTAAAATATTGTAAGAATGGAATTGAAAGTATGGGTGGAGGGCATTCAGCGAATTGTTTGTGGGGTAACGGATCAAACTACATGTCAGGATGTTGTCTTTGCTCTCGCTCACGGTAAGACATTGAAAAATGTAAACATAACAGATGACAATAATCATATGTTAATCTTCCTCAGCAACTGGAAAAACGGGACGGTTTACTCTGATTGAGCGATGGAGAAACAATGAAAGATTATTGGCTCCTAACGAGTCACCTCTCAAGGTAATTACGATAATTAATCATCAATCAATCATCAAAGTTTTTTTAACAATTATTTTAGATTCTTACCAAACTCGGAGAATATTCAAGCGAAGTACAATTCATATTGCAAAAATCAGAGAAACCATCTCAAATTACAAACATTAACAAGCAAGATAAAAAGTCGTCAGCTGATCATGAAAATAATGAAAATTTAATAGACAAAGACAAAGGTTTAGGTTTAGGTGATAAACAATCGACAGAAATTGTTGGCATTGTTAAAGGAATTCCACAAAAAAGTTCGGATCCTGAACTTCGATCTATGGAAAGCGTGCCAAATAAAGTGGATGCTTCAAAAGACCAGAAAGGAATTTTTGGTCGACCTGTCAATGCTAATTTGAGCAGTGAAAATTTAATTGATCTCTACAATCCACGAATGAATAACAGCAGTGGAAGTACTTACAGCAACTCTTCGCCATCTCCTGTCACATCGATTGGAATCTCTGGTAATCTCAAGCCACCTGCTTATCGTAATCCACCAGCTCCAAAAACATCCCCACATAATCAGAAATTAATTGAATTAAACAATGGAAACTTTAATCCGATTTTTGCTCCTAATGATGTTTTTATGCAAAACATTCAATATCGGGATTTAGTGCAGCTTATAAAATATCAAAGGGAGAAAATTAGCACACAGCAAAATGATTTGACCAAAGTAAGTTGAATTTTCTTTCTTTTCTTTTTAAATATGTGCTATATTTGCCTCAAATTTATCAGCAATATTTACATAGACATTTAGCAAAGGAATGGCGAAAAATATTCACTTGTATGGGCGTAATTTTAGTTTCACTTTTTTTCCTCTGTTTTTCATTTTTTAGTTTGATGCTGAAATCGTTTATCTTGAAAATAAGAGTCGCGAAAACAATATCTTGCCACATTTGGAAGCCATATCGCAAGAGTTGAATAAAACGGACCAAATTTTCAGACAAGGAAATGAGCAGGTTAGAGAAAAGTTATTGTGTTTAGTATTTAAATATTTAACCGGGTTAATTTCAGCTTCAAACATTACAATATGTCGAGGAAGAAAGTGAGTTGGTACAACAGCAAGAAAAAACATTGAAAACTGAAATTTCCGCTTTGCGGTCAAAGCTGTCGATTCTCGAAACCGAATTGCTTCAATGTCGTAACAAAATCAAAAAGCTTGTCGATGAAATTCAAATTGAACAGCGAAATCAACATCAGAATGAAAGTCGTCATCAGCTTGAACAAAGATTAATGAGCGAAGTTGATCGATTACAAGCGGATATCGATTATGCCATTCATACAAGTGATAATACAGTAAAGACAGCAGACAGTTTAAAAAAAGAAGTGATGTTAATCGAGATGTCAATCGTCGAGAAGAAGAAACAGTTAGAGAAACTTGTGCAAGAAATGAAGGAAGTGAATTTGCAAAGTCTCACTGTAGCAACTGACGACATTCCAATAGGCGACAGTAAAAATTGAATTTCTTGATTTTGCATTTTCTGAATTTATTAATTTAAATTTTTTTAAAGGTTCAACAAAAACCGGAAGACGAATTATTGGATCACCTCGACAATTGGAAAATGCAGTTGCCACTAGTAAAAATCCCCACGGTGTTTGGGTCTAGGGAATTTGACAGACTTATCTTAATTAAATCTTTTGCCATCTTTAGAAATATCAATCAATATTTGCTAAATATCTATTTAGATACTTTTAAGTAATTCATAAATATTCGTCATTATTAGCTCATTTCTTTTTTGAGCTATATTCAAAGATACAAAGACATTTCTGTCATAAATCATGATATCTATGTAGGAGGAAGCTTATCTTTCTTCAACCTGAATTTAAAAAAGCGACCAACTTAGTTTATCAATTTTAAGGACATGTCAAATTATTTTTCCACTCTACTTTGTTGGTAGTTTCTATTGTAGTTTCATGGAATTTATGCAATATAAATATTTCAGTACTTTGATAGTAGTAGATAAATATTAGAAGCATAGAAAATTTTATTTCAAGTTTAGAGTTATACAGACGATTAAAAATTAAATAAAATATATATTTCATCTCATTTATGAATTTAATTAAATTATTCAAGATTAAACATTTTAATTGCGTTGCCAATGTTGAGAGCAAAATTTTATTTCTTCGGTTCATATTCCAATTTGTTCCATAAAGGGTACGCAATTTGCAACATTTTCTTTTACAAACTTCATATAAAAAGCGCTTTTTCTTGTGTTCTCCAACTTGTTCGCGAATAAAAATCAACAATCAAAGATTTTGTTTACGTTTAATTGATCAAAAAAATATTAATAACAAATAAAGTAGTGAAAAATGATTCAAAGAATAGTTTATGTGATAATAACGTTTGCTTTTTTGGTGGCATCTCAAGATGTTAAAAGCAATTCAACAGATTTTATAGCTACAAAGGAATGGCAAGAAATTCGACCCGGTAAATATTAATAAATCAAGTCAAACATTTCATAAATATTTTTCTTAATTAAGGTCAAAGAATACCACAAGGCTTACATTATCGAATAAATCTTCAAACTGGCTACAAAGAAGCCAAACTTTTAGAAGAAAATGAGAAAACTGCATTACTTGCTACTGAAGAAAGCAAGGATGATGAAATCGATGAAAAAGATTCAAACAATGACGTGGAAATTGAAGCAGCGAGGAAACGATTAGAAGAAGCTTTAAAAAATATTCCTGCTGACACTTTCAACTATGAAACTGAAAAAGAATGGAAAGATATTTCATCAAAATATAAATCTTACGATCAATTAAAAGAAGATCTCAAAGATTTGAAAATGAATATGAAAACAGAAGCAGAACTGTTAAAAGAATTGTTGGAACAATATCAAAGTTCTCCTGCTGATGAATTTTCATCTGAAGATGATAAAATAAAACTTTTAGAAGAGTTCGAGTATTTATCGCATTCAATCGATAATTCACTTTTGTTCATTTCTCTTGGTGGAATGGAGGAAATAATTATTCCAAACCTCAACGCTTCAAGCACAAAGAGAAAAATAAAGTCAATCAAGCTTCTCGGAGTAATTCTTCAAAATAACAACGAAGCTAAAAGCTATGTAATTGAGAAAACGAATATTGACAATTATTTAATTAATATTTTGTCAAAGTCAATCAATAATCAAGAACTTTTATCTTCAGCTCTTTTTGCTTATGGAAGTTTATCGAGAAATAATCGAAAAATATCATCAGATTCGCACAAAAAAGGCTTGACCGTTTTAATGAATATCATCAAAGATGAAGCAATGTCGTTAGCCTTGAAAACAAAAGCTTTAGTTCTATTAAACGATCTTTTAAGTAGTGACGAATTGAAAGATCAAGACTTATCCAAGTTTATTGAAACTTTGGAGATGTGTAACCATTTAGATAATTTCTTTAGTCTTAATAAGCAAAATTTGTGCTCTGACTCAGAAAGTTTAGAAAAAACACTTAAATCGTTTCTCGATTTGAAAGAAATTTGCCAAAAAGCATGGTCTGAGTCATCCAATTATAGACATACGCTGCTTGTTGTTTTAAGTCGTCAAGAAATACTTTTAAAGGTGCAATTAGATGAAAGCGAAGACGTTTACAAAGACATTATTTTGGAGAATATTGAACATTTAGAGCATTTGAATCAATTTCTATACGCAGATTTGAAAATAATTGATGATTTATCTCAAAAATATTCAGAAAATATAAATGACGAACTGTAAAAAGAAAATTAAAGAAAAATGCTTTTTAATCGCATGTCTTGTCTTTTTTTTCTTAAGGAGGAGAAATTAAAAAATTCACTTGTTGTTTTTTTGTTCAAAACTATCATCTTTTATTGAAGGTATTTCATGTATCGCTGTTATTATTATTCTTATTTTTATTATAATGCAATATAATATTTTTTTTGTTGTTTTAACTCACGGAAGAGAAATTTAGCAAGCTTTTATCTTTCCGTGATATTTTTTTGAATTGCTGAAAATTTTTAATTGGTTTGCAATTTTTGTTGTTCGTCTATTATTGAAAATTTCTCTAAAGGCTTCTGTTTCGCGTTGATTTTTTTCTCTTCTTCTTATTGCTATTAAATATATTTAGTTGCGCTAAAACATTTAGAAAATGCATAAAAGAAATGATTTCTTAAAGACTTCAATTTTTTATGTTTTAATAAAAGATTACGAAATTTTAAAGAAAAGTTAATTAGCATCCATGTGAAAGTTTTGTAAAATAAAGAAAAAAGTTCGGTGATGTTTTATGAGAAATCAATTCTGATTTTTCTTCATCGCTTCAAAAGTCACTGTAATGTTGAATTATGTTTTTGTTGAACAAGTTTTCAATAGATTTGAAAAATGTAGATAGAAAATAAAAGAAAAGAAGTTTCATTTAAAGATGATGCTGATGATTACCACAAACCAGAAGAAAAGCCGCCTGTGAAAAGAAATTACAAATCGTTAATAAATCATGAACTTGGTTAAAGTATCATAGATCATCATCATCATTTTCTGATTTCAATATACATATCTAAATAGATATTCTTCTTAGATGTTCTCACCTGGTGGAATACGATTCTTATTAACAACATGATTCGATGGAGCAACATTTTCTCCAGATGGCTTAATAGTTTCACCGTTAAAAGAATTTCCATCTGTGAATATAAATTAGGAATTGAATTTTGTGGAAAATTTTTCAACTTAATTTTATGATTGAAAAATTACATTGTCACTTAAAGCATTGAAAAATGAGAGAGTTCCCCCTTCATGATTAATCAACCCAATCATTATCATTTCAACGCCAATGATCCATGTAACTTTCGATCAATTCAATAAGTAACAATGAATTTTATGTCTGCAAAGTTGCATTGACTCAAAAGTGTGAAAAATGATGAAAACATTTCCAGTCAAATCAACAAAAAATAAACATTAAGAGAAAGAAACAAAAAACATTTCTAGATATGTATACATGATGAACGTTTGAAACACTCAAAAATAATAATGGAAAAAAAGATTTGAACGGATTCAGATGAAGTGAAAAATCAATTAATCATATTTGAAAGTTCGGCGAACATAAAGAAGAAAAAAAACTTAAAGCACAAATTCATTTCAGATGGTCCACATTGCACTTCAAGAAAGTAAATGAAAAACATGAATGATTTCAAGGAAAGTCGATTTACATTATCAGAGGCTTATACAATTTACCTGTGAGAGAATTGCTTAATGCTTTTCTACAAATTTTTGAATCATATGCATTGTTAATCAAAGGTGTAGCATAGTTCATGTTTTCATCATAAAATTTACTTTCTCTTTTATGTCGAATACTCAAAGGGCTTCTGTTATTGTTATTTTCGTTATTTGCAATCGACATGTAATCGTCGTTAATGCAGAAATTGATTTTTGAATTATAAGTCGGATTCAAATAATTTGAGGCTTTGCATAAGTTATTCACATCGATAACATAATATTTGGAAGTATTGAGATTATCCTCTGTTGAATGACTATAATTCTCATTAAAGTCACAACCTAGAATGATATCATATAAAATACTGAATATTACTTCAAGAAAATCAGAAACGATATGATATAATTAGGCTTAAATTCGACGAAATAATAACAGAATGTATTCATGTTCGGATAAAAGTTAATAAAGTGTGACGGCCCGGAACTTAGGAGTGGAACGGCAGAAGTCACTAGAAATCACAGTAATATATCGCTTGAATAAGTTTCTGAACAAAAAATAAGTTTAATTCCATCAAAAACCAAGTATCACAATTTCACGTTTGATTAAAGCAAGATAGAAGACGGATAGCAATCACTGTTTTCCATCATTCATCGCTAGATAATTTCATTTAAAATTGAAAATAACTTGGATTCTATTCTATCAGGTATCTGAATAATGGTAGGTTACTTACTTTTTCCATTTTCGGATCCATTAATATGCTCACGGGAAGAATTAATATGACCTTTTCCATTTGAATGCTTCAACGATGAATCGCCTTCATCGCCACCAATTGGAATATTACTCTTAAGGTGATTCTTAGCCGGTGTATACGGACGATCTACATCGCCGAACAATCGGTTATGTGAATCGAATTGTTGTCGGCGAACATCACCTAATGCATGGGAAGAAAATAAAAAATTAATATATTGAAAGAAAAAGCTATAAACGAGTGGCATCTCTAACATTGAAGTCTGGTTATTGTCTGCTTTTTTTTTGATGTTATGTTTTTATAATAGAAAAATAATCATTAAAGTTCAAGTTAAAAAATGTTGTGTGTTCTACTTTGAAAGTGAACAATTGATGTTGATGTTATTCATGTTAGAGGAATAGAAGAAAATTAAAGAAATTTCAATTGTGCCAAATCAAACACCATTTGTGTTCAAGTATTAATAACATAAATAAGTAAATATCGTTTAAAAAGTGATATAATAATTGTAATCGATTATTATACCCATATAAAAATAACGATGAAGTCCTTGAAGAACTGCGAATTTACAATAAGCAAAAAGGAATAATTTTAATTTGATTCTTAAATAATTATCGAAAATGATTCACAATAATGTTCATGCTTTATCTATTTTTAATGTTGTTAGGTCACATACCTGTTGAGTTTTTGACCGGAGACGGAGCTGAAAAAATGTTTGATTTCATATGATTCTTGATTGAACGTGGTGTTGAAGCCACATCAGTTCCAGCGAAAATATCGCTGCTTCCTCCACCTAGAGATAGGAAAGCGATTAAATTGAACTGCTTGTCATATAAATTAGCAATGTGTGAACAAACCTGGTGGCTTTAAAACTCTAGAAGATAAAGAGAAAAAAGAAACGGAAAGAAAATCGTTATTGTAAGCTTGCATTAAAACTTCCAAAAATTAGTAGGACTATAAACAGCCGCTAAATAATTAAGTCTTTATTTTCGCGATACGTATATTTGTTTGTCTGACCCAAATAATTTCAATACTTTCAGTGTTTCTTTTACTATTCTTAATTCTCATTCATCATGGTCGCTTTTTGGAAGTAATCAATAATTAAAGAAATTCACGAAATCACGTAAATTTTGACCAAGTAAGAATTTAAGGTGAAGAAATTTCTTTACTGCGTGTCAGGTGTCTAGATTGACGATTATTTATATTTGAAGGTTAAAGGATTAAATTAATGAGAAATTATTTAGGTAACAAAAGGACATTGAAACAAGAAGGGCAGAAAGTTCATTTCCATTGTGACACTTTTCAGCTGCCTAATTTGTTTTCATTTTACATCAAAGTTGAAAGGAATTCAATTTTACTACTTATTAGGATTTGACGATTATCATTTTCAAAGTTGTAGCTAAGGAATTATGATAGCGTTGTTATGAAATCTAAACAATTTCAAGCTTTTCAATGAACGTGTCTTTCAGTCGTGAATTATTTATATTTTATATCAAAAAGAAAGAAAGAAAATCTAGTGAAATGTTTTCCTTTCATGCCAACTGATGGAAAGCCTAAAGGAAAAAGGATAAAGTTTTACCTTCAAGCAAAACTTAATCCAGAAATGTCTTTGAATGGTACGACATGAAATGGTGATTGTGAACGAGAATTTATCTTAAGCATTAATTCGATTTGATGGAAAATGAGAGAATATTTTACCAAAAATTGATGTTAGTGAACAGTTAATCATGAAAGCATAAAGCTTAAGTAGTAGCCCTGTTAGCTTCATTAAAGTGAGATTAATTATCCAAAAATGCATGCAGTTCATTTTGAAGCATTCATCAATATGATAAAAAATTTCGTTTATACTTTCTTATTATAATTGTTTAGGTTTGATTAACAATACAGTTATAACTTCATCACCATGCTTCGTTTCTCTTTAAGCTGCTGAAATATTACTGTTGTGATTCGTTAGTTCTGCTTTTTGCACTTTCTTCAGATAAATAAAAATTAAAAAAAAAAAGAACAACAGTTTTGCCTATAAAACAAGACTGCAGCATTGCAAAAATTGAATATAGGTAGATATCTAGTTTTGTTTCTTTTTAATTTTACATATTCCGCTATGAATTCACCGAATCATGGAACAAAGTGTGAAGATTAAATTAAATGATAAAAAACGAAGAAATTTTATTTTCGCACAATTAAGAAAACTATTTTTAAACTGACCTTTTCTTGCCGCTTCCTACATTATAGAGTTCAACGTGTTTAAACGCAGCATATGCAGCCATAATTCTTTTCTAATTTCGTCAAGATGTTCTATGCGACAAAAATTATTCTTATGAGTGAAAAAATTTCAAGACATAAAAAAATAATCGTTTAATGCCGAGAAAACATTTAATCATAGGAATTTATGCTGAGTGATGGATCAATATTAGAAAATTTATGTAGTCAGTGACTACAAAGTTATTCTCTTTTAAACATTTATTCTTTCTTTTTCGGTATTATCCCTCTATGCAATCAGGTCACTTATTGGTCTTCCCTCATTTAAAAAAAGACTATTTAGTTTAGGGGGAGAAAACTATTGATTTTCAGCATATCTTTTAATTTTAAATATTTTCTTCATCACTTTTCTTCCTTTAAATCGAATGGTGTTATTAACCTTTCAAATCTTTTTAAAAAACTATTAAACACAACTGAAATGCGAAAAACAGAAATGAACTTTTTTCTTTCTTGTCTTTTCGGGGAAATGTTATTTCAACAGCACTTCAAATTGAACTAAAATCGTTTTCACTAGCCGAAAGCATTATATACACAAAGTGAATTGAGAAAATCTGCATTTACGTATAGCGCGCTCGTCGGCATTCAGTGTGCTCGGAAAAATTTTCTACAGTTTTTTGTTTTTTCATTTTCCTTCGTTTGTTTTGTTTTTGTAGAGAGAAGATAGAAGAGAGAATAGTTTCGACTTTTTTTTCCATGAAAGAGTTTTTATACGTTTTTTAATTGAAAAATTGTAATGTCCATAGTTTTTATAGAGCTATGATCAAACTTTTTTACAATCAATTGAAATACTTAGCGTAAGTCACCATGATCACCACATAAATTGTTTAACTTTTTAAGATGATAACGATAAAACATTTTACGTATTTACGTCCTGTCATGATGTTGAATAAAGTCTTATGCATGTTATGTTTTGAAAAAAAAATCATTAATACTTTTAACAGACATCGACTAATCCTAACGATTCTCAAACTTTAACATCTAACGCTTCTCAAACTTTGATAAGTTCATGGGCCTCGCTCAACAAATTATCATGCAATTCAACTTATATGATGATACGCTCGATTATATTGATGTTCCATATAATGTTCGATGAAATGATTAATTGCTTTCTAATATTAAAAAAAAAATTCATTTCTAGAACTGATATTAAATTATTTTAAGACTGACAAATTAAATTACACAGATATTGTTATTGTTAAGTGAGTGTTTATCATCAAACAAAAATATGCTTTGTGAATAAACAATGTTTTGTTATTTCTCATTTGTTATACTTTAACTTGTTATCAAAAAATGATTCAAGACAACACATACTACTTAAGTTAGTTGGGTTCTTTCCGGAAATTTCGTTATTTGAACTTATAAGATTCTAGTGAAACGCATGATTCATTACTTTTCAGTCTTTTGTTGTTACACCAACATTCCAATGTATTATTTTTTTTTTTATGCTTCCCATGAACACACATAACGATGCAAGATGATGCAGGTATTGGCGGTAATGTTAAGGGAAGAGAGGAGCAAAATGGAAATAGGCAAATAAATGAAAGAAAGGTTTTTTACACAAGCACAAAAACAACGAAAAAAAGTGAACAATCTTGGTCAATATTATTGACTTAAAAAACTATGTATACACTGCTTATTATTATTTACAGAATCCACGAAGAAATGTGTGTTAAATGGAAATCTTGGATCATAACGGTAAAATCTATGTTTCGATTGATACAGATTCATCTGAATCTTTCGTCAGTTTATTAATTCAATTTTAGTCAGCAAAACAATCTTAGGAAGTCCCACATTCCATCTGCGGATTTGTGAAATTAGTGTGTGGGTCTTCAGAAAATTTTATGCATTAAAATCATTTGAATTCATTCACTATACGTATAGTAGATTTATTTTGTCTCCAATTTTTATAGTAAACCATTTAAATTCAACTCACTTTGATGAATTTTTTTGTGATACAAATCCAACTTGGAAATTAGTCGACATTTTAACACTTTTAATATATAATTTTTGTTATTAAATTAAAACTTTGTTGTTATAAATTCTCAACACAACTTTCTAAGAGCGTTTTAGAAGTTAAAATGCTGTATTCGCTTGCGAGGATTTTCTTTTTATATGTACGTTGAGGTTCAAAGATGTATTCATGGGAAGTCAGTAAAAATAACGAACATAAACATTTGTAAGGTTTTGAAATGAATGTTTTCCCAGGGACACGGACTAACCCGCATTCGACTTGCGTGGATTTGACCTTCCACTTCTAAGTTCCGTCCGGGTCAGACAAATTTTTCCGGGTCTGATTGCCTTAGAGATTTTTAAAATAGTCGTTATTAGCGTTGTGAAAAATAACGAAATTTAGAAGGGAGAGTTTAATTTTTTAAATATTCCCATTCGAATTAATGACTTCAAGATGTTACTTGAATTCTTCAAAATATCTGAAAAGTAATAATAATAATGCGAATGTGATATTAAGTTTAACCATCAAAATCAAATATATATTATTTCGTTTCGCTTGAAAAAAATATCATAGAAAGAGATTGGTGGAGGAGTTGTACATATTGGAGTTAAAAAGATCGTTAATAAATTCCAATTAAGAAAACGATAATTAAAATTACATAGAATAAAAAGAGATTTAAGCTGTCAAATGTCTTTTAACACATAAATAACTGCAAAATTATTTTAAAAAATATTTGACTTGAATTCGATTGATTATTGACTTCCTCCAAGTTCATCTTCATATTGCTTTCTGAAGCAGTCACCAACAGGGAAGAAGTCCCAACATCGTTGTTGATACATATTCCAAACATAAGTCTCCTGACCCGTGTACTCGGTATCAGGTTTATTAATAAGATGCATAAGGAAGAACATATAATTTGCCAAATTATGTTCCTAAAAATAACAAACATTTAAAAGAAAAATAGAAAAGCTTCTTTAAATCGTATTCACCTGTGCGACGTGAGTATCGAAACCATGCGGAACTTTATCAAAATAATCTTTTCCAATGCCGCATATGAAGCAATTACTTTCCATATCATCTTTGACAGACTCAAGTTGATCACGAAGTTCACCAAAGGCATCGATAATCAAACCCTGAATGATGGCAAGCAAGATAACAATAATGAAGAAGAAGAATGTGATATCAAAAATGATTCGATAAACTTCATAATCATCTCCATCAGGATCGCCAATTTCATCCCCTATACCACCACCAGCTCTTACACCTTTATATAGATGGAAAACGAAACATGTCAACATGTCATGACATTTTTTATCAACTTCTTCCTCTTCTTCTTGTATGTAAAATTTACGGAAGAAATTGAAAGCGATAACCGTGTAAATATACACAATGATGGTCAAAAGCATAACAGTCAATACAAGTTGTTTGCCGTTGTGCGTTACTGACTGCAAAATGGTTCGCAATGTCTTAAAACCAACAGCAACATCAAGTAAATGAGCAGCAAAGAAGAAGTTGTTGAAATTTCCAAGAATCGAAAATGTGAAATAAAACAAGGAGTAAAGGAAAGAATTATCTGTTATTGTCACTCCCGCTTTCCATACTTGATATCTCCAGTCAATATTCATAATAAAATGAATGATTCCTCCACTTTCTGTTACTTCTTGTGTACCAAAAGCTGATTTTTCCATTCCCAAAAGATTCGAAATTGAATCAAAATCATAAGTTTCACTGTACTTTTGTCTGACTTTCTTTTTAACGAATTTGTCCCAATAATTCACAGGAAAACTCTTTGAACTTATCACTAATCTATCCCAATGAGATTTGATGTCATCATCTTCAGGATGTTCAGCAATAAAGAGACCGTCAAACTCAAGTCGTCTTGCAATTTCCTTTTCACGTTTGAAAATAGCCAATGGAACCTTCAGATGATAATAAGCGATCAACATGCACAACGACACTAAACTATGCAAAGCTGCAGCACATCTCATAACATGTTCGATATAAACTTCGTCGACTTGTACCAGTTCTAGAGGATCTTCTTCTTCATCTTCTCCACTACCATCGGAACTTCCCAACTCAATACCACCAGCCCCTGATCCAGACCCTGATCCCGAAGCGAGATCAGCCAATTCACCATCTCCAGAACTTTCCACATCTTCGCCGAGTGTTGTAACTTTGTAGAACAAAAGCATGAAATTAATGCAGAAAGCGAGCACGAGTGCCACATATTTCAAATTGTAGAAGTTTCTAGCAAGAAAACTGACTGCTTTATGAGCGTACTGTGAGAAATCAATTTGATTGACAGCAGCTGGTTCAGCAGGAGCTTGTGATGATTTTCGATTCTCCGCTTCGATTGACAGCATTGCAGCTTCTTGAACTTTTTGAGCTTCAGATCTTTCTTTCTCAGCTGCTTTTGCTGCTTCACCTCCTAACAAATCTTGAAGTGTCATTGGAGGTTCAGCTTGAACTTCACCGTCAGCATTTTCACCAGTTTGATCATTAGAAGTTCCTTCACCTCCAGCATCATCACCAGTACTTGATTGTCCTTGCGCTTGACCATCTGTTCTTGCTTGCCCACTTTCATCTTTACTGCTTTCTTGAACAGAACTTTGTGGCTCTTCTATAGGCAGAGGTGGCAATGCTAAGGTCGGAAGCACTTCGGCTTCAGCTAAAAGTGGAAGTTCTTCTTCTTCGACTGCAGGTCCACGCATTAAATTCATTAAAATGTTAAAGAAATATCTCAAAACCGCATAAAAACCGTAACCAGAATAATAGAAAGAGTATAAAATCATTTTGAAAAATCCTACGATAAGTTCAGGAATCGATTTAGTTTGCATGACGCCAATTTGATGTTTAATGTTGGTGGGACTTAATAAGAATGCGAGATTTTTAAATCCATCTTTAACTGATTGAACACTTCTTCGGATTGGATCTCTTGCAGCTTTTTCTTCATCTTCTTCACTGATGTAGGAACTATAATGTGCACCATCACGTTTAACATTGCCACCTTTCTCATCAGTTGCCATAATCTCCGATGCATGTGTCATTTCAAAAATAGCATCTTCGCAGAAATTAACGAATGCTTCGAGTTTCTCTTTGTCGCCACCTTCAGTCACAATTGAGTAGAAGAAAGCACGTTTTGATTCTTTGATTTGTGGTTTCTCCCATTGCTCGATGTTCGATTCCTTTATTTCAAAGTAAACTCTTTCAATTTTCTTTGACGATCCTAAAATTTCGATTCTTCCTAAAAATGGTTCGAAATAGTTGAGAACAGAACCAGCAGTTTCAAGGAATCTTGCAAGTCTACAAAGAAATTATTCATTTTTTACTTATGTGATTTGATATTCTATGCAACCTTACCTCGGTTCATTCGGCATATGTTCGCTTAAATTTGTCAGCAAAACAGCCAAATTAAAACCGATTTCCTTCGATGGTTCGTGGAAACGATCACAGAATCCAATGTAATCAACTTTTCCATCATGATTGACCTCACAACAAGCTTTAATGTTACGTGAAAAGAATTAAATTCTCATTTTTTGAAATTAAATTCTAATTTCTTACCTAATAAGAATTCAATTTCCTCAGGTGTGTAACTCTTCTGTTGTTCCATCTTCTCTTTGAAATCTTTCGGCAACACCCATCCATCATTATTGGGATCAATTTCAAGAAAACTTGGAGCTGATGTTAAATCTTTTAATTTCAAGAACATGTCGAAATATTTGAGAATCAATTCAACGTTTGATGCCGATTCAACCAACGTGTCAACCATTTGTTTTCCAATTGTTCCATTCACAACATTCCCTTCAAGCATTGACAACATCATTGTAATCATATCTTTTTGAAGATTGAGAAGTTCTTTCAATAAATCAACTTGACTTGAATGCTTCGATAACTTTTCTTGCATATGTGAGAATAAGAATAAGAAACCACCAACGGCATCCCACAATCTGTAAAGTTATTTTTATTATTCTTCTTCTATTATTCACTCTTTAAATTTATAGTAAAACTTACCTTGAATGAGCGAGTGCTTGTTGATTCTGTGTACATGGACCTTGAATGACTTCAGTAAGAGTGTTGAAAACTTGACTGGCAACACCGATGGCTTTGAAGAAATTGATTTTTCCTGCGGGATCAATAAGTTCTTTGCTAGAATAATGCCAATAGAAGTCCATGATAGATTCTTGCAATCTTAAAAGATAATCGACAGTGCAAATGACAACATTGACAGTTGTTGTGTTTCCTGCTTGAGTTCTCAAATAATTTTGCCATTCCAAATTGTGACCCTCACAAGTCAACTGAATGAAACGGAACAAAGCGCAAGTAAATTCAGCATCATGCATGTTCTTTTCGCCAGCAGCGCCTTCGGAACCAACACCCAAACCTTCTGCTTTTGTATTTCTTTCAAAAGCATCAAGATCGAGAACACTGCAGCTATTCATAAGCCCAGCAATGGATGTGAAGAAACCGACATCCTTTTTGTCTTTAAGATGATTCAACATTCGCATTTGAATGTCAATATTACCACCACGTAAGACTGCGATACCAAGTTCAAGAGTCTTCATAACCATTTCACTTGGAACACCTTTCGATGCTGATATGTGTAACAAAACCATTTCAGCTACTCCACGATTTGCAAGACGAGCTTGATGGAACAAAAGCTTCTGTTTCTCCATTTCTTGTTCCTATGAAATTGTAAAAAATTAATTTTCATTGAAGAATATTTAAGAATTTTCATATAAACTCACATGGATACTTGCACCGCCTTCTTCTTCACCTCTGAAAATTCATCAAATTTTTAATATTTGTAAAACAATCGCAAAATTATTTCATAATTCTCACTCAGCTTCTTCTTCTTCTCCACCTTCTTCTTCTTCTTCACCACATGATTTGGCGATAATTTCAGCGTATGACATGTATAAAGGATCTTCTTGTAAAGCTCCTGATCGTTCAGTCATCGCTCCACGACAGAAAGTTGTAATCAATTGAGTGAGAGGATCAGGCTTTCCTTCATCTTCTTCGTCTTCCTTTTTCTTCTTCTCTGAATCTTCAAATGATTGCTAAGTATGCAAATGAAATATTTTAATCAACAACTCATAGAAACATTCTTCACATCAAACTTACAGTTAAATCCTCAATCATGACTTCCTGGCCAACATTTTCTTCTTGCAGCCAAAGTTCGTAAAAGGTCTTTGCAAAGATATTACAGGCTCGATGTCTGTTTGAAATTAAAATCATTATAAAATTACTTTCCTTATAATTAAATCGAGTAAAACTCTAAAACTAAAGCTTTAAAAGCATTCAACTTACATCATGAAGCATTAAAAAAATATTAGTTTGATAGCACAGAAATTTATTAAATGGTAAGTTAAAATCATTAAATTTCTTTTNTCGTCCACTTTTTTTCTCCTTAGGTGGAGGCGGAGGTTGCAAAGGCTTGTAAACAATCGCACAGAGTATTATAAAGCTTGAGAGAAATGTCAACGTTATTAAACATTTCTTAAGTCCATAATTGATTTCAATGTACGTTAAAGCTCCTGGAAGCAAAGCAGTAAATACTGAAGAACCTGCAGTCACCAATCCATTAACTACTCCAAGATAACGTTTGAAGTAGTGACCGAGAATAGCAAGTGTTGGGGTGTAAGCTAAAGCAGCACCTGTTCCAAACATTATTCCATAAGTTAAACAAAGCATCGTCACATTGTCGGGATTGAATGGTTCGTCAACAAAATATGATGAAAGAAACATCCCAGATGTCGTCAGTAATCCACCTATAAATGTTGTCGTTCTAAGTCCGAGTTTATCAACTAATATTCCAGAAATTGGAGAGAATAAAAACGTGGCTCCAATTGTGAGAGATCCGACGAGTGCTGAAAAATTGTAAACATAAATTCATTAATTGAATTCAGCAGCTTGTTGATGACAATGTCAAATTATGCTTGTTATCTGTAATCGTTCTTTGAATGCCTCAACAAAATGTCTATTGCATCATTTTATTTTTAATGTGGAAATTGTGTCTGTGGAAGAGAGTTGACAGGCCATCGACTGATAACACAAGGCGAGTATTAATCAATAAATGTTCTTTTATGTTTACGTAACGTAAATTGTCAGTTTAATCTTTTTAATACAATGCCGGGTTATTTTTCGTTTAATGAATATTTTCGCACATTTCTTATCATAAAATATAATTCAAGTTGAAGAGTTTCGGCCCACAGCCATTTGTTATCACATTTGGTTTGATTGATATAAAGAAAAAGGTCGTTGCTAAATGCTAAGTTGTTTTAGTTCATCAGAATCTTATCACAATGTATAACATACTTGAAAAACAGATTAATTGATTTGAGTTGATGGTTTGCCATTGAAGTCAATTGTTTCCCAGACAACATTTCAATTAAATTGTCGATTTCTTTAATTCAGAATGAAAACTTTTCTCGAGTTCAATGCATTGAAAAATTTTAATTTATTTATGTCAAGGACAGAAAAAGCATGAAATATTGCTACAGTTTGAATAGAATTTATTTGCAAAAAAAAATTACGAAATATTTTAATGATGAAAAATCGACAACTTCTTTATAAGGAAAATGAATTAAATTATTGCATTAACAAGTAAGAATGATAAATTTAATCATCATTTACACTGCAAATGTCAATGAACTCACAAATTACATGGAAATGAAATTTCTTTTCCTTGGAAGAAGCCAGAAAAGGTCTTTCAAGTAATTATTAAAGAAGCTTAACGACAAAACTGAGTGACATGTTCCACAAAAGCCACTAAACGTCGAAGGAAAAGAAATTTAAAAAAATGACGATCGTAAGTCCCAGAATTTCGTCATCAACCGGCGTCATTTTCGCAAACCACCAACGGCATCCCATAATCTGTAAAGTTATTTTTATTATACTTTTTCTATTATTCACTCTTTAAGTTTATAATAAAAATTACCTTGAATGAGCGAGTGCTTGTTGATTCTGTGTACATGGACCTTGAATGACTTCAGTAAGAGTGTTGAACACTTGACTGGCAACACCGCTGGCTTTGAAGAAATTGATTTTTCCTGCGGGATCAATAAGTTCTTTACTTGAATAATGCCAATAGAAGTCCATGATAGATTCCTGCAATCTTAAAAGATAATCGACAGTGCAAATGACAACATTGACAGTTGTTGTGTTTCCTGCTTGAGTTCTCAAATAATTTTGCCATTCCAAATTGTGACCTTCGCAAGTCAACTGTATGAAACGGAACAAAGCGCAAGTAAATTCAGCGTCATGCATGTTCTTTTCACCAGCAGCGCCTTCGGAACCAACACCCAAACCTTCTGCTTTAGTATTTCTTTCAAAAGCGTCAAGATCGAGAACACTGCAGCTATTCATAAGCCCAGCAATGGATGTGAAGAAACCGACATCCTTTTTGTCTTTAAGATGATTCAACATTCGCATTTGAATGTCAATATTACCACCACGTAAGACTGCGATACCAAGTTCAAGAGTCTTCATAACCATTTCACTTGGAACACCTTTCGATGCTGATATGTGTAGCAAAACCATCTCAGCTACTCCACGATTTGCAAGACGAGCTTGATGGAACAAAAGCTTCTGCTTCTCCATTTCTTGTTCCTATGACATCGTAAAACAATTAATTTTCATTGAAGAATATTTAAGAATTTTCATATAAACTCACATGGATACTTGCACCGCCTTCTTCTTCACCTCTGAAAATTCATCAAATTTTTAATATTTGTAAAACAATCGCAAAATTATTTCATAATTCTCACTCAGCTTCTTCTTCTTCTCCACCTTCTTCTTCTTCTTCACCACATGATTTGGCGATAATTTCAGCGTATGACATGTATAAAGGATCTTCTTGTAAAGCTCCTGATCGTTCAGTCATCGCTCCACGACAGAAAGTTGTAATCAATTGAGTGAGAGGATCAGGCTTTCCTTCATCTTCTTCGTCTTCCTTTTTCTTCTTCTCTGAATCTTCAAATGATTGCTAAGTATGCAAATGAAATATTTTAATCAACAACTCATAGAAACATTCTTCACATCAAACTTACAGTTAAATCCTCAATCATGACTTCCTGGCCAACATTTTCTTCTTGCAGCCAAAGTTCGTAAAAGGTCTTTGCAAAGATATTACAGGCTCGATGTCTGTTTGAAATTAAAATCATTATAAAATTACTTTCCTTATAATTAAATCGAGTAAAACTCTAAAACTAAAGCTTTAAAAGCATTCAACTTACATCATGAAGCATTAAAAAAATATTAGTTTGATAGCACAGAAATTTATTAAATGGTAAGTTAAAATCATTAAATTTCTTTTAAAATATCAATATTAAGACTCATCAGTTAATTTTTTTTAGATACACAAAAGTGAATCAATGTGTTAATAACAGTCAACTGCAATCACTTTAGTTCAGCCTTTTATGACATTTAATCTCACGACCCTACCTCCCTAAGCTATTTAATCTTGATCGATGAAAGCACAAAAAATTATATTTGCTTACTTATTAAATACAACAGAAGAGATCGTGGCTTTGGTAAATTAGTTTTTACACACCTCTCTAGCTTGTAAAGTGGTTTTGCCCGAAGACATTTAATAGCAATTTTTTTCCTAGATGCTGAAACTCTTTTTTTAACTGCATCTAATGAACGTTTAACCGTCGCCTGGATTACATTTTAATGATTGAAAACAAGTTTATTAAGAGCACAATTGGAAAAAAAAAACAAAAAGAAACTCAAACTCAAAAAGAAAACTTTCAAGGTGTGTCAAAAGCGTCACTCTAAAATAATGAAATTTTCATGAACCTTGGCAATGAGTGCAAAGACGTTTGTCTGTAACATGCGATGACAACTCGCTTTCTCTGAATGCTAACTACCGAATGATAAACATTCTTACTTTGTTGTTGAGGATGATCAATCTAGAATCGTTTTAGTGGCATGAAAAAGTGATTAAATAAATGTTCTTGAATATATGTGAAATATAATTTGAAATTTTCAAAAAAAATTTGCAAGGAAATTCTAAACAATATTGCGCGAATTAATCGAATCAGATTTTTCTTCTATTCAAGGTAGTGTCAAATTTAATTCTTAAATCGATATTCAATTAAAATTGCCAATGATTTTGCTAAGAATATAAAAATTCCTTCAAGTTTTTGACAGTAAATTAAAATCACTAGAAGTTTGTTACATGAGAATAACTTACCATATGTAAACCATATAAAACTTTAGCCATCGCAACAATTCGCTCGACAGTATCTTGAATTTTCTTTTCTTCTCCTTTTTTGTCGTTCGATGATTTTTCAAGTGACTCATCAATTGGTTGTTCATCCTTTTTACCTAATTTAGAATAGAGATAATGTTGCCAACTCATTTCATCAGCGGGATCCAATTTGTCAGGAAGTGTAAGTTGAGTTCTTGCGAATTCAACAACTTCATGTTCTTGAGTTTTCTTTAAGTAACGATCTTTGCAATGTTGAACAAGTTCTTGTTCTCTTCCAGCAAATAAGTTTAAGCCAACAGGCAACAATCGTTTTAAACATGCCACCATTAAACTTGCTTGAATTTCCTTATCTTTGTCACGTTTCTTGTCGCGATTTTTCTTCTTTTTCTTAATTTTTCCAGCACTTTGTGGCTGACCTTCGACAGCAGTTTGGGTTCGACGTGATGCCGTGGGCATGATAAGTGCCATGTTGTCAATTTCATTAGCACTAATAAAGTTCTGTTCTTCTTTTAAGAAATATTGACTCTTCGATCAGATGTTAAATATTTCAACAACAAAATTGTAAAGTTCTTCAGCTTCCGGAATATTATTCTTCAACCAGTGATTTCTTTGCAAGTCAACGTATTTAATAAGTAAAGGATAGAATGAATAAATGTCGCGAACTAATAATTGCCAGTCTTCTTGAATTTGTGATTCAACTTGCGATGTGTCATCAGTTGACGATTTCAAAAATCCTCGTAAACTTTCTTCCTTGTGGAACATGTTGTCGACTCGTCGTTTAACTCTTTCAGCCAATGGTAAGAAAGGATCTTTAAGAAGTTCTTCGGAACTATTTATAATGATTTGTTGAGTGTATGCAGCAATTCGGGTCATCCACGGAGCATTTTCATTACCAATATTCTTTTTAATAAGTTTCAACACGTGTTTGAGAAGTTGATTCATATGATCGGCTGTCACAATCGTCACATGATTACCAGAAGTTGGACTGACATTGTCAGGACCTTAAGAATACATAAATAAGAAATTGTATGAAGCATTTTATTGTTAATTTAACTCACCTTGTGCCCACCAAAATGGCAAATAAGAACAAAGAAGTGGCATAATAACATCAATAACATGCTGAGCTTCTTGATAACTCTGTAAAAATTCAAATTAATAAATTCAGAATACTTTGAAATTAAAAAATAAAAACCTTTTCTGATTCAACATATTGTTCAACTTCCTGCATGATTGTTTCAAGTGTTGGCATTGTCTGTTCCATTTTCGCCATAATATCTTGTGCTTCTAATGAATGATCAGCAATACGATTAAGAAGGGAAAATGGATTGTGCTTGTTTGATTGAGGTTCCAAGTAAGCTACAGGGAAGCATGAACTAAATGCTCCAAGGCAAGATCCAAGTGCTGGTTTATGTCGTTCAAACTCTGTCTTCAAATATTTGCGATCACGTGTTAGAGTTTGATCAGTGCCCAAAGTATACAAAGCTGATAATATTTTGTATGATGCAACTTGAATTTCATCAACTGAGTCAGAAAAAAATAAATTATTAGTCATGTGAAGTCAATCGAAACTTAATTTAATTACTCAATAAATCGCTTCCATAATCACAAGCAGCTAAATGATCAAACATCGCTGTAAGAACTGGAAGAATGACCTGATTGACATACTGCAACGATGTTGAAGTCTTCAAATGTGTTCCACGTAAGTGGCTATACTTTCCATCAACAAGATTTGTTATTGTATGTCCGAGATCATCGGCTGTGTTGTTGAAGAATGTCAACATCGATGTTCGAATAAATTCTGGACAATTCTTCACAAGGGATTTAGCGTCAATGCTTTTCACTAAAACTTGTTGACATCGAACAGTGATGCGAACATCAGCACCAAAAGCTGTTAATCGATTTCTTAAAAGATTCCCAAGTTTACAGAACAAAGCTGCGATCATTTCCTTCTCTTTCAAAGAAGCTGCTCCAATATTGTTAGTGGCTGTTGCTATCGCAATGAAATAATTTCTATTTGTCGAGAAATATTTCTCCATAAGTGGTAAAACGACTTTCGAGAAGAATTTGATGTCACGAGAGCTCGTTTTAAACGATGATATTCGGCTGAATGTCGTTGATGGTTTCAATAATTTCATGTTGACAGTTGCACGATCGAGATATTGAATAAGCTTTTCCAATAATGAATAAGCAAATCGTAATTCAATCGCTGCTTGAACATTTACTTGTTCAGCATCAGCAGTTCCTTTCGATGGTCTGTGAAATGAATTTAATTTAACAAAAGTTAAAACAAGAATAAATTTTCTGTAAGCTCACTTATGGAATTTGTAACCTTGATATTGCAGATACTTCAAAAACTCTTGTGAACGTTCTCGATCCTTTCTCTTCTCCTTGTCGGTCAACAAATCATATGGCACAAGTTGGGGATGAATACTTCCTCCACATGCTGTCAACTCTTCCATCTTCTTCTTTGCCCAAATATCGTGAGCATTTTCAACAAATTTTTCTGTCATATTTTGCATTTCTCTACTTAAAGTTAAATTCGTCATGTCAACTGGATGGGGATGATAATTAAATGGTGAACCACCAGAATCACTATGTGACATTTCCTAGAATTTAAATCATTTTAAAATCGAATGAATTAATTAATTAAATAAAAATCTTACTGGTTTTGAGTTCCTTCTGATTGATCCTCGTGATGAACTTGGTAATTCAGATTCTGATTGTTCAACTGTCCAACCAAGTGCCAAAAGAGCTTTCAAACTCTCACGTACTGGATCTTTGTATCTTTCCTTTTCCTAAATCAATAAAAAGCATGAAAAGTTGTTTCAACCTCATTGATATAAAAAACTTACATAATCGTTAAGCATGTTATAAGGCTTAAGTCTTGGATGATTCTTCTGTGAATCTGACCATTGTTCACCATAAACCCAACCATTCTCGAGTTTTCTACTCGCCCATGCATCGTGATAATGTTCACTGAACTTTTGAGTGATTGTATTCAAATCATTGTTAAGATTAACACTGTAAGTGTTGATGGGTTGAGGATTGTATTGAGGTTGATCTGGTCCACCTCCAGTTGGCTTTCCATACAAATCGTCATCGGTATTCTTTGATAAACTGTAATCTGGTGGAAGTGCACATCCAATTGCAATCAAACATGGAAGTGCTTTGCCGAAAAGTTCGGGATCATAATCCATGTTACTCAATGAATCAAAAATATTTGAGAACAATAACATCGTCAGACGTTTCTCTTCATCCGATGATGTTCCATAAGATCCTTGACCACCTTGAACCATAATATTTAGCGCATCTCTTGTAATGCAAAGTAAGAAGCTAAAAGAGAAAAATTAATTAAAAATTTATTCAGATGAAGAATAGTTTAATTCAACTTACACGCAATGCTACAGTTGTGTACTCAGATAATTTTGATACATCAATTGTTAATTTCCGTAGCAATTTGAGTAACATTGCTGGTTGCATGGCTGTTGTCAAAGCAACAAGAAAATCTGAAACAGCTTCACGTTGACCTTTTGTAAGCATTCGATTCTTTGACAAACGATAAACTGTGTGAAGTGTTGCATCTAACAAACTGGCGTAGTTCTCAGCTTCATTGTAAAATCTTGAATGTTTTATTTATGAGAACTGGTAGAATTGAATTGCCGATGTAACGATTCATTGACAACGCCATGTCACTTTCAGAACCATCACTTCGATCTAACATTGTTGCAGCACGCAAATCGGGAAGAAAAGCGTCTTCCAAAAGTTTGTAGAATAATTCTTGAGTCTCAATTCCATAGACACGTTCAAGGAACATCACAACACTTTGCTTATGACCAGGAATGAGACCTGATGGCATATCTGATTTTGGACGTTCTTCGCCAGCTGCTGGATTTTGCAATGTGAATTTCAAGCTAAGGACTCCTTGGAGATCTTCTAAAGGAACCAATGATCTTAGAATGGCACGAGCACGAAGTGATTCATTCTTTCCTTGCTCAATAACAGAAGCATCAGGAGCGCAACGACCTAACAAATCCACAAGGGTGCAATAGAAAGCAAGAATGGCTGCACCTGTATCGATATAATCTTCATCGTCATCACTTTCTGGTAATGGATGATTGAATAATGCGCTAGCTATTTGACCTTCAGCTTCATCTTGCATTTTACGGCGATCGGCGATTCTCTCTGACATTTTATTTGCATCAATGATTGCCTTCAATAAACCTTCGCCCTCTCCTCGTAATGCTGGTCCCAAACATTCTGGTCTACGAATGAGAAGTCTGATAACCAAGTTGGCATTCTCTTCAACACTTTCTCCGTTAACCCAAACACAGAAACGAAGGAAATCTAAGAATCTTTCACCTTCCACTGGATCCCAACCCAAATCTGGGTAGCCTTTCTCAACAAGTTCAGAATTGCTTTGCAATCCACAACGTGACAAATAAATTGCAATCTTTTCCAAATAATGTTCACGGAGTGCAAGAGCTAATTCAGTATTTTCCATGAGACTTGAATATGCAACATCTAATGGAGTGGAGCCTCGTAAACTTGGACGTGACAGTAAAATATTCGAATTTTCAAGTAAGAAGTCGAAATGATCGAACATTGCTTTCTGATTTTGACGACCAGTCCGACAGAAGTAACAAAGAAAGCGACAACAAGCAACAACCATCTCATGTGACGTGTCTTTCTCTTTTACTGGAGCTTCATTTCCTTCACCTGAAGTTACTGGTGCATCACTTTGAGCTTGTGCACGTCGACCCAATGTATTCATCATCACTGCCATGACATTCTCGTGGACTCTCAAAACTCTAATTAAATCAGGATGTTGGAAGAAAGTGTGATTGTTGACCAATTTCCATAATCTCTTACGCATCAACTCTTCTTCCTCTTGACTCATTTGAACAGGCAATAAAGCTCGGATTTGACTCAAACCAATCCACATTGCAGCAACATCATCCTTTGTTTTCGCATTAATGACATAAGTTTTCTCAAGAGCGCGAATTAACTCACCAACAGTGTCATACTGCCGAACTAATAAACTGAACATTTCACGAACAAGTTTTGGTGTTTCAATTTGTGATTCTTCTGCCCACGACACAATTGTCCTGATCAACACTTTCCTGAAGATTTCTTCAGGTGTTTTCTTCACAGGTTCTTCGCCTTCCTTTCCTTCTTCATCCATTTCTTTAACGGCATTAATGAAATTATATAATTTCTTCATAGCTCCTGGTTTTTCAACAATGGCATCTTCTGATGGTTCAGGTTCAACGAGTGCATTCAAAGACACTTTACCCATAAGGTGTTCGTAAAATCCATTCAAATTTTCCCTCAAATCACCGCCACACGGTATATTCTCGTCATCTTCTTCCATATTTTTAAAACCTAAAATTGCATTCATTTGTTCACGAGGTGGACAACGGAACTCTCTGGTTTTCTTCGCAGCAACCGCACTTGGCAGATCTGATTGTTTGATTTCAACGTATCTTCTAAGTTGATCGGATTGTAAATCGCCAACAAAGTCATGGGAGAAAGCAATTATACTCTCAACACGATGTCTTAATTGAATGTCGCATAAATGTTGCAACAAATAGCACATTTGAAGTTTAGCACCTTCAGCCATCTTCATAGTTAAAAGTCCTTTCTTGTGTTCATCTTTTCCTTCTGTTAAATGAATAAATTAATTATATTTGGTTCAATATTCAATTGATGATCATTTTACCTCTATCAAATGTTTGATCCCAAGTCTCTGGATCGATCATCAATAAAAGTTTATCAATATCTTCATCAGTTAGAACGCCGACCAATAGCAGTCGATCAGTAAGTTTTATTAAAGGCCTAAGAAAAAATTATCAAATTCGAAATTTCATTTCTTTTTTAAAAATGCTTTCAATACTTACAAGAATAAGTTTTCATTTGATCCACCAATTGGATCACGATTATGGACTTGATTGATCTCGACAGCTTCTAGAATAGCTCCCATTACAAATTGTCTCACCACTTCCAATGGAAAACGTGGCGAATAGAGTTGATCAATGACGGGAATCGGCTCACTGGAAATACCTTGCGCTACTATTTGCGGTATATTAGAAGTTGGGGGAGGACTATGGAAAGGTTCAATAAGGTGGATACATGCCCAAACATATTATTTTGTTTTTTTGGCCATTTCGATGCAGGGTGCAAGAAAAGAAACATAAAATTGATATAAAGTAAGTCAAAAAGTTTCATCTCAGGATAAAAGCAGAAGAAAAAACTTCTAAAAATCTACTTTTCTGAAAAATCTATTAAACTAAACACAATTAAATACTTTAAGTCTCATGAAACTACATTTTCGTAAAAAAATGTTAGCTTTGATTCTCAAAGCTTTCATTTTATTTTTGACTTTTATGATTTGTTTCATACTCTAAACAAAATAACCAAAATGGATTTGAACGTTTGCAATTAATGTAATTTTAAGGAAGTGTGGAGGTTGTCATATTAAATTCATGGAATGTCTAAGCCACATGCTAAATAAGAATTGCAAACGTTCATTGCGCAGTCTGATGACTAAATTATTAAAAAATCATGCTTTTAAATTAATATCAAAATAAAAAGCCAAAAAAATATTTAAAAATTCTGCAACCTAAATCAAAATTTAAAAATAAATTGTTAGTGTATGAAACTTGACACATTAAGGAACTTGCGCACAATTAGTAGCAGTTACTTACACAATATCTGTCATTTTCATTGTTGGTCTGACAGATTCCATTTGAAGTGAACGAAGTGAATGACACATATCATAATTGTTATACAAGTTCTTGAGTTCCGGACCTAAAGGTATGATAAATTCATTTTTACATGCTTCCATTGTTGTAGCATGAGACTCAAGATGAAGTGCAATAAGTAGATCGTAGAATCCTAATCGTAATGGTCCACTCATGTATTCAGATTTTATGGCATAAAGCAATTGCTTTTGATCGACATGAAGGCACAGTGCGTGTGCTGCTCGATAGTTTGACTGATAGCACAAAGCAGCGTATAATGTCAAAGTGTGTGAATGGAACGATAAAAGTTTGTCCATTTCTATAAGTTCGAGAATGTCTATGCATCGGTCTTCTTCAGGAATATGAAGTGCAAGCATTGAAATAGCATCTTCACAAAGCATCGACCAACCACGAAGATCAGAAAGTTTTAAAGCATGAATTTGTAAAGCAACATTTGGAACTCTTGGCCATTGATGAGGCTTCAAACATTGGACTTTAGGTCTTGGTGGGAATTGAGGATTGACATGTTTGTCACTTGTTGGCAGCACAGCAGCTGACAAGGAAAGTGCTGTTGGTGTTCGTCCTAATTCGATTTGAAGAATTTCTTTGCTTGTTGCTTCGACGAAGATTGCAGGGAAAAGCTTAGTGCCAGATTCCATTAAATCTGAAAGAAGGATTGAAAACATTGATCAAATCTATTTCATCAAATCGAAAAAAAAGTTTACATCGATGTGAAGTTTCTTTTCCTTCGCAAGTGAACTTAATTGTTCCTGTTGCAGTGTCAACAAAACAGCCAACAAACATTCCTTGACTTGCGCCTTTACCAGAAGCATCTTGAGTGACTTCATTATGTCATGTATTTAATCATCGTGTTCACTGAAGTACAATCTTCAAAACGAATCATATACCTATATCTTAACCAAGTTCTGTGGTTTTTGTTCTCGAAATACATGAACTAACGGACTGCCTTTATGTGCTAACTTCGCCATATCAGATGTCGGATCTTTGAAAGGAATCACATGCTCTGAGAAATAAACAAAAATGTATTAAAGTACCTAATTTTTCCTTATATTTATTTATGACTTACCATTGACTTTTGTAAACACAATTCGCCCTTCAAGAAATGGTGGAATCGTGTGATGTGGTGATAAAAGTGCTCGAACAATTGTTTCCTCTTCATTGTGATTAGAATTGCTCGATTAATTGTTTCCTCTTCATTGTGATTGGAATTGTGAGATGTGTTAATAAAAGTGCTCGATTAATTGTTTCCTCTTCAAAATCTTCATTTACATTAATTGATGTCACTACGCCAGATGTTATCATTCTATTTTGTTCTGAAATTTTCGAATAAAAATTATATTTTAAATAAAATATTAATGATATTTGAATCAAATTAATAATTGAAGTACTTACATAAAAATATCGTTTTTGGTGCATTATTAACGATATTNATTTGAGAACAGCAACATCGTCAGACGTTTCTCTTCATCCGATGATGTTCCATAAGATCCTTGACCACCTTGAACCATAATATTTAGCGCATCTCTTGTAATGCAAAGTAAGAAGCTAAAAGAGAAAAATTAATTAAAAATTTATTCAGATGAAGAATAGTTTAATTCAACTTACACGCAATGCTACAGTTGTGTACTCAGATAATTTTGATACATCAATTGTTAATTTCCGTAGCAATTTGAGTAACATTGCTGGTTGCATGGCTGTTGTCAAAGCAACAAGAAAATCTGAAACAGCTTCACGTTGACCTTTTGTAAGCATTCGATTCTTTGACAAACGATAAACTGTGTGAAGTGTTGCATCTAACAAACTGGCGTAGTTCTCAGCTTCATTGTAAAATCTTGAATGTTTTATTTATGAGAACTGGTAGAATTGAATTGCCGATGTAACGATTCATTGACAACGCCATGTCACTTTCAGAACCATCACTTCGATCTAACATTGTTGCAGCACGCAAATCGGGAAGAAAAGCGTCTTCCAAAAGTTTGTAGAATAATTCTTGAGTTTCAATTCCATAGACACGTTCAAGGAACATCACAACACTTTGCTTATGACCAGGAATGAGACCTGATGGCATATCCGATTTTGGACGTTCTTCGCCAGCTGCTGGATTTTGCAATGTGAATTTCAAGCTAAGGACTCCTTGGAGATCTTCTAAAGGAACCAATGATCTTAGAATGGCACGAGCACGAAGTGATTCATTCTTTCCTTGCTCAATAACAGAAGCATCGGGAGCGCAACGACCTAACAAATCCACAAGGGTACAATAAAAAGCAAGAATGGCTGCACCTGTATCGATATAATCTTCATCATCATCAAAACAAATTGTTAGTGTATGAAACTTGACACATTAAGAAACTTCACACAATTAGTAGCAGTTACTTACACAATGTCTGTCATTTTCATTGTTGGCCTGACAGATTCCATTTGAAGTGAACGAAGTGAATGACACATGTCATAATTGTTATATAAGTTTTTGAGTTCTGGACCTAAAGGTATGATAAATTCATTTTTACATGCTTCCATTGTTGTAGCATGAGACTCAAGATGAAGTGCAATAAGTAAATCGTAGAATCCTAATCGTAATGGTCCACTCATGTATTCAGATTTGATGGCATAAAGCAATTGCTTTTGATCGACATGAAGACACAGTGCGTGTGCTGCTCGATAGTTTGACTGATAGCACAAAGCAGCGTATAATGTCAAAGTGTGTGAATGGAACGATAAAAGTTTGTCCATTTCTATAAGTTCGAGAATGTCTATGCATCGGTCTTCTTCAGGAATATGAAGTGCAAGCATTGAAATCGCATCTTCACAAAGCATCGACCAACCACGAAGATCAGAAAGTTTTAAAGCATGAATTTGTAAAGCAACATTTGGAACTCTTGGCCATTGATGAGGCTTCAAACATTGGACTTTAGGTCTTGGTGGGAATTGAGGATTGACATGTTTGTCACTTGTTGGCAGCACAGCAGCTGACAAGGAAAGTGCTGTTGGTGTTCGTCCTAATTCGATTTGAAGAATTTCTTTGCTTGTTGCTTCGACGAAGATTGCAGGGAAAAGCTTTGTGCCAGGTTCCATCAAATCTGAAAGAAGGATTGAAAACATGTTCAAATCTGTTTTATCGAATCGGAAAATAAGTTTACATCGATGTGAAGTTTCCTTTCCTTCGCAAGTGAATTTAATTGTTCCTGTTGCAGTGTCAACAAAACAGCCAACAAACATTCCTTGACTTGCGCCTTTACCAGAAGCATCTTGAGTGACTTCATTAAACAATTCATCAGCTCGAACCATGTAACACGCTTGACGTCCGACTCTGCATAGAAGTTAGTTAGAAATTATGTCGCATTGAAATAAAATAATAAATTTACTTTTCAATAATTTGTTCGTAATCATCTTCAACGATTAACGCGGCTCGTCGTACTTTATCTTGCTTAAAGTCGTGACTATGAAGATGATATTGAGTTGTCACCCAACCAATGTAAACTAAAGTAAAACAGAAAATTTTCACGATGTTGAATCTTGTCAACTTGTTAAGACTCACCATGAGTTGGATCTTGACCAGGATAGATACGAACACCGTAGAAATATTCATTAATTAATTTTAAACATTCACTATCGTAAACTTCATTTCCGATTGATTCGATATTTTGGGATCCCAAATTTTTCTGATTTCTATCAGGAACTTGGGGAGCTTGAACTCGTAAATCAGCATTTGAAACTCGAACTGTTGGTGCTGTTCGTGACATCAAATTTGACTGAATAACATTTCTTCCTTGATTACGTTTCTCTTCAGCTTCATTCTTTTTGATCTTTTCTTTTGATTGATCTCGTTTCTTGCCGAAAAGTCGGAAAGGCGATCGGCCTCGTTTCTTCTTGTCATCCTTTTCATCGGCTCCATAATTCATGTCAAGATTACTTGATGATCTGTGCATTCTTCCATTAATTTCTAAAGTATTTCCATCATAATTTCCACGCACCAAAGATCCTTTTCTAGGTGGTCGATTTGGACTAGAACGTAAAACTTCATCAGACTCAACAGCGTCTTCATTGTAATTTCTATGAAGTCCTTTAATATCATTCATTGTGAATCCCGATCTCATTATATGATCAAATTGAGCTATATGTGTTGGGGCACGTTCTGCTTCTGCCATCAATCGATGTTGTCTTAATTTTATTTCTTCCCATCGACGAGCTTTTTCTTTCTCACTAAGAAAATAAAAAAATGTTATTTCTCTTGAAGGAAGTCACCAATATTTTTTGTAACTTACTCAATAAATGTATTGTGACAAGTTACAGGCAATGACAATCGCAAAAACTCCCAATTTGCCTTCTCCATCGTTTCGAAAGTATTGTGTGAAATCTTCAAGCATGGTGGTGTGTCCGATCCACCAGGAATTCTCGTGACATCAATTACGCACCCACCAATGTCCTCTGTGTTCTCGAAAATTGGCTGATCTTTGGTATACCAATGAGTCACGGGTCGTTTCATGTTTCTTCATGTAAAATTCATTCTTAAAAACTCTTATATGGAAAAGAAAGAAATTAAATTTTCCTTACACGCAAAAAGGTTCGTAGCCTTCTTGTAATCCACAAGTTGAAAAGAATTTCAACGTATCTACATTCTGTCCATATGTTAATCTTGCCTTTTGTCCAACACCCAAAGTACAAGCAGGAACGAATCCAACACCTTCTGCATGAACGTCAGCAAAACTTGTTTCACCACCCAATGCATCCATAAGCAGTTCACCATTTAAAGAGAAACCTGAAGAATTTATTCATAATGTGGTGATAAATTGTTTTCCACCGAGAGGAATTCACATTTGTTGTTAGTTTATGATATATTAATAAATTCACATGAATTCTAGAATGATTAAATTCCGACGAAAAAACACTTTCGACGTCCAATGAGTTTGTTAATGATCAAGCCAAATTTCAAGCTTATGCTTCTTAGTTAGTATGGAGACAATATCGACTGTGAAAAGCTCTTACTAATGGTGTGGTCCACAAGATCGAGAAAGACTCCAACAATGTCACCTGGACCCCATTGTTTACCAAATGACTCAGCGCCTCCACCAGAGATCTTCTCTTCCTGATTAAGCAATTAGAATATGTCGACATTCAGTAACTGAACTTTCAATATAATCATGAAGATTTATTAAATGAATGAAATTTTTAGATACACAGCCCACAAAACATTTGCATCTCAACCACATTTCTTACTTATACAATGTCTATCGGCATCTAAAAAGCACCCAATAACGTCATCGACGCATGTTTTACATCCAAATAATTCACAGTGATCTCCGTGCCTTTTCTCCATCTAATCAATATGTATTCAATCTTTCAATTCACATTTTAATGAATGAAATTTATACAGTTTCGAAAGTTTTCTTGATTTTAAATTTTCTTTTTGAGACAAATGTTTTTGGCAAAGTTCCAAAATTTTCAAAAGAAACAAAATTTTATAAGTTCATTAACACTCACGTTGTAGCCATCAAACGCCCATGAACTATCATCGCTTCCTAACATCATTCCTGTGTAGAAAAGAAACATAAACGTTGAATATTTACTAACAAATCATTAAAATCATTGAACTTTTGTGTCTTACCTGGATTGGCATCAGATCGTGCCCATCCAACTCTCATTGGACCGGCAGTTAAAACTTCAAACTCAAAATACCATTTGCCTGATGTTACTGCATACGTTTTTTCAACACGATACGTTCTAAATGCAGCGTATTTTTGTCTCAATGCTTCTGCCAATAAAGCCTCATTTGCTTCTTGCGTGGGTGGATCCAAAATGTATCCATAAACTAATAAAGTTCTAACAGTTTCAGATGCTGTATCTCTGTTTGCTTTCTTGATTGCTTCATCGACTTTTGAGTATGGCACAAGGTGAGGGCTTCGATAGTTTTCAGAATCTTCATTCAATCCGTATGTCCATCCTTGTTGAATTCTCTCTTTTGCCCACAAGTTGTGGGTATTTTCAGCGAGTTGATCAACAAGTTCTTCTAACTTTGGAGTTAAATTGACAGCATTTAAATCAAGTGGTGATGGCTTATAACCATTAGCTTGCATATAAGGATCATTGGGAAGTCTTATTGGTCTGATACGTGCTGGTGGCTTATCTAATGTGATGTAATATCCCAAGGCAAGAATTGTCTTTAATGTCTGCACTGCTAATTGACAATCGTATCTTTTTTCCGGAGCTGGAAGTTTGTCAAATGGCGTCAAACATGGATGAACTCTCATAAAGTCATCTCTTCGTTCACCCCATTGCCAGCCAGCTTCGATTTTATTGAGTGCCCACATTTCGTGAATGTTCTCAGCAAGCTTATCTTTAATGGTTTCAACAAAGGATGGCAGAGAAACATTCGATGTATCTACAGGGTTTGGCACAAAAACCGTGTCATCCTCAACAAGCCAAGGACCTGCTAGAACATTTTTACTAAGATTACCAAAATAGAAGCAGGGATCCAATGACAATATTTGATGTGGCATTAAACACTGAACTAATGGTGAGTATCCATATGGCGGCATGTACTTCAACCTACCATGATCACCACCGAACAAGAAACGACAACTTAACTTTGATGAACAACTCAAAACCGGGAAGAACATTCCATCTAAGTTAAACTCTTTGAAACATCCTTTTACTCTTTGTCCATTGAAAGTGAATGTTATAATTGGAACGCTTAAATCTAAAGCACATCCTATAACATCTCCTTTTCTAATCAGTGGCTCAGATTGTGCGTCTGGCATAACAGCAGTTTTCTTCCCTCCTGTCCATAAATAAGCACCATCGAAACCATAACTGTATAGATCGTCACCAGCACCATTTCCACCCCATTTTTCGCCTCCACCTGGATATGGAAGATATCCCATAGAATTAGCCCATCCAATTCGGAGATGGGGAACCATGTGCGTCACTTGTTCAATATGATCTGTTGTCACTTCAAAATACCATTTTTGATAGAAAGACGATCCTTCAACTCTTCCAACAAAAATGTTTGGTCTAACACTAGCCACGTGATCAACTAACTGTGTTTGAAGCAATAAGTTCTTTCCAGGCAATAAATAGTCACAAATATTGTTTTGTGATGATCGAACAGCAACTCCATTACCAACGCAAAGTGAACATAAAACATCTAAAACCTTTGGATCTCTGCCATGTTTTTCGAGAAGTGAGATGATGACTTTTATGTGTTCATCACGCATCATGTTCAATGCTTCTGGTGAATCAATCAAAACACAATGCAAGACATCTAACATTCCTGAACCTTCACTTGACGCTTGTGATCCTAATCTTGAAAACAACCAATTAAGTCGATTTGAATTAGCAAATTGGGCACAGTTTGTGTGATTTCCTTTGATGATTGCTGCTAACAATTGATAAAGATAAGCAGAAATCATATCCCAATTCTGTCCACTTTCATCGCTCGCTAAGAAAGATGACAAGAATCCTTGTGAAGTGATTACATTTATCTTATCAATAGCATCGAGAATGAGATTAAGAACGCCTTCTTCTTGAAACAAGTCTTGACGATTTCTCAATGCTCTTAGCTTATTCTGCTTTTCTTCATGTTCCATGTCGTCTTCGGGTTGTGCAAAATAATTAATTAAATCTTCTAAGCACATCACCATTTCGCCTAAATTTACTGTCTGAAAGAACAATGAATGTCTTCGATTCTGTTGAAGTGTTTCCAGTCCGCTGTGAATTAAAGGAAAATTATTGTTGAAATATTTATGACATTTTCTTTTAAACCAATCAAGCTTACGTGATGAATTTTGTAAATAAACTGCTACATTTTCTGATAACTCGAGCGGTTCTAGATTCTTCTTCTTGTGATCGAGAGAAATCCAAACTATGAGAAGTTATTAACAATTAGAGATTTATCTAATTAAACTGAAAAAGAAAATATTATTCACCCATCATCCATTTTTCCTTCTTCATGGAGAACAGCTTGCTTTTCTTCTACTTTTCCAACTCCTTTCTTCTTTGTTTCATAACTTTTGTAACTAAGCCAAAGTCCGGATTCAGCATGCTGAACAATAACCGTAGAATCACCATATTTAATGATCGGCGATCCAATAATTTCTAAATCTTTATCTTCAAGCACAATCTTTTGATCGTCCTTTTCAAGACGTAAACAAAATGCTGTTTGTGCTGTTGTTGCGTCATCTCTTCCTAACTATTATAAAATTTATTTCAATGAGAAACATAAAATTTATTTTATATTAAAAGTTAATTTTACCAAGACTAATTCATTGTTTTCATTAACACCTAAATATCGCCCTGTAGTCAAATGTCTAATTCTCATTGGATGATACCAATTAATGAATCCACCAGACCATTTTGTTCTGGCTAATTCTAAACGCCATAATGATCTAGCTTGTGACATGACAGAACCACCTTCATACACAACAATGCTGAAATAATTTGCGTTAATTATTAAATCGAACTTTAGATGCCAATTTCACTTTTCCTCACTTCTGCCCTGCCTGTTCACTCCATGTGGAAGGAATTGTTAGACATTCGTCACCACCATGGAAGAATCTCAAGACATCGCCACCGAAAACGAAGCCAACATATTTCATTCGTGATATTCCAGTTCCATAAGGTTGAACAGACCAATGTGTAACGTGGAAACTTGCATTGACAATAGAAAAATCGTTTTCTTTAGTTGTATGCTATAAATGAAGTGTAAAGTGATTAAAAGCACAATTTTGAAAAGATGAAACCATTTCAGTATTTACCAAATATCTTTCTGTTGCTACTGATACTAAAATTAAGTCGTCCCCAACACGCACTTTTTCACCTTCCGAACTGTAATGTAAAAATTATCGAACTCAAAAATTATCTCTTTGATCAAGAGTTTAATGTCAAAAACTGTTTACCGTTGTTTACTTGCAGGGTGAACAGTCCACCTTTAAAAACCAATAAAAATTAAATGAATGCTTGTTGATAATTTCAGGATATTTATTTCTTACCAACATGCTTCACCATGACTATGTTCTTGTAAACCAACATCAAATGATAACTTGTCGTTTGACGATGAAGTTGACAAACAAGCCAGGTACTAAATACATTTATTATCATTAAAAGAGTCCTTATTTTGAATTTAAAATGTATTGAGTTTTACCATGTCGGAGTTATTATGACGCAGTAATATGGCATTACCATATAAAAGAGTTCTATGTCCAGAACCTGTACCTTTTCCCTAGGAAACATGAAAGCAGATTATTTTGTAGGACAAATAAAGCGTCAAATCACGCAGTCAAATATATAATTAAAAAAATAATGAGCGACAAAATAATTTTGAGTTAAAACTAAGCTAACATTTATTTTAAATTTTTAAATATGTAAAAGATTTTTTTTCAAAGAAGCGAAAGAAGTTTCTTAGTAGATTTTTGAAATCTTAGGATTAAGAGAAGATTTTTAAACACTGATACTTTTTTTCATATTCATTTATCAATCAAATGAAGCAGTGTAACATGCATGTGCATATGTGTCGTTTAATATCTCATGACTCAAAAATTTTGTCCAACAAAATTTAAAAATTATTTCATGCCAAAAAATTTTTACTCTTAAATATATAAAACATAATCAACATTAACGTTTTTAATAAACAACATGACATTTACGGTTCAAAAGACATTTATTCTTTATCGATGCAACTAAGTAAAAAGGATATTTGTTCAGAAAGCTGAGTAAGCAAAAACTTTTATTTCATAATTTTATTTAGATAATTATCGGCAAAAAGCGATAGAAAAAATTCGTCATTCCTCAAAATGAATACTTGAAAGCAATTTGAAAGTACAAAAATTCTTATTTTGCAATATTTGTGAATAGATTACATTTAATTTGAAAGAAAGACATAGATAAAGGCAAAAAAGACAAATTAAAAAAATCAAAATTTAAGTTACAATCGCAAATTTGTGTTTCATTGAAAAATTAGTTCATTTGAAATATGATTTACTTACAACTGAACTGTTTTCCTGCAAAGAAAATGTGTGAATAGTTATGAGAAATTTAAATCTTTTCTTTTAATGTTAAGGTTTAAATTGATTTTAATGCACGTAGTAATAAGAAATTTGCAATTTTTTTTTTGGAATTAGGTATGTAAAGAATTATCAATCGATGATCGTGCAGATATTCTAAATTTCTTTTCTTTTTAATAAACTTAATCTACATTTTTAAAAGATATCATGAGCAGGTGAATGAATAAAAGAATATCAAAGAATTGTCGCACTTACCGATTCTGAAGCTGCTGCTGTTACAAGTTCTTGTAAGGCTCTTACTGAAAGAGCTTGTTCAATTACAAAAACACATGTTGACAGATCTGGTGGAATATTTTTATCTGCAATATTTTCAAGAAAGCAGTGCCTGTTTCCGAAGCCTTCTGCAGCCAAGCAAACTCTTTCTCCAGTTGCTGTGCAACTTAGACAAACCATATCTTCCTAAAATTATAAATATGTTAAAGCATAATTAATTGAGAGTTTAAAAATTAAATTATCATAGTGTGTAGTTTTGAAGTATTAACAGTGCTTTAGAACGAAATTCTCTATTATTATTAATTTGGATTATTATCAAAAGGAAAATGAAATTTTCACATATATTGAAAGTTGTGGTGTATCAAAAATTAATAGAAAATCTAATAATGTTTGAAACTAGGTACTATTATAGTAGTTGGAGGAATCAAACGAAAATAAACTCGAAAAAACTAATGATTTTGTGTTATTGTATTTTATTCCTTCATTCCTTCCTTCCTTCCTTAAAAGTATTCAGAAGGAATTAGCAATCAACACATTGGAGTTGGTAAATTCGGTTTAATTTAATGCAACTTTTAACTTTTTTCATTTAGATATTTTTTTGTTAAGAGAAGTTCAATTTTTATGTCTTCCGAGTTTTTTTTATGAATTTTAAGCAGAAATTTTAGAAAATATCTGCTGCAAGTGATATTAGCCGATAGGCTAACATTTTGTTGATGATCACCATTGAAAGTGAAGTGATTGAAATATATTGAACAGGAAATTTCAAGGATTAATTCCAAATTTGAAAGAAATTTACGGTGTGTTTGGTGTCCTTTTGTTTATCTTCATTGCTATTGTTTTCACACACATTAAAGAATCTCGGAACAGACTCTTTTCTTATAATTTCGCCACCTAGTGGTAGGAATTGTAAACTTATCGAAAGGATTTGAAATATTAATTAATACAAGTCTTCTTATTTCCAGGTGATTAGCATTCCAATTAATTTTAAAATTCATTAAACTCAAGTATGTAAATAGATAAACTTAATCAATTGTGAAAGCATGAAATCAAGAAAAAAAGAAGAATTTAATTTATTTGAATACATACCGTACGAAGGAAAGATACGTCATCTTGTTCAGATCCTCCTTCTGCTTCCGCCATTATGGATGGCTGAGCAATTAATTCTTTTTAAATAATCAAATGGTTCGATAGTTCGTTTCACTGTTCGATTTTTATTTTGTTATCGACCTCGTTACCGACCAATACTAAACTCTGAAATGTGCAAAAAATATTTAGTTTTTAAACTCAAAGCCAAGTTCGAGTTTAAAAACTAAACATTCTTTATGTCTTCATTTATTTTTAGAACGTCGTTTTATTTATTTTCAAAAGTGAAAGGGGTTTCCTCAAGATCATCGCACATGTTTTCTTCTTAAATTTCTTTTTTCTAATTTTATTTTTTCATCATTAAAATCATTAAACACTTGATTACTGATGAATGTACAGCTGATGTTATGATGATGATATCACATGTTTTAGATGACTGTAGAATTTTTTTGATGTTGCTTTAAAAAGCTATTAATAGATTTTCAACTGTCGGCACACACTCTCTTTCTATTTATAATTTTCTTTTCGCGATGAAAATTTGAAAATCTATTTCATAACAGATTTTTTCACAGATTTCTTCTCTGTCCATGCAATTGGAAAATATTTAAAAACAATTTAGATCAATTTTTTCACTTTATAATGCAACAATCGTAATCCATGGTCGATTGAGCATAGAACATTTCATATTTTTTCGTTTTATTTAACATTTCCACTTTTTTGGCTCGTTTTAAAAATAGAAGTCCCGGGACTATGCATTAAAAACTCCAGTTTCTAAGAGTTTTTAATGCATACCCATGATAAATCATTATTAAGAATTCCAAAACTTCACTCTTTAAACCTTCAGATATTTTATTTTTCCATTTTGAAGAAAGTGGTAAATTTTTTCACAATAATTTCTTAGGAAAATTTCTATTTTTAGTTTTTCTCTACCTTAGTCAACAAACCGAGCGAGTTGTTGCTTTAAGTTTGATGCTCGACACTCGACTAAGTCAAAAAATAGAATGGATGAAAAATCTGTGAAATTTTTATTTTCGAATGGTCAAACTGCCAGATAAGTTTAAGGATCCAAATTCCTTTCTACGCCGTTGAATAAATGTTCGAAAATTAAAAGGAATCAAATTTAAATTTAAATTATGTTTCAGACATTTTCTTACCTTTTTAGGAAAAATTTACTAGTAAAAATATTTTTTTGGTTTAATTGTAATTTTTTGATCAAGAATTGTCAAAGAGCACTTCAAATATTGTGCGACACTAAGAAAATAACAAATTCATTTTATTTCGTTGAAATAGAAATGAAAACATGATGACGATTTTTGTAAACAAAAGAAAACATGAAGAAAAACATGACTGTGAAAATTTCTAACGGTATAAACGTCATCGTGATCATGAATTTCGGAAATGACTGATCCGATTGTTCACGAGTTTTTCCGACTGATTGCAATGATATCCGAGTAATATCCCGAAAGTAAAAGAGAGTAAAATTTTGAGTAAAGAGCATAAATTTTCACGATCGGATTTTCTAAAAAAAGATCGGAGAAAAATTGAGAATAAGCGATCATCAATGATGGCATTTTCTTCTCTGTATATTTACATTTTCGCTGGCGTCTCATGTTATTTTTTAGCGTCTCATGTTATTTTTTTAGCGTCTCATGTTTTTCCGCCGGTAGGTCATGTTTTTTGGCTGGGTTTCATGTTTTTTACAAAAAACATCATGTTTTTTGTGAAAACATGAAGTTTTTCTTCGATTTGTTTACTTTTCTCTATTCACGTTGATGAGATTTTTTGTTGAAGATGATGAGCGAGCTTAGATCGAAATCTCATTTGCTTAAAAAGAATTTAATTGAAGATAATCGTAATAATTTCATTCTGTGAAAGGAAGCAAAATAAAAACACATTGTACGTATTGAAATGCAATATATTTTCCAGATTAATACATTTTCTTGTAATATAAAATTACTACCAACATAACTTTCATGGTAAAATTCCATTGTATCAAAATCAATAAATGGACTTGCTTTGGTATTTCTTACTTCTATAAACTAGTAATGAAATTTCTTTCTTGGTTTAGTATAGCAACGTTAGGAGTTAAGTAAGCATAAGTTCTGATAGAAATAGAAATTGTTGTTTAGAAATAATGAAATATAAGAATTGCGATACTATTTTTTTCTTGTTAGTTTTTTCTTCATAAAATTAATACAATTTTGGAGTCCACGTGATTATACATATTACTCTTAATAACAGAAAACACCCAATTATTAATTATAAATTATACAAACTTCTTTTCTAGTCCTCTAAATGCATGAATTATTTCTTCTCATCAAGGTTTAAATTTATTCTTAACGCTTACTTTTCTAATAAATTGATTACCTTAAAGATTCGTGGCCTAAAACTATTTTTAGAGATAGGAATTGTTAAAAATGCATTTTAAATTTGTTTGAAAACATTACACAAGTTATTTTCAGCTTGATCTTGAAAATTATTAGGTATGTAGATCTACAGAAGCACATGTCATGTTCACAGTATAATGAAACTAAGGTTCTTCGGTTTGGAATAAATAAATCGTACTAAAGCATATTAGTAAGAATTTCGTAGTTGAAAAGTTGGCTGTAGGTAAATAGGATTTGAAATTTGACTAGACTATGATCATAACGAATATTTCTTTTTGAATTAAAGAAATATTTCAATTTTTAAGACATTTTAGCCTCTAATCTCATTTCAGTTAGTCAATTTTGAACAACTATTGATTTGTTATGATCGTTGCAGGTTCTTCCTATTTTGTTGTTAATGTTCATATTGTTGTTAATAAGGTGTAAAATTTTCATGGAATTAATTGTTCTTAAGAAATTTATCCTAAATGATACGGCTTAATGTTAGATTGTATAAAATTCTGGTTAAATATTTCATTGTCACGTTTAAATCATGATAGTAAAATCTTAAACATTAGTGAACTATCAGAATGTAATCTTTTTTTTTGTTCCAAAATAAATTTGAAGATCTCTTGAAAGTTGTTTGTTATAGTTACTTCTCAAATAAGCCTACTATTTATCTCTCAGGTGTTCCTTTGTGTAACTTAAATGATGAGATCAAATTTTGTGCAGTAGACATTTCTTTAAAATCAAATCTTAAATGGAACTAAATTGTCACGAAGGAAATCAAAAGCCACGAAAAAAAAAAACATAAAACAAAAAAGCTTCCAACTTTATGCTATTACTAATGAATAAGATGACATTTCGCAGTGTGTCTGTCATTGCAGTTTTAAGTCTTTTTTGGCTTTGTAAAAGTGTTTAAAATTAATTTATATCCTTGTAGGGAACCTCAGAAGTTATACTAAAACTTTCGAAGTAGTGATTCAAGAACTCGAATGTTGGTCTTTTTTCAGGATTTGCATCCCAACAATTAAGCATAAGATGATATATGCTGTCAGGTAGATGATGATTTGTGGGCTTCGGCATTCTATAACCGCGTTCTATTTGTTCTATCACTTCTCGACTGTGCATCCCTGGATATGGAACTTGGCCATAGGTAAAAAGTTCCATCAACAATATACCATACGACCTGTTTTTGAAAATATTTTAATTAATTACTACTCTTCAATATTTAAAATTACAAACAAAAACTTACCAAACATCAGATTTAATAGAAAATTTGCCATACACAATGGCTTCTGGGGCAGTCCATTTAACAGGAAATCTGGAGCCTTGTTTGGGACAATATTCATCATCAGCTATGACCCGAGCTAATCCAAAATCTAAATTGCAAACGACATTTTCAATTGTCTAGAAGGTCATTATAAAATTTAATGATCTTTACCGCATATTTTTGCAATGTTGTTTTCTCCTATCAAGACATTACGAGCTGCTAAATCTCTGTGTATGAGTTGTTTTGTTTCCAAATATTCCATTCCTGATGCTATTTGTGATGCTATGTAAATCAAATCTTCAAATTGGAGAAGACGCCCTTCACCTTCACGCAGGAAATCGAGAAGACTTCCTTTCGCCATATACTCTTGAACAATATAAATTGGTTCTTCTTTTGAACAAACAGCGTATAAAGCGACCAAACGATTATGACGGAACTTCTTCATTATTGCAGCTTCTTGTAAAAATGCTTGCGTTGACATTGTTCCTTCACGCAATGTTTTTACTGCTACATCGATGTTATTTCTCCATTTGCCATAATAAACTTCTCCAAAGTTACCACGACCAAGTTTTCGAATAAGTTGAATTTCGTTTCGATTAATTTCCCACTTGTCTCTCAGTTCTGGTCCAAGATCCCACATTTGGGGTTGAGGCTTTGGACAGGGACGTGAAAGAACGTGACATAATCCCAAGGCATTTTCTAAATTATTTAAGAGAAATTATTTGAATTTTTAAGTCGGTTTCATCATTTTTGTAAACTCACTTGAATATGCCATGACCAAGGAGGGTAAATTCGCGAAAGTTTGATTAGTAGCAATAAAATATCCTCCATTATCAAGAGGTTTTATTTTATAATGTTTAACGTGATATCCTCTAGTCTCTTCCCAATCTTTGACACTAAATATTTCAAACATTATAAAATATGTAAAAGGATATTCATTTTTAATTTTAAGAGATTTCAAACCTTAGAGAAAATCCATTAGGATTGTGTTCGCTTGGCCGGATCAGGAAAGTTCCTCTGGGATTTTCCTCGGCTAGCAAAAGCTTGTCTGCTTCTTTTCTCGATACATTTTCAAAGAACCAACTGCAATAGAAATTGAATTAATTTCACTTTGTACAACGAATACGAAATCAAATTCACTTACTCTTCACTGTTTACACTTCTTTCTTCAGCTACAAAATTCCAAGGAATGAGACCTTCTTGTCGGGTTGTTAAATGCTACAAATATTTATAATTAGACATCAAAATACAATGTTAGTAAATAATCTTACAATAACTCTCCACCAATCAGTTTCGGTATCATCCAGAACCTCCATTCGATCTCCTTTCACGAAGGAAACGTCGGTATCTTCTCTTGCATTATAATTATAGAGAGCAACTACAATCCGACGATGGTTTGATGGGAGTGCTTTATTAAATGATAGTTTTAGTTATAAAAAAGTTTTTATATTGATTATTCATGATCCCAATTCACTTACCAACACTACGCGGCCCACTTCTGATGATATCAATTCCACTTTTAGTCTTTATAACTCCGCTTCGATTCGGATCGGGTGTGTAACGTGAATCCAAAGAGTTATTTAGATTATGTTTAGGATTTATGTTCGAAGAAAAGTTTGTATCATTTTTCTTGTATCCTGTAGCAAATTCGTCTGGCTGTCTCTTTGAACAGCACTTGTTACCCATGTTTCCTATTTTGCTGAAGATTTTATTTTGCTAAATACTCAATATAATGTTAAATTTTAGATTCTTATTCACAGAAGAGGTAATTTCTGATTAAAAATCTTTCCCTCGTCTCTTATTTTTTATTCACTTTGCGCACAGGGTTTGTTAGCCATTTGTCAAAAAAGATTTATATTTTAACATGATAAATCTCAATTAAGATTTGCTCTTGAATCACTGCTATTTCCTTTGCTTAAAACACTATAAAATACTTTTTTGTGTGTGATGACTAAGCATAGAAAAATAATCCTAAAATTTATATATGTTTTCTTAATTGTATTGATCAATTTCTCTTGAGGTCCATTGGACTTTTTTTTTGTTGTTTTTATGTTACTTTCACTTTCTTTTTTTAACTAATTTAAACTTTGTACTTAAAATATTTATTATGTTTTCATTCCATTCATTTTTAAAATCACCAAATCTATTTAGAACTGAAAACATAAAATACTTAAAACATTGTTCTTTTAACAACAGAAAATTTTCGACAAGTTTAAAAGAATATTAAGATGGTGAAGAACAAAAGCGTTTATGAACTGGATAAATGTATGTCATAGCTGGTGACAACTTTTGACATTATGTAAAGCAAATGTCTTAATTATCTGCGACTCTTCAGATAGTATTTAGTTCAAGTATTTTTACTAAATCGATTAACATAAATTATAATCATAATTTCATATGTTTTTGTTAAGAAATATAACACAAAATATCATAAAAATTTACAGTCAGTCTGATATTGTCTCGTAGAGATATTTAGGAAAATATGTTATTGTCTCTCCAAATTTTACGACTCTTTAGTTATTCAGAGAAAAAATTAACTCAAATGTCTGTCATTGTTCTCATAAGTGATTTCAATTATTTCTTTAATTAATATTCTTACTAATTTTTCTTTTAATTTTCAATTTATAGAATCATCGTGGTAAGTCTAAAAGAAGCAAACATCATGAGTAATCTTCTCAGTAGGAGTCATTGTAGAGTTTAAATCAGATGTTACAACCATCACGAGGAAAATGAACATAAATATTTCTAATGGCTTAGTGATGGTCAATATTTCTAATGAAAAGCACTGAAAATTTTCTTCATCCCGAAAGATTTTATTAAATTAATAAATCAGGTAACTTTTAATTTTAATAAATTCCTTGTACAGAATTTGTATCGTTTAAGTTGCTGTGTTAAGAATATCAAATAGATTTTATTTTGAAAATTATGAAACTTTATTTTTAGTAGAAATCCTAATAAGAGTGTGTGTTTACATCAGTTTACATTGACAATTAAAAATGAAAATTATTCGATAATCTCAGCTCATCATAATGTAAAAAAGATCTTCAAAATTCATTTTAAATATCCCCTAAAAATCTTTCATTTAATTTCTTTCTTGTCTCGAGTGAAATCGTAATATCATGCGCGCGCATAGACCTCAGAAGCCACTAATAGTTTTTCTTTCTTGCAGATTCAATAAAAGTCAGACAAAATGCAGCAATATTGCATTAAGTGGAACAATCACATGAAAAATTTCCAATCAACTTTACCAAAGGTATTGAGTTGATTAAGTTAAAAAAGGTCGCATGTTTAATGAATTTTTGAATTTTATACTTTTAGTATTTTCAAAATCAGAAGTTTCTTGACTGTACACTTGTAGTGGAAGGACTTCATCTCGTCCCTTGCCATAAATTTGTACTTGATGCATGCAGTGAATATTTTGCCAGTTTCTTGAAAAACAAACTTCTTGATGATAAGAATTTAGTCATTTGCTTGCCGAAAGAGATTCGTTTATGGGAGATTCAAGCGATTCTTCAATTTATGTATCATGGTGAAGTATGTATATCTCAAGAGGGCTTAACAAGCCTTGTTAAATGTGCTGAGATGTTACAAGTGAAAGGATTATGTGGTAACGAAATCAATCCTGATGCAACATCGATAATATCCAAAGAAAATGATGTTCCAAGTTCTAAAAGGAATGAAGGAATGAATTCTTCGACGGACTACGTCAATGAAATGTCAAATGGCGCAGCGGATCTGCAACACGAAGGAGGAAATGATATCGGTGAAATAAATGAACAAATGATTAAGAGAGAAATTAATATAAGTAAGTGTTTTATATTAGATATACAACTCATCAGCACTCATTTATTTGAAATTTATTGAAGGTGATGTAGATGATGAAAACTTAAACACTGACGAACAAGTAAAGATCTCACAAAACAAGTCAAACTCCCAAGTCGTTGGATTGATTCGTGTTAAAAGGAATCTTTTTGATAATCATGACCAAGGTGTTATTAAAAATGCTAAACAAGATGAAAGTTCTAGTGAAGCATCCAATAGTTTGGTGTATAATAAAAAATCAATGGATATTTATGTGAAACCTACACCAAAAGAATCTGAAATGGATGCTTCATCAACAAGCTCAACTCCACTTCTTGTCGAACAGCAAAACGATGACCATCAGTTTGAAGACATAGTTTGTTCGCCTACACTTATTCAATACCATTACATGACTGATAACAGTAAGAAAGCTTCTAGTCGCTTGGCTGTAACAAGATTGGATAAAACTAACGAGATTTCTGATTTTGATGAAGATGAAGATGATAATGATGATTTATACATAGAAGAGGCTAATAATGATGTTTTATTCAATATGATTACACAAAAGTTGGAGGGATACGACACGTTTTCTCAAGAAGGTAAAGATACAGAAGTAAAACGACAACTTTTGATTTCTTCGGTTGATAGTTTAAATCATCAATATAAAGAAAAAGAGTCTTCAATTTTTCCACAACAAAACGATAGTTCAGTGGGGTGCGAAATGAAAGTTGCAATTGGAGGTCTTTACTTACGAAATCCAAGAGGTTTGAAATAATTTCAAAACCATTCTAAATTTATATTTTTGATGTTTAAATTATTTATTTCAGGAAACCAAGTGAGACAGTATGACGTTAATGCATTATATAATGCACTTCAAGATGTTAAAAATGGTCACAGCATATACAGGTAAACAAAATATTTTTCTAATATTCTTTATAATAATTATTTCAATTATTTCTGTCTTTATAAACAGAGCTGCACAAACCTACAGGTAATTCCGGAATTATTTTATTATTAAATATGATTTTAATAATATTTCTTCTTTGTGCTTCTGACAGTATCCCAAGAAAGACATTACGAAACTGGATGAAACGCTTGCATATAAAGTCAAAATTCCCAATGCCAAAACAACTTCAAGCGGCAGCAGAACGTAAGAAAAATACCCAAGTCAAAGATGAAGGAGGTTCTAAAATCATCATCAGCCCAATCGAACTTTCGTGAATTGCATCACATCTACCAAAAAGAAAAGTGAAAATAAATTAACGCAGTCATTCATAAGAACTGATATTTATTAAGTCCCATTATAAAACTTTTTTGAGTGATTTGTTTTTATTTGTCCTAGATTCTATTTGTTTAGATTAAAGATAAATTATTTACCAAAAAGAAGAAGATGATAGATTGTCGATTTGAAAGGAATGGAAGCTAGTCACTTAAATGTAATTATTTCTTTTTTCAATGTTTAAAATGTAAGAATTTACGATTTTTAAAAATAAAACAAAACATTTGGTAAAATATATTTAAGATTTGATTTTCTCAGACTGCAGTTCAGATGAATGATAAATGGTTTTGAGTGAGATATCGAAAAGCAATTTGAACCATCCCCAATGACTAAATTACAACAATTTTTTGCATGCGATCTGGTTCCACAGTATTAAATTCCACGCATGATATCTTTCATATTGAAAAGCATTTGAACATAATACTTTTTTTTGTTGAATTTTAGATTAAGTGGCTTTTCCAATGTTTCATATAAAAGCTGGGGCTTATTTGGCATTTGAGTTATTCAACCCCCAGTAGTTTACATGCATAATATTTAAACATGAGCGAAAGGAATTGTAGTCTTAGACTCGTTTTAAATGCTCCCCATGACTTTTCGTTAGAAACTTCGAAGCACATCGATAGATTATATCAGTTCTTCAAAGAATATCGTTAAAACAAGTCGTGAATTGGACTCAAATGGTGGATAATTTTTTGATGTTTCAAACGATTCATATAAATTATAACATATGGAGTGAATTTGTAATCTAGCAAAGACGGATTGATATGAGAAGTTAATTAGCAAGATTCATCATTTGTAATAATTAATAATAAAAACTTTAGTAAAACATGTTGTTTAATTTCTTTTGAGAAAATTATAAGCATGATTAAAGAATTGCAGTGAAATTGTCAAAAGTGAGCTTTTACATTTCAACATATGGATTTATGAAGTTGTAAAAGTTTCGATATCATGTTTCAAACCATGAAATTGTGAGTAGTTTTCGTATTCTTATTTTCAATTCCTTTACATGTTCTCTAAATTAGAGATTTAGGTTGCATGTTGTTTTTGATTAAGTTTGGGTCTAAAAATCAATTATAAAATTATTGATCAAGAAGTTTCAACAAACATAAATTAAGAAAATTCATAAGAAATGTCAAATTTATCATTTTTGGTTATTAAAATGAAGAAATTTCAATCTACTTTGTTTGAATATGTTTTTATTCAGCCCGGCTCTAAATGCTTTTTTGATATTGGCACTTTACTCGGTTCAAGGGCAGATTGGCCAATCAATTAAAGGTAAATTTTCGATTAATCTTTGGAAATATTTTGGGTCTACAAAACGAACATAAATTTTGTTTTCAGATGCAACCGCAGAATATGATTTACTCACAGTGGCTCTCAGCGATATGGAGAACATTAATAATGGAGGTTAATTAATTATTTTTAATCAGATTGTTTCTTAGAACTATTGAAAATTTCAAAAACCTTTAAGAAATATTCAAAAAATGAAAATTAATTTTGGCATCTGTTTAACGTCATAAGGTGTAACATATGTTGAAGGTACAGACGGATTTCCAGCATTCTCAATTGCAAACTTTGCTAATCTTCGAAGTCCTTACCAGCTAATTGTTCCTGAAAAATTGGGTACAAATTTTCACTTTCATAAAAACAGAAAAATATTTTATAAAAATTATTTTTAAATTATCAGAGGAATTTGCCATAATGGCCACAATGAGAACAAATAAACCAGAAGGATATCTTTTTGCTATTGTAAGCTCTAATCATCAAAAATTCCTAACAACATTTTCTAACAATTTCATTTAATATTCACAGGTAAATTCACGTGAAACAATTATTCAACTAGGTGTCAAAGTCATAGGCTTTCATAAAACTCACATTAATGTTTCATTAGTGTATAACGATCCCTCTTCAATGACACCTTCAGATAGTTTAGCAACTTTTACATTACCTTATGATCCAAAACATTGGATTAACTTTGCTCTACGTATAATGAACGACAGAATATCTCTTTATCATAATTGCATCATGATTCATGAAATAAACGTTACGAAAGAACCGAAAGAACTAGTTTTTGAGTCTGCATCTACTTTTTATTTGGCTCAAGCTGGAAATTCTAAGGAAAATTTTGAGGTAAGTAACACAATTTATCATTTCTATGAATACGAAGCGGTTTTCTTGAAATTTGTCATCAGCTAACAAAAAGATTAAAAGTTCACAACGCGAAAGGAATTCTTTTGTTTATTTACCCGGCAAATAAAAACAATTTTCCACGAGGTTTATTTATTCTCTCAATATTGGCGCATGCTCTATCTTATGGTTCATATCGTTGAAACTTAATTCAGTAAATGTTGAAATAAAAACTTCTACGTTTAACTTCTAATTGATCTGATTGTATCAAAAAAGATATTTATAGTTTCGTCACCGATTATGTAATACTTTAATATTTTTCTTCTATCCCAATAATGTGGATATATGAAAAGAAAACTTCAAACGATTCTTTTTATAACTTCTCAGAGTTAAACATTTCCAATCATTCCAACGGAAAATATTTCCAGCAATAGAAAATCTCTTCGATGTATAGCGCACAGATTTATATTGATATCTGCATGATAACTGTATCACTGCGTTAGAAACAATTTTATTTTTAAAGATATCTGATTTTAAACATCATTTTAACTAGAAAAGTTAGAAAATAAGTCGTGAAGTTGTAACTAACATCAATATAGTGGAGAAATATAAATTAAAACATCATTCATATCGCAAGCAATTGAAATATAAATACATATATGAAAATTGTGATAACTTAGAAGAAAAAAGTAGATTTCGGTTGTGACAAGCTAATTTAACAGAAAAAAAAGTTCTTTAAATATTAAATCTGTGGATAAATTTTCGTGATTTGCATATGAAGGAAATTCTCCAAGGAATTGTGTTAGTCAATATGTGAGACAAAAATAAATAAATAAGTAAATAAAGTGTTGGAAAAATATTTCAAATAAACTTCATTGAAATATTAACATACACAATAGTCCCAAAAGCTAAAGTGAGATATTTAAGTGATGTCGTTTAGAAATGTGGAATCTTTTTTCCGTATCATCCCTTCACAACATGATGACGCTTGTTGGATAATCTGAAATAATTGTCTAAGAAAAACAATCCACTTAAATTTTTTATCCCTGTAAAAGGACCTTTTTTCCTTTAGAATTGCGCCTTCATTGCGCGCGCGTTGTGATTTTTTTATAAAAACAAGAAAGAAAAAAGGTTGGGAGGCAAGAACCATTGAAAATATTCACCGAAAAAGGAGAATGAAAATAATGCACGATCCATCAAGTGCTCTACCTAATTAATTTTCCTCACTAAAACATATCATCATGAGTTTTCCTTCATATCAGATTTCAAAAAGTTAAAGACATATAATACATATCCAAACGAAGGCCAAAATAGAAATTAAATGAAACTCTATCATGGCTATGGTAATTTCGAGGTAATTTATCTTAAGTTAGTACATACATATATTCACATACCCGAGCGGCACACACTCGCCGTGCCGGAGGCATATGTTTGCACTACGACGATTTTTAGTTGGCACTTCCTTTGGCTTTTCCTTCAGAAATCAGCGAAAATAACCGAGGTATCAATTTAGCACTAACAGTTGACGCTATGGTGCTTCCCCACATGCCATTAACTCTAAATAAGGCTACCATAAGGCAGCTTAAGAAATTCTTCACTAGTCCAACACATAACTAACTTAAGGTGATAGAATTAGGCGATAGCCAGTAGTTTTTAGCCAAATGTCTTTCAGATGGCGGATTCTAAAGGAAAGCCTTCCCATTAAATGGAGACGATACTCGTATGACAGATTTGTGTGAGATATCGCCCTTTTGTGCCGCTCGGGATATATATGTATAAAAGTCATCTGAGTGGAACTATTATATTCTCTTTTCCATAATCATTCAACAGTAGGGCAAAAGGGATGATTGCGGCTTTCATTTGTCTCATATTCTTATCAGCTGCCCTTGTTACAGCTTCGACGAAGGGTTGGCTATTCGGTTTAAGTAAAAATAATGGTGAACATGTAGCAGCACGTATTCAGGTGATTTAACTATTTTTAAAATAATGACAATTTATTGGGTAAGGTGAAAAACTATGATTACCTTTTTATAGAGTGAGAAAAAGATAAATATCGGACTTTTAATGATTTAATATGACAGATGGAACTTGAAAGTAATATTGAGAAAGTAAAAAGTATATGAAACGAAGCGTCACGCTCTATCGCGTCCTTTTAAATATTTTATTCATTAGTGTCTTGACAATAAATTCTGTTATTTTACTTTAGTAGAGCTTTTACGACAAATTTCATTGAAAACGGTTTCAAAGCTTGATTACATTATTAATTTACATATCTAAAAGGAAAAAACACATACATATTTCTTAGGGGGCTTTTCAATTTTTGAAGCTTTATGGCTATCCAGATTTCATATCGATTGTTTGTAATAAAACGACAACGAAAGTGGTAACAACATTAATACATATTTTAGACTATAATTGTTCCACGTGATTAAGCATCTAATTAATAATTCTCCCAAAGGCAAACAATGAAAATGATTTTAATGACTATGGAAATGAAAACGGACCGGTATTACAACCACCACCAGAGTACAAAAGTAATTTTAATTTATATTTATATCATATGTTTATACTGTAACTCATAGTGTGATTATTAAATTAGATTACGGATATCGAATGAAAGGTGAAAAAGGAGATCGAGGACCTAAGGTAAATGTTCAAATTACAATGTTTTGTATACATATTTTGCATAATGCCATATTTTAATCCTTAAAAGGGTCCACCAGGAGATTCTATCAGAGGTAATGTTTGTTTAAATCACTTTTAAACGGTAGTGTAAACTACTTTTATTTAAATCATTTCTTTGTATGACTTAGGGGCTGCCGGACCTCCTGGGCCTCAAGGTAAATAGAAAAATAATTGATATTGAAAATTTGAGTACTTTATTAAATTCTTTCGACACATCAAGGACCGAAAGGAGAATGTATCTATTCAAACTCTTTGGATAGTACAAAGGTAACGAAATAAATTTGTTATTCGGTACATTTAAAAAAGATTTCTAAAATATTCTCATCCTTTCAACAGTTTAATCACATTCCATCAACTTCTTGTTCTTGTAATGTAAACCACTTAATGGATATACTTCGAAATGATACCGTTAAGGAAATTTTAAGAGGGCTACCAGGAAGATCAGGAATGCCTGGTGTAACTGTGAGTTTTGCTTGATATAATTTGAGATGACTTGAATAATGTTGTGTATTTAGGGTGTGCCTGGAGAGAGAGGTTTTCCTGGTTTGAAAGGAGACAAGGGAGATGTTGGTCCAATGGGCCCCGAAGGATTGCAAGGAAACAAAGGTTTGCTAATTTTATTTATTTTGATTGTATAAAACATTGTTTATTTGTCAATAATAGGCGAGCAAGGAATTGATGGTATTCCTGGTATGCCTGGAGCTGATGGAGCACCTGGTGAAAATTATGAGGTAAATACTTCATTATATACCATTAGTAATACAATCAATTTCAAAAACTTAATTGTTAATTGTTGATTCATACAGTATTTAGATTTTATATTGACCATTCGTATATTCCCATAGAAATTTGTTTCACTTTAGAAATTTTAATAACACGCACAATCGCTTTTTAGACTTAATAAAAACCCTTAATTTTCATATTTAGCCACAGTAGAGTAGAAATTGAAAAGGAACAGATTATGTTTTGTTGAAATTCGTTTTAAAGAAAAACCTCAGATCAGTCGCTTGGATACTGCTAAAAAGAGTGAAATCTTCAATGAAACAAACTTTTTGATGTTCATAAATTTACTGAATTTATTTTAAGCCACCATCGAATTGGGACTCATCAAGAATGTTTAAGGTACTGCAACACGAATTATATTTGGTTTTCCTGATTTATTTTCGCTTCAGAATCATTTTAAAATCACTTTGTGAAGTTTACGTTTTTTGGTTTAAAATCTTTTGCATGAAATCTTAACAAGGTTTATTCAAATACTTTTGAAATGTTGTTAACTTGTAAACGGAAAATTGAACATTTCCACACTCTAGTGGAAATCAAGGTGGAAATGAATAAATAAGCACTGTTACGTATGTTGAATTTTCTTTCCGTTTAGAAGCTAAAAACTATGTTATGAAAATACCTATTTATTTAATATATGTTTACTACCTTCCGTATTGTAGGTAAGTGAGGTTTTACATTAACTTGAATCAAATGAGAAATAAACTTTTTTTCCATTTTCAAAAGCGTTGACATTTGATTTCATTTAAAGGAATCAATGATTGCTGGAATACCTGCGATTCGAACAACTGGTACTGCACAGAAAGGTGAAAAGGGTGAAGTTGGCTTAAAAGGTACATAAATTGAAGTGGCTTTCAATGAAAATAAAATTGCTTTTTAGGGTTCTTACTGTGACGTCAAGTTTAATGTTATGCATGATACAAAAAGTCATGATAAACAAAAAACTTGATGTCATGGAAGTTTTTCTTTCTGTATGGAGAAACATATTTTATTGTTTTCATCTCATCAACTCCATCAATTTAAATAGAGCTTAATTTTTAATTCATTTTAATGACGCTCATTGAAGTGAAATATCTTGCCAAGACGGATAGGATGGACATGACATCATGCCTAGTTTCTTAACTCTACTTTTTTCAGGTGAGCGTGGGATTCAAGGATCAAAAGGTGATCGTGGTGACAGAGGTCTTACTGGTATGAAAGGTGAAAGAGTAAGTATTTCCAAAACAACTCAAAAATCTAACATAATATTGAAAAAGACATTTTATTTCATGCAAATTGAATTCTTTTTTATCTGACAGGGTGATAGCGCTGTTGGTCCACCTGGTCAAAAAGGTGATAACGGTCAGCCTGGCCACAAAGGAGAAAAAGGCCCCCCAGGTATGCAAAGGAAATAAAAATATGAAATTGCGAAGCATTCAATCATAACAACTATTTCCTAAACAGGTCTTCCAGGCACTGTCATATATTCTGATATGCAAAATCTTACAAACTGTGCTTGCACCGGACAAAAAGGAGAAAAAGGTCAGGATGGTCAAGTAATTTTTGTTAACGATACAATGAATGTAGTGAAAGGTGAAAAAGGTAATACTTAAGAATCTTGAATAATCGCTTTCATAGTAATAAATAATTCTGATTTTTACAGGTGAGAGAGGGCCACGGGGTAAAAAAGGAAAGCAAGGTCCAATGGTAATTCTTAAACTTTTCAACTTTATTATAATTTATTACTTTTATGATGAAATGTTGCCTTTTTTTATTTTATCAGGGACCTCCGGGACGTCCAGCTCCTCAAGGTGACATAGGAGTTCCAGGTTATCCGGTAAGTTCGCGTATTAATTATTATAAAGTCGAACTTCTGTGAGAAAGTATTCATTTATTAACGTTTACATTTAATAATTTGCTTATTATATGGAAAAGAACTCGAAGGTATTTTTAAGACTTAATAATTTCTCATATTGCTTAAGAAAATTACTTAATATTAATTCGTTTTCTAATGCTTTGAAGGGTCGTTCGGGCCTTCCTGGTTTACCCGGAATAAAAGGACAAAAAGGAGAAATCGGCAACGGGGTAAGATTAACTTAATCTTTTGTTTCATGTGAAATACAATTTCAATTCGATATTTTCTATAAAAAATATAAGATGAAAGGAGACAAAGGAAACGATGGTATGCCAGGTAAATACTCTTTTTTCCATCTGTTAATTCTGTAAATTAGTAAACAGCTCTCTTTTACTTCATTAAGGCCCACCCGGATTACCAGGAAACAGTTTTGGATCAGGTAAATTAAGTTATATTCAATGATTATTCCAACAATGTTTCTAATACTTTTATTTTCCCTTCTAAGTCGGAACTATAACATTTCAAAACACTGAGACTATGTTGAAGGTATGTTTTGTGTTAACAAATTTGATTATAAGAGTTTATGTTCTTATGAAAACAAATGTCGTACTTAGATGTCAGCAGCAAATCCTGTTGGAACAATTGCATTCATTTTAGACGAAGAAGCGATTCTAGTTAGAGTGAACAAAGGTTGGCAATATATTGCGGTAAGTTTATCATCTAATTAATCTAATCTCAGTCACTTATTTAAAGGCGTTTTGTATTTCATTTTTAACAGCTTGGAACATTACTTCCATTAGCAACTCAACCAATGACAACGACTTCAGTTTCTCCTTCTTATGGTCCCGATTTGCAAGCATCTAATCTTTTGAATAGCAACATTTTAAAATTGCCCGACAGCTATACAGTAGGATCTTTAATATATTTTCTTTAATTACTTCACTTTTATTAATCTCACTTTATTTTGAAGTTTACAACTCCGCCTGAATACGAATCGGTAAGCAGAAATATTGTCTTAATGTTTTAATGGATTATATAATATCTCTTAACTTTCTTAATTGTTTTTCTCAGTGGAATCCTAAAATGGTAATTACCATGCTATGAAATTTTATATGGAAGCATTTTAATTTAAATTATTCAATTTTCTTTTCTTCGTCATAGTTGCGAATGGCGGCACTCAACGAGCCATTCACAGGAAACTTACAAGGCATGAGAAATGCAGATATGAATTGTCATCGGCAAGCGAGACGAGCTGGTCTCTTGGGCACATTCCGTGCTTTTCTCTCAGCAAGGTAATCAAATATTTATTAGAAAATGTTTAGAACTCTCTACCCTATTTCCTTCTTTTGTGATTTTTTTACTAGAATCCAAAATTTGGATTCTATAGTTAAGCCTGAAGACCGTGATTTACCGATTACTAATTTACGAGGCGACGTTCTGTTTAATTCATGGAATAGTATTTTTAGTGCTCAAGGTGGATTCTTTTCACAAGCTCCTAGAATTTATAGTTTCAGTGGAAAGAATATCTTAAATGATCCAACATGGTATGAGAAAATGAGTTTTATTGTTATAAGAAGTTAAAATATTAATATTATCATGCTATCAGGCCCCATAAAGTTGTTTGGCATGGTGCAAAAATGGATTCAATCGATTCTAATTGTGATGGATGGCACGTAAGCTTGCCTGATAAAGTTGGACTTGGTAGCAGTCTTTTGGGTAACAAGTTGCTTGATCAAGGTATGTGGTAGAATGATTATATTCACCATTGTCTAGATAACTAAATAATTCTCGAATTTTAATTATATATCTAGAAATGTACAGTTGCCAGCAACGGAACATCGTTTTATGCATCGAAGTTCTGCCACATGATACAAGAAGAAAAAGAGATGCTGTGAATCAATATCACGATGAGTATTCTGAGTATGTATCAAAATAATTTTCAATAGATAACATGTTTCATTTATTGAAAACATAATACTAAGAATCCCTTTTTCCCAAATTTTCAGACAATCTCCCTTCATAGAATCATCATATCACAAGTACTTAGAAGAAATGGAGTAAAACATGAAACAGTATTTGAACAATAAGAATCAATTTGATAAAAGGTCAATCTTTAAACTAATTATCTAAGAATGTAACGTTAATTTGTTTTCGTAATGATATAAATTTTCTTCACTGCTAAATTATGCTCGAATCGACTAAGAATTTTTACTGTTCATTTTGCATTTTAACAAAACAAGTAAAATGTATATGATAATAACATGTCGTAAACTGTTACTAAATAATGTTAAGAGTATGAAAACTAAATAAAATCTTTCTGAAGAAATTTTAGAAGGAATGAAAAATGCTGAATAAAAATCATTGAAAGATTAAAAAAAACTTAATTTGATGCAAATTATTTGGTTTCTGACAAAAACATCAGTTATAAAAAAAATATCAGATTCCATCATGGTAGGTATAGCATGTTCACTTAAACGACTAATGAATTTTGAAACTTGAGTCATTTAAACCATTACAGGGACTATATTTAACTTAGCAAATAAATCTAATAGAAAGTTGCAACAGTTTATTTAGCTACATATTTCTGAGTGCTCACACAAAAGGAAAGATTTTAATTTTTCCCACTTTTAAAAAACTTGTTTGAAACATGATTGAAAGAACATCACTTATCAATCATTGTTGAAGAAGTGATTATTCGAGATTTATTTCAATTTTATAATATTAAATACTACTTCATATTCGAGGTATCATAAGAATATTTAAATACGGAGATAATGTTGTGAAATTCCACATGCTCACAATTAAAATTCGTACATTTCCACGTATACAGAATATATTGATTTTTGAATAAATTAAATAAGCTATAAGCTTTAGGCAAATGATTAATCTTTCTTTACTTTTAACATAACAAGAACACTTTAATAAGTACCTACCTATTTAATAATATAGATAAACATTATTTCCGCTAAATTCAAATGAATTTCAAAACAAAATTAACTTCAAGAAAACTCAATAGATGTCAGGCAGGTCATAAACTTCCTAAAACTTTTCATTCAAATTCTACCTAACTGATCTTAGAAAGTTTATCGCAAATAGTGCAATTAGGTATCTATGTATATTAACCCAAAGATGATTTCAGACATTTCATTCGATGTTGTAAAATTTCAGGAACAAATTCTTCGAAATATACTCTTTATACCAACCTATACCAAAATGCAAAAAAAAAGTTGAAAACATTTTCGAATGTCTATAATTGCATGACAATTTATTAGTTCTCTTATTCATAATTTTTAATTATTGTCTTCTTAAATAATCTTAAATTTTATTTCTAATCTTAATTTTGATCCTTGTTCAGATAATTTGGAATTGAAATTTGGCAGAGTTAACTTTCGTCTATGAATTTCAGATTTAATCATTTTTAAATCATCCATCTTCTAAACAACTTGAGTCAGGTTTTACTCCTTCGCCTGGTGATTTTTGTGCAATATTTGAAATTGGTTCAACTGTGTTTGATCTTGAAACATGAGCTTTGTTGTTGTTATTTCCTGAACTGTTAAAACTTTTCCATGTTTTGATTTGAATGAAAAGATTTTTGTATGCATTTCTATATTGTGAACTTCCAACTGCATAAATGATTGGATTAATCACTGCTGAACTCCACGCTGACACTGAAGCCATTACATGTGCAAAAGGATATTTTGTTTTATCATCGAAAACATTAACAACCATCAGCGGTAGAAAGCACATGATAAATGCTAAGAAAATCACCAACATCATGACAGTCAAGCGGAGATCATTTTTATTCCGGAAGAATTTTAATTTGCTTTTATTTGCCTGATTCGAGTCAAACTTGTTGAGTTTTGCATGCTGCTTTCGAACAGTGTTAAAGATGCAAGAATATGAAAGAATTATAATGAAACATGGCAAAAGAAATCCAACGAGAAAAATAAAAGTTTTTGGGGATTTTCCATTCTTTTTCAAGATGGTACACGAGAATGTTTGAGTGTCGTAGCCCATTTCACCCCAAAGACCAGCAAGTGGAAAGAACTGAAATGAAATTGAGATAAATATTTTAATAAATAAACAAAGAATTTTAATCTCACCATTATAAGAAATGATATGAACCAAGCTAAGAACAGCTGAAGAAATATGTATTTTGTTTGATAAATCTTTGGATATAAATGTTGAAACGTGATGAGAATGTATCGGTTGATAGTCATAAGGATCATCGATAACATCCTTTAACATGAAAGAAAAAAAACGTGAGTTAAAAACTCTATTTCAATTATACAAAACATGTAGAAATATTCATTACGAAACACAAACGTTGCTGTAGAAGACAAAAGGAAACACTTGACACAGGAAGTCCCCAAAAGTCCAAGATCTATAATAATAGCGAACAGCTTGCATAGGCATCATGATTGTGCAAAATAGAAGATCGGAAAACGTGAGTGACAACAGGAAAGCTGTTGTTGCGTGTTTCCTCAAACGTTCACTCTTTAGTAATGCGACGATCGTCAATAAATTTCCTAAACAAGCATTTAAATAAATTATCGATTTATTATCGATTTTTGTTTTGATATTAAAATACCTGACACTCCAAAAACACAGAAAAGAACAGCAAAAAATGATGCCAAATAGCACCAACTTTGAGGATAAATCACATTCTCAACTGTCATTTTAATCATTCAACTTCTTTCCTTAATATGTGAGTGAGTGAAAGATCAGATGTTAAAAATGTTTTGTGATAAGCAGAAAAAATTAAGTTAAACTTTGTCATTTATTCACAGATTCGACCTTCCACTTGCTATCTAGTTCCCCTTCTAACTGTTCGCATGTAGCCAAAAATAGTCTACGATAGACGGAAATGGCACGATTAGAGATAACGAAGCACAACAAAAATAATGTTGATTCTCTCTTAAATATTGCGAATCGTGAGTTTAGTTTGAAATTTTTTTCATGTTCGTGTTTTTTTTGTGGATCTTTAAATTTCTTAATGCAACATCAATAAAAAGATTCCCAGAACGAAAACAAATCTCATTAAATGTGACACTAAAAACCAGACACGATCATTTGTATAAATTTCCTTTTGCGATCGTCGCTTTATTATTTATTAATGCGCCTCCCTAAAAAACCTTTTTTGTTTGTTTAAAATTCCAGATGCAAACATAAAGAACAAGTCATATGGAAATTGTTGAATGGTAATTTGTTCAACGATGTGCTTCTGCTCAACTTATAAATATTCTTCGTCTAGCGAATCTTGTTCGACGCTTTCTCCTTTATTTTTTAATTCATATGCCATACATAACAGAAAACATGTTGCATTAAATATTTTTGGATGATTTATAAGTTGAGTGTGTTTGGTAACATTAAAAGTTTATTATGAATGAAAATATCAAGTAACATCGAGAATTTAATCCACTTGAATACTCTGCATAGATCAACTGTAAATGCATGTGATTAATTGATACTTTTCAAGTGCCTATCGTTGACTGAATATTGCATCTGCATTTGTGTGATGCATCACAAACATTTCAATTAATTCACCCTGTCACACATATATCTTATTTTTTATTTCAATTAATACAGAAATGTTTCATACTGGGAGATGATCCAATTACTTAAATGTGATGATGTTTAAACAGAACAGAAATCTTTTCCTTCTATTTTGGAACATAAAACAATGACATGTCATTCATTCATTCATTATTTTATTTCATATAAAGAGAAACAAAAAGTTGCGTCTTAGAAAAAAAAACTTAGCATGGTTGTCATCACTTCTCTTGAACAAAAACATGTTGAATTAGAAAAGAAAGAAGGCAGAACCGAATGTTAAGCAGTTTCCGGTCGTGGTCGTTAGCATGCTTTTATATAAAACATTCACACATAATTTACGTAAGCTCACACTTCTTAATATCCATTCAACTTCCTTCCAACGGATGTTACCGGAGAAATTTTATTTAATTTCAACTTTTTTTTGTGTTTATTTTTAATTTAAATCACACACGATCTGCCCCAATAAGATATTAAATAAGTATCTATCTATAACTCAACGATTGTCCATTAAATGCGCACAAAACAAATCTGCTACAACAAATTTTTAATCCGCAATTCAATTACAACGTCAACTGATTTAAATCAAAATAAATTTATCTTCATGTGGGACTCTCCCGCGCGTCAATTCTAATTCTGATGGGCTTTGTTTATAATCGTTGTTGCTTTTTAAACCACACGATTCGATTGATGGTGAAGAACTGAGAGCAGTTGTGTCTGTGTCGTATGGAAATATAAAAAATTATATGAAATGAATAGCGACGGCTGGAATTAATGCGTGCGTGAGGTTTCTGTTGGAAGAACAAAATATTGTTTACTTTGAAAATGCAAAGAATGGAAAGTGGGAGCAGAGTAATAAAATTTAGTTCAAAAGAACATTCGACTATCAAATTTATTTAACATCCGATAGCAGTTTATCGTCTCTTTCTCTCTTTTACAGATCTTAGTGCTTGAAATGTTTATTTGTTTTGCGAATGGTTGTGAGATTTTTTTTATATTTCTCATCTGATCTGATGACGAAGAAAGAAAAAATATTTTATACAAATATTTATTCAGGCGAATTAAACAAATAGACAATAAAGATAAGTATTTAGAGGATGATGGCAATGATTGTTGTTGACATTTGATAAGGAAAGTCAGAGATGATATTTTACAACATTAAAATTTCAAAGTGTTAAAAGGATAAAAAGTTTTTTACTAAAAGATCGCCATCACACTCACATTTTCGAACAATTTTGTATTTTTAAATTTTTTGAGATTTTGTTTGACATTTGTTAAAAGTTTATAACAATTCAATACTTAAATTACAATGAATTAACATCTAAGACATTTGGAATAATCCATAACAGTGAATGCTTCAGGTGGAATGCCACAATTGTACAAGGATTCCATTACTGGGCCTATGTCTTCACATTTAGGAACTGCCACTCTTGAATATACGTACACGGAAACTACAAATGTTTTTCAAGGATTTAGTTAGAGAACTACTGAATATATTTAAATTTACAGTAGTAGTCAGTCACCTGCCAAATCTACTTTTGTAAAAAATCCACAATCTTTGCATAATACTAACGCAATCACATCTGTTTGAACAAAAGATAAATGATAATAATTTAAGTAGATTCAATTTTATTAAATGTTATACAAACCTGGATTAATGGATATAATTTCTCCTCCAAGTGGAACTTTTACTATCATTAAAATTAAAATTATTGTCACGATTAGTCAAGAAATATTAAAAAAAAATGGGGTTGAGTAAATTTTGTGAAGCATTCAAAGTTTAATTAATGAAAAATCGACGTTTTTAAACAATTCAATTAAAAAATCACTCACAATCGGTATAGATAATTTCAAACTTTCCACCGCTGAATTTGAAGTATCCAAAAGCAAACCGCGTTTCACCATCCCTACAATCAAACAAGACTCAATTCACTCAATCAAACAAATGCATTCACTAATTAATTCACAAACTTCTTTACAATTTCTTCAAAATACTGTAATCCATCTACAGGTTCAGAAATATTTAAATATCCACAATTTATGCCAACATCAAAAGGAAATGGAACCATTTCAGTCATATAATAAATTCCCGTAATCTGGATGAGATTTTTTTATCTTTAACTGACCCTAAGTAAGTAAATAAAAACAAAACTTCAAACCTCGTTTGGAATAACAGAAGAATTTGATTGACAGAAATGATCGCAATTTGTTCCTTCAGGTAGCTTATATGTAGCATAACTCAAATTAAAAAATAACAAAAATACAAAAAATAAATAAATTTCCATTGATTTATACTTGCAAAACTAATTACGAATAAAAGCTTTTGAGTTAAAGTTACTTCTTTTTATAAAAATAATTTTTCCACTTAAAATTTGATTTTGATGTGATTGATAGCAAACACGAACTCACGTTTTTCTTCAATTTTCATTACCAATATAAATAAATTTTAGTATTTAAACTTGCACAAAGAAACATTGGGCTCAAGCTACAATGAAACGTGGTCATTTTTAGGAATCTTTAAAGAAAACATTCAAGTTTGAATGAGTAAAGTCAACTTTTTTGTGGTAGCTTTTATGCCAATCGCGAACGAAACGCTCCATTTTCATGCAATCATGATTTGAATATTAGTCGTTGAAAGCTTTTTAAATTTTCCTCATAATTTCTGAAAAGATTTAAACTTTTGATTGAATCCAACATTTTATTTTATTTTCTTTTTCTGTTATCTTCAATTCTACCACAAAACAAATAAAAAATATGAAATCTCAATAGGAAATTTTAAATCTGGCTCTTGCAGGTTCGTCTTAAAGTTTACACAAAAAAAAGAAAATTCGCCTAAAACTTGAATAAATTATATCAAGCGTACAATTGAAGGTTGTATAATTCTTAAATATTCTTGTGCATTGGATGTAGGTACTTTAAATATCGCCAGAAATTTAAACTGTTAATGAGACGCGTTAATGAGATGTGTTAATGTTTAAAACGAATTTAGAACTGTGACAATGTTTAACATAGAAAAAAATTCACTGGTTATTCATTATTAAAATTTAATCGTTTGACCATTTTATGTATTTATGTCACGTGTTCACGCTCTCACTCAAGATGAAAATTTTCGCTCATTCCTCATGGTGACTCTTTTAAGAAATAAAAAGTTCTTGATTTCCACTTGGCACTTCCACGTTCTCTTTTAGTTTTGATGTTCCTAAGCGCTAAAAACCTGATAAGAATTAACTCTCGTTTGATAATGAGCATATTATGTCATGAAAGATTTGATTGGTGTGGAAAACACTTCTCATTTGAATAAATACTCTGAGATCGTGTCAAAAAATTTTCAGTTTTATTCGAATCTTTAAACATGAAGGGATTTTTGCTTTTTGCTGTATTCTGCTTATTCAATCTTTCTGCATTAGCACAAATTGATGATGTTGTAGCTTATTGTATGAAGAAATTTGTCATTGATGGTGGATTTATCAATGTTGGTGACATCAACATCAATCCTAATAACATTGATACAGCAACAGCTAACTGCGAGACTCTTTTAAATGCTGCAAGAGCAGAAGCTGTAGGCGGTCTCGAATCTACATACAAAGGACAAAATTTACCTCAAGCAAAAGTTGATTGCATTTTGAAAGCCTTCGGAACGAGTAAAATGTTTGAATATTCAACTGCACTTCTTGTTTTGGAGAATCTTCCAATAACTTCAGAAGCTAAACAGCAGAACGCAGAAGTAGTTCAAGGTAAAATGGCAGGTTTTAATACAGCAGTTATGGGATGCTTCATGGCATAATGAACTAAAATGAAAAAATCTGTTGTTAAGTACTAGAAACTGCTAACAGTTGAACAATAAAAAGATTTCGCTAAAAAAATGTTTCCGACTTTTTCCTGTGATTGAAGCAGTTTTAACCAAACGAAAGCAAAGCAGATAAGAGAAATCTTATGTAATATGTTATGAGCAAACACTTTTCGATTTGAAAACAAGTTCAAGTCAAAGTTGTTATTCTAAATAGGTTTCAACTTTCACTGATAAGAAGTTTCTAAATGAACTCGGATTTGCGAGCTGGCCCGAAGTCATAATTATGATGATGATCAATTCATGTGATATAATATTGTAAGTTGTAATTCAGACCCACGAGATTCCACAACCTTACAACTGAAGATTTAGAATTTAGAACAATAATGCACAGACTTGAAAAATGTTTTATGGCTTTTAATTAAAAATCTAAAATTTTATTTTATTTCTCATTTTTATTCTATCTCCAATTCAACTACAAGATTAAAAAAAAAACTTAAATTTTGCCATTTTAAAGTCCAATTCTTGCAGGTGTTCGTCTTGGTGTTGGAGTCCCTCCAGGTGTAACAATTTCTTGCTTAGCTAGAATAGCTTCATGTTTCATAGCTTCCAATTGTTTTGACTGTTCAATCTCTTCTTGAGCTTTTCGCATTTGACTTTCCATTTCATGTAAATGTTCAACAGCTTGACGTCGTTTGTCACGTCCACTTTTACCAGTTTCTTTAACAGAGAAGAACATTGGACCGAGTTCAGCAAGCCAGAAGCCATCAACCGCAGTTGCACATTGCATATATTCTTTAGCCGTCATCACAAGTTCGTGATAAACGACATATTCTGGCGATGTTCCAAGTCCATAAAGTGCCGAGGTTGGATGAAGGAAGCAAGGCATTCCCGTCCGTAAATTAACATACTCGCCAATGCCTTTAAGTCGAGCAGCTTGATAGAAATAAGCTGAACAAATGCACTTCCTTATTATGTCCCAATTTGTTCCACAAGACTTCACTTCCAATTTCTGTTGAACGAGAATATCTTTCAATTGTTGTCGAACTTCACGAACTTTTCTCATCGCTTTGATATGAATGAAATGTTCATTCGCCCAATTGGATGAATATTTGTTCATCTTCCATTGTTGATAAACATTCAAATAAGTTAAATGATCTGATTCAGGAACTTGAAACTTCTCTCGAATATTGTCAGCTTCTTCTTCACGTCCTTTTGGTCGATAAAAAATTGATGGCACTGATAGCATCGAAACAATAATCAAAACTTCAGCGGAACATCCCATTTGACATGCAACAATTAACATTTGACATTGAGGTGGATCGAGTGGAAATTCAGCCATTTGTCGGCCAAGTGATGTTAAACCTCCGGTATGATCAAGAGCGCCAAGAATCCACAATTGATAAAGTGAATTGAGAATGTTGTCTTGTGGTGGTGGATCCATAAAATGAAATTGAAGTAAATCAACGACACCAAGTGACTTCAAAAGCAAAACAGTGTTAGCAAGATTTGTTCTCTGTATCTCCGGAACAGTCAAAGCCAACAACTCATCTTTATATTGTCGCTCTGTATACAGTCGAAATGCTTGACCAGGTCCAGTACGACCAGCTCGTCCGCTTCTTTGATTCGCATTTGCTTGTGAAATTGGATAAATTTGAAGTGCATCCATACCAATTCTTGGATTATAAACTTTCAATTTGCAATAACCACTGTCAATGACATACATAATGCCATCAACTGTCAGAGAAGTTTCAGCAATGTTTGTTGCAACGACACATTTCCTTAAACCATCTGAAGATTTCTGAAAGATTTTCGCTTGAAGATCTGATGGAAGTTGTGAATAAATTGGCAGAATTGAGAGTTTTGGTGCATTGTCGATTTCGAGTAAACGATCAGCAAGAACTTCGCATGTCACTTCAATATCTTCTTGTCCAGGCATGAAGATGAGAATGTCACCTTCAAGATTTCCAAGATGAATCTGAAGTGCTTGCTTCACAGCTGCATCAACATAATCTTCAACAGTATTTTTGCCAAAGAAAACATCAACTGGAAATGTTCGTCCAGGAATTGTGAATGTTGGAACATTACCAAAGAATTGAGCAAATTTTGTTGCATCCATTGTAGCTGATGTAACGATGAGTTTGAGATCATGACGTCTTGCAACAATTTCTCTGAGTAATCCAAACAAAACGTCAGTTGAAAGACTTCTCTCGTGAGCTTCGTCCATAATAATCGCTGAATAACTGTCCAAGTCACCATCACGTAAACTTTCACGCAATAAAATACCATCAGTCATGTATTTAATCATCGTGTTCTCTGATGTACAATCTTCAAAACGAATGGCATATCCAATATCTTGACCAAGTTTTGTTCCCATTTCATCTGAGACACGTTTGGCAACCGACATAGCAGCAACACGACGTGGTTGTGTGCAACCAATCATTCCAAATTTACTATAACCATCTTCATGAAGATATTGTGTGAGTTGAGTTGTTTTTCCACTTCCAGTTTCCTGTGAAGAAAGAAAAATTTCTATATTAATTTGAAAATTACTCCAAGAGAAATGATCAACTTACGCCAACAATTATAACAACAGAATTCTCTCGAATAACATTCAACAAATCTTGTCTTACAGCAAATACTGGAAGAAATTGTCTTTGTTGAGTGATCGTCTTTCTCCGAGCGAAATCACTGCTTCCAGTTTGATCTTGATTTGTCATATGTTCTGCAAACTTTTGATCTTTTTTGTAATCAGCTGTATCAGTATCAGCATCATATTTGGCATCTTCATCATCTTTTTGTTTCTCAATTCCCATAATGTTGCCAAGTTTAGTTCCGCCCAATTCCCAATGCTTCTTTTGTGCTTTTCGTCGCTCTTTTTGTTCTCGAAATACACGAACTAACGCACTGCCTTTACGTGCTACCATCGCCATATCAGATGTTGGATCTTTGACAGGAATCACAGGCTCTGAGAAATAAACAAAAATTAATTAAAGCACATTTTTCTTATGTATGTTTATGACTTACCCATGACTTTTGTAAACACAATTCGTCCATCAAGAAATGGTGGAATCGTGTGATGTACCAATAAATGTACTCGATCAACTGTTTCCTCTTCAAAATCCTCATTGACATTAATTGATGTCACTACGCCAGATGTTATCATTCGATTTTTCTCCCATAACTCATTGTCTTTGTTAATTTGACGTTGTTGTGCTGAAATTCTCTTTTTCTTCTTCATTTCCAGCTGTTCTTCACGTTTTCTCAAATATTCAGCATTGGGTCCAGTAAATGGATTGTTTTCGTCATCATATCCTTCATCCATGTTGTACCATTCTCGATCTAATCTTATTTGTTCCTCTTCCCATAAATCTTTATCCTCTTCACTATTCCATGGCTGTTTTGTCTCGGATTCTTTATCAATACGTGGTGTTGCTCCTGAATGTTTCCTATCTGCGGCCCATTTGTTATATTTATGAGCTGGTGTTGGTCGTGGTGTGTCATCTTCAAGACGTTTCGAAGAACTTGCAGCTTTTACTGAGCGATATGATCTGACAGAATCATCAGGACGACCTTTATATGGAATGTCAGGTGTTGGGAAATCCCATGATGACTTTTTCTTTTTACTTCTCAAATATTCTTCGTCGTCATCGTCATCCCACGAAGTTTTGCTTACTGAGCTTCTCCCATAAGAATCTCTGGGAGTCTCAGGTTCATCTCTTCGTCGATAAGATGAACGATCACCTCTATGCGAACTTCTGTCACTCCTGTCACTGCGGTCGTATTTTGATCGCTTCCTGTCACGATCTCTTTCCCTATTCCGATGGTGGTCTCTGTCACGACTTGAACTTGAATTTCGATGTGATTTTCTAAATCTTTCTTTATCTTTAGTAGACGCATAAATTCCTTTTGATTTATCAGAAATTCGATCTTTATAATGTTCTCTGACTGATTCTGAGACTCCACCAGTGTGAGAAGGTGTTTCTACCTTTGAACTTCTGTAATTTTTATTTTTACCTTCAGACTTTAATTTAAAGGTTGACTCTTCATCCTTTACTTCAGTTTGGTCATTTTTTGAATCAATTTCATTGTCATGATCACGAAATGATGTAAGTAGTCCACTTTCTCGTTCTTTTTTCAATTTTTTCGCTAATAAATCCAGACCAAATTTGCTTGTAGGAACTTTGAAAAGTGTTTCATCTTTCTTCTTGTCTCCATCCTTTTTCTTTATTATTAATCCACCTTTTTGTGGCTCTAAAGCTTCTAATCTATGTACACCATCAGGAGAATCCATCACTTCTTTATTGATTCTATTAAACACAAATTAGTTTTGTAATCGTTGTGAATAGGCAAATTTTGTAAACAAAGTTTTAGAACATAATTTTGAGTCAAATTCAAGGGCCGGCGAATTCAAAAGTTTAGTACAACATTGTTCATAATTTCTACTGAAAACAGTTAAAATCATTAATAATGGATAATAAAACAGATCCCATTGTGTGCTTCCCTGGAGATAGGTTGTGTACGTCTAATGAGAATACAATCCCTGGTAATGGAACTTATGAAAGACTAGGATACATTTATTCTTCACTTGCCGGCATCGTGGAAACAAAAACAGAAGATAAAGTAAATTTTGCTCAATGGTTTTAAGTTCTTGAATAACAAATCTTCCCATTTTTAGAATACTATTATAAGTGTCGTGACATCTGGAAACAAAACAAATCTCCCGATTGTGGGAGATGTTGTTACAGCACGAGTTGAAATTGTAAATCAGAGATTTGCAAAATGTTCTGTAATATGTATTGGCGATATGCTTTTGAATCGTCCTCTTCGTGGAATATTAAGAAAAGAGGATGTTCGCGCAACTGACATTGATCGTGTGGAAATGTATAAGAATTACAGACCAAATGACATAATTTTGGCTAAAATTATTCCTCAAATTGAGATTCACACATATAGTTTATCGACAGCAGAGAACGAATTAGGTGTAGTGATTGCATCCGCCAGAGGACTTGCAACTTCATCCAACACATATATTCCAGTTCCAATGGTACCAATTTCTTGGAGTGAAATGCAATGTCCTAACACACTTGTTAAGGAACCAAGAAAAGTTGCAAAGATTATGTCCGAAAATGCATTGGCTAAACAACAATAAATATAGTTCATAATAAAATATTTTATTTGAAAAAAGTTAAGCTTAAATTTGATTTATGCACTAGCTCATATAAAATTTCATTAATATTTTCTTCACTTCTGATGATGTCCTCACTTCTTTGGAGAAGATTTTGATTTATAAACAGCTCCAGTATAAAATCCATGTTTTGATATCGAAACAGACCTAAAACATACCCTTAATAATTAAAATTGTTTCTGACAGTATCACTTTAAGAAATCTTACTTATCAGCACTTTCGAGTATAACAACAGGAGCATCAATATTGGGATGGATTTTTGCTGCTTGATCTGCTATTGCTGATATCAATCCAGATGAATTCCCTGATGAATTTCCTCGAGCTATTATGGAAGAGAAATAAAAAAAATTAAATTGCAATCAAGTGATTAAAAAAAACTTACTTCCATAACAAAGCCCGTGACTATCTGTTATAACAGCTCCTATTGTGTTCTCATTTTGCATCATGTTATCTAAAACACTTTCAAGCTTTGCTTCCATAATTCTCAATTCTAATAGAAGATTTATTGCAAGATTAATTGGATAGAATTATAAATAAAATATTTTTATCGCTGTATTGTTTACAATGTTTGAGTGCGTTCAGTTCTTTTGATAATTTTCTAAAATTAGAGCTCAATTCGCTTTTCTTTTCCTTTTCAATTCGCTTCCCATTTGGCAATTAAACGTGAGTTCTCGTTTTTTAATTATTTTTTAAGTTAAAATCATCCAAATAGCATTTCTTTTTACTGATTTCTATCTAAAAAGTAATGATACATTAGATTAATATGAAGTTTAGGGATATTTTTAGGTTTGGAACTATAAATTTATAACTTTAATTTTTCTTCATAAAAACATATTTTGAAAACAAATTCAACAAAAATATAAATTCATTAATTCCTTCTACAAATAAAAAATTAATGTTACAATCATATTAAGATGGAATGAAAGTTTTATTTAAAGATGTATAATTCTAATTTTCAAATATTTTAACCTAAAAAATCGCCTTACATTTTGATGCAATAACCACAATTTCAATGCTTTTTTCAGGTTTATCGTTGCTCATATAAAACGTAACAATGTCGGGAGGACTTGAAGTTCTAGCCTTGAAGGACTCTGATGTCACTAAAATGTTAGCCGCTACTACACATCTTGGGGCAGATAATGTGAACTTCCAGATGGAACAATATGTTTTCAAGCGTCGTCAGGATGGTGTCAACATCATCAATTTGGGACGTACATGGGAGAAGCTTTTATTAGCTGCTCGTGTTATCGCTTCTGTTGAACATCCTCAAGAGGTAAGGATATATTTTCAAAGAATTCATAAACTATAATTTATAATGATGATACATTTATCATAACCATCTTTCGGGTCTGACATAACGCTGATGGATAACTAAACAACTGAATTCCTTTCTTCTTTCAAACAATTTCCTTTTAAATTTGATCATATAATAATGAAATCGAATTCTTTTCAGATCTTTGCCATCTCATCTCGTTCATTTGGTCAACGAGCTGTTCTGAAGTTCGCTAATTACACTGGTGCAACTCCAATTGCTGGCCGTTTCACTCCTGGTGCATTCACTAATCAGGCCCAATCAGCTTTCCGTGAACCACGATTGTTGATCGTTTCTGATCCAATGTCAGATCATCAACCCGTCACTGAAGCTTCATATGTGAACATTCCAGTTATTGCTTTCTGCAACACTGATTCACCGTTGAAATACGTTGATATTGCAATCCCTTGCAATACCAAATCATCTCATTCAATTGGATTAATGTGGTGGTTGTTGGCTCGCGAAGTTTTACGGCTTCGTGGTCATGTTCCCCGTGATCAGCCATGGGAAGTTATGGTTGATTTGTTCTTCTATCGCGATCCAGAGGAAGCTGAAAAGGATGAACAAGCAGCTAAAGAAATTTTGCCACCACCAAAAGATAATTATCATGAAGATGGAACTGAAGATCCAAGCTATCCAGATGATTTAGCAACAGCTGGACCAATTGCTGCAGCAGTAGTTCTACCCACAGCTGCTCCCGCTGCTGCTGAAGATTGGAATGAAGATGAAACTGTCGGACGATCTGACTGGGGGGGCGCTACCACAGAATTTTAAAGTGACAACAAACAAGGTCACATTTATGAATGTGAAATAAAACGGATGTGTCGATAATGACCGAAAGAAATAAAGATGAAATAAATCTTATTTGTTATTGTTTTCATTTTTCGATTTTTCAGATTTATTTTCTATATCGTCGAGTGATGAAGCGACCAATCGATAATCAAACGTCAAGATTGTCTAGTCGATTGTCCATGTTATTTGATATTTGGATATTCAATCCACCATCTCGTTAAAAACAATAAATCACCTGTTTTCACTCGCATCATCTGTTCAGAGAATTTGTCTCACAACATGTGAAGATGTAAAAGCACGTTTTCTTTTGTGATAACAAGAAGAAGGAAATATTTAAAGTTCACACATGCGCTTATCTTTGTTGATATTGTGAATGCACGTGAAGATTGTAGTGGGAGTGAAATGGACCGCAATCTCATGATTGAGGGGAAGAAGAATGAAAATTTTCTCGACATTCTTTAAAGCAGAGAAATTTTCTTTTTTGTCTAGTGAAAAACTTCAAGTTTTAAAGTTTTCTCTCAAATTTTCGATAATTTTTAATTAAATTATTATTTATTAGGAATATTTTTATTGAAAATGAATGAAATTGAGATGAAAAGTGTTGTGTTAATTTGTTAAATCACGACAAAAAAATTCACGCCCTTTCAATGTCGTCTGAATAAAAGAAAAAAGAAAGAAAGGAAAAAAAGCTTTCAAGTAATTTTATTACAACAATCGAAAATTTTAAAGAAAATTTGAAAGGAATTTAAAGAAATCATGAGACTGTTGGTGCTTGTTACTATTTTAATGCTGATAAATTTATCAGTTGGATTTCGTGGAAATTCTAATCGTGGCAGCTCATCAATAAGCAGCAGTCAATCAAATCAATTAAATATCGGGTTGATAGCGCCACATACCAATTTTGGTAAGGAAATTATTAACGAGACAATAACAACATTAATCTCATCTAAATATTTCATTCATAATAATTCTAATTAGAAAAGAAGTTGTAATAGAAATTATGTAACAAATCAAATACATATTTGTGGGTTGTTTATTCTCATCCCCATCATCACCTCATCTCACTTTATTAAATTTCCCCTTAAACATTTCCTTATTTACATTTCCCCTCTTTACTAAAGGCAAACGTGAATATTTGCGTGCGATAAACTCAGCTGTTACCGGATTATCAAAAGCACGTGGTCAGAAGTTAACATTTCTCAAAGACTATGAATTTAATCCAAGCAACATTCATTTCGAAGCACTGACATTGAATCCTAGTCCGACAGCTATTCTGAATATTTTATGTAAACAATTCTTGCATGCCAATGTGTCAGCGATTCTTTACATGATGAATTATGAGCAGTATGGCAGATCAACAGCAAGCGCTCAATATTTCCTTCAGGTAATTGATATTAACGATGTTGATGAAGTGAGAGTAAACAAAGTCGTTTCCATTTATTAGCTTGCTGGTTATTTAGGAATCCCTGTCATAAGTTGGAATGCTGATAATTCGGGACTCGAACGTCGTGCTTCACAATCAACTTTGCAGCTTCAATTAGCGCCATCAATTGAACATCAAGCTGCAGCTATGTTGAGTATTCTAGAACGTTATAAATGGCATCAATTTTCATTAGTGACATCACAAATCGCTGGTCATGATGATTTCGTACAAGCTGTTCGTGAACATGTCGTCGATATTCAAGATCGATTCAAATTCACAATTCTCAATTCGATTATTGTGACACGTCCAAGCGATTTAGTTGATTTGGTGAATAGTGAAGCACGTGTTATGTTACTTTACTGTACGAAGAGTGAAGCTATTGATATTCTGAAAGGTAAATTTTTATTAAATATTAAAGGAAAGAGAAAATAATTTGATTTTTCATTTACCTTCACAGCTGCTAAGGAACTTCACATCACGGGGGAAAACTACGTTTGGGTCGTGACACAATCAGTGATTGAAAATAATCAACCACATTCACAATTTCCTGTCGGCATGTTAGGTGTTCATTTTGACACGACATCAGCAAGCTTAGTCAATGAAATCTCGACAGCTATCAAAGTTTATGCATCTGGTGTTGAATATTTTCTGAATGATCCAAGTAATCGAGGAAAGAAATTGAATACCCATGGCTTGTCATGCGAAGATGAAGGAAGGGGACGATGGGATACCGGAGAAATGTGAGTCGTCTTTTCACTAAAATATTAAATATCATCGATTATTGACTTTGACTTTTTTCATCATCTTATTAAGCTTCTTCCGTTACCTTCGAAATGTATCAATCGAAGGTGAAACAAACAAACCAAATATCGAATTTACAACCGACGGTGATTTGAAATCAGCGGAATTGAAAATTATGAATCTTAGGCCGAGTGTTAACAGTAAAGGAATTGTATGGGAAGAAATTGGTGTATGGAAATCATGGCCGACACATTCGCAGCAAAAGTTGGACATTAGAGATATTTATTGGCCGGGAAATTCTCATGCACCACCTCAAGGTGTTCCTGAAAAGTTTCATTTAAAGATTACATTCTTGGAAGAAGCTCCTTACATTAACTTATCACCAGCAGATCCCATTTCTGGGAAATGTTTGATGGATCGTGGGGTTTTATGTCGTGTAGCTGCTGATCCCGACATAACTGATATCGATCAATCTCATAAAAATGGTTCATTCCATCAATGTTGTTCAGGTTTTTGTATAGATTTGCTTGAAAAGTTTGCGGAAGAACTTGGATTTACTTATGAATTGGTGCGCGTTGAAGATGGTCGATGGGGAACTTTGGAGAATGGAAAATGGAATGGATTGATAGCTGAACTTGTTAATCGTAAAACTGACATGGTTTTGACGTCTCTCATGATAAATGCAGAACGTGAAGCTGTTGTTGACTTTAGTGAACCATTCATGGAAACTGGAATTGCGATAGTTGTCGCAAAACGAACGGGAATCATCTCACCAACAGCATTTCTTGAACCTTTTGACACAGCAAGTTGGATGTTGGTTGGAGTTGTGGCAATTCAAGCTGCGACTTTCATGATTTTCTTATTCGAATTTCTCTCTCCAAGTGGATTTGATATGAAGTTGACAGTTCAAACGAACTCCAACGGTGTTCTCCCTTATCGTTTTTCACTATTTAGAACTTATTGGCTTGTATGGGCCGTTTTGTTTCAAGCCGCAGTCCATGTTGACTCCCCTAGAGGTTTCACAGCACGATTTATGACGAATGTGTGGGCGATGTTTGCTGTTGTTTTTCTTGCCATTTATACAGCTAACTTGGCAGCTTTCATGATAACAAGAGAAGAGTTTCATGAATTCACTGGACTTGATGATACAAGATTGTCACGACCATTCTCTCATAAGCCTCCAATTAAATTTGGCACAATTCCTTGGAGCCATTCGGACTCAACAATGGCAAAATACTTTAAGGAAATGCATTACTACATGAAGAAGTTTAATAAGACTTCAATCAATGAAGGTGTTGCTGCTGTGTTGGCTGGCAATCTCGACGCTTTTATTTACGATGGAACAGTTTTAGATTATCTCGTTCAACAAGACGAAGATTGTCGATTGTTGACGGTTGGACAATGGTATGCAATGACGGGTTATGGTTTGGCATTCAGTAGAAACTCAAAATATGTTCAAATGTTCAACAAGCGTTTACTTGAGTTTCGAGCCAATGGAGATCTTGAGAGATTGAGACGATATTGGATGACCGGCAATTGTAGATCAGGAAAACAAGAACATAAATCTTCAGATCCTTTAGCACTAGAACAGTTCTTGTCAGCTTTTCTCCTATTGATGGCGGGAGTTTTGTTAGCTGGTAAAATTTTGTTTTCTCGTTCTTTCACTTAAAAATTAACACTTTTCTACTTAAAGCTCTTTTGTTGCTTCTCGAACATCTTTACTTTAAATATTTTCGAGCACGTTTGGCAAAAAAAGATCGTGGAGGTTGCTGTGCGTTAATCTCGTTATCAATGGGGAAATCTTTAACTTTTCGAGGTGCAGTTTATGAAGCTCAAGAACTGATTAAAAATCATCGTTGTCGTGATCCACTTTGTGACACGCATTTATGGAAGGTTAAACATGAACTTGATATGACAAGGTTGAGGGTAAGGCAATTGGAGAAAGCGATGGACTCACATGGCTTAAAGCCACCTCAAATCAGGTAATTTTATCAAATTAATTCACGGATCAATCAGATATTTATGGAAATGTTCGCAGATTATCATCAATGTCAAATCTCATCGCTGAACGTAAGGAGAAGGCAAACATTTTAGGAAATCTGAGTTTAGGTGGCAGCGCTCAAGATTTGTATCGATGGACATACAAGACAGAAATTGCTGAAATGGAAACAGTTTTGTAAGATTAGATATCATGAATTAGTGTAATCCAAACCTAAATTAGTGTAATGATTAAAGTTTATATTGATAGTGTTAAATGTCAAGAAGTGGTCGATGATGAGATTGATAAGTTTTTTTCTATTCACTTCACTATTCTCGCTTATGTTGAAAAGATAATTATTTTAAAATATTTTTATAACATTTTCATTCTTTAATCGACTAACTTCAGAATTAAACTTTTTACCTTGAACAAGAAGAAAATAACAGGAATGCTGATGTAGCAGTTTCGATAGACATGAATCAAAACTAATTGCATTAATCAATTAAATGTTACTTAATTATCGGAATCAATCAATATATCATAAAAATTGTTATCTACTTAGTTGCATTGTTGAAGTGTTAAAATAATTATAAAGGAAGGTTTGGGTTTATAAATATTTAAAATATGAAAGAAAAAAAAATTATCTAAAGTGTCTCAAAAGAATTTCTTCGTGTGACTTAAAAGGAATTAAAAAAAAATTTAATTATTAGTTTATGCTACTTTGCTCTTGTCATTTAAAGAACATTTTTGTATCTGTAAGCATTCCATCAAATACTTCCTAATACCAAAGGCAAAAAAGATTGAGCGAAGTAAAGCAGATCGAATCTAATAACAACAAACAAAACTACCTACCTAGCCACACAACAACTTGACCCACCCATAGAAGGTTATAAAGCGAAATAAAATTCCAAATTTAATCTTTTTTTGTCTTCTTTGACACATGAATGAAAAACATAAGATACAAAATGTTAACAGTAAATGTTCGGTCTTAATATTATTAAATGGAATTAAAACTTATTAAAAGCTCTTAAATTATTTGACTAAAGGAATATATTTATATAGATATACAAATGAATTTAAGATATTTGTCATCGTCATCGGTATCTTCATCTAACTGAAGACATATTGTGACATTTAAAGCAAAGCCAGGAAGTCAATACGAAGCTCAAACGTTCATGTATCTTCCAAAGACCAATTTACGAACATAAAAGAGAAAATAAAAACGAAACTTTTTAATGAAAACCATCCATTGAAAATAAAAAGTTACTTGGAAGATACACTTGGGAACTTCTCTTTTACATTTTCTTCATTTTTTCTCTCTTAAAACAATAAAAACATCGGAAATTAATAAATATGAAAAACCGAAAGTCCGATTCAACAACTAATAAATGTCTACTATGAAGCTCCATGTTAAATGTGCAATAAAAGAAGAGCAAAAATCTATTAATGAGCAAAACATAACAACGACAAACTAAGAAATGATTTTAAATTTCGTTTTCAGTTGTGAATGTTGAAATCGAAAGTTTTTTTTTGTTTTGGTCAGAAACACGTTGAATTGACCCCAAAAGCAAAATTAATATTCAAGCTTTCGATTGATGATTACAAACAATTGAATATATTTGCAAACAGTTCTCAAAGAAAATAATCCAGAAACCTTAACAACTTTTCCACGTGAAAATATTATTAAATAATACTTATTTACATATTTAGACAATGTGAAAGCAAGATATGATATCTAAACAGTTGAAATGGTAATAAAATGTATCATTGAATAATAAACATCTGAAATAAATAAAACTATTGACAGAAATTTCTAAATTATTAATTTACAAATTGCAACCTGTTTAAGTGTTTATGTTTTTCTTTCTTTTATTCATTTCTTTGTTACTCCACAAGCATCACTTAAGAAGTCAATAGTCAAGTGACCTTTCGCGAAGAAGAAAAAAATATTTCGTGATTGTTATGTGATCATGCACAGCACATAGTTTATTTATTTATTTTTTAAGAAAAATGTTAACTTTCAATTTTTAAAATCGAGCAGCTTTTGAGAGAAAAACAATTCAGAGAGCGTGAAGTGAATACAATGCGGCATTAAATTTGCGCGCTAAAATACGGAACGTGGTTGAACAATATTTACATCGCAGATTTATTGAAGAAACTTTGAGAGATTGGAAGACTTTTTTTGTGTTTATTGTAAGCTCAAGTTTCACATCTACTTCAGCAAAAAAACAGTGAAAAAACCCACAGTTTATTCTCTTACAGGTGACTGCGAAACTCACACAAATATTTGTGAATGAAGTGATTCAGTTTCTCAGTCTCTCATCAATGCTTCATCCAACGAGACCGTTTTTGAAGCTTCTCGCAAGTTGTGAAGGTTGCACTTGAAAACTTTTGTTTGATTTACTTTCATTTGTTTGTGGTTTCAAAACGATGATTTTCCGCTTTGGTGCCATCTTTATGCTGGTGTTGATCGCCTTGGTGCTCAGCGAGCCAACAATGTACAAGAAAAATGAACAAAATATATATGAACCAGGTGAGTTAAATGTCGCGAAATAATAAAGACAATCAAGTCAGAAGATGTTAATGACGTGTTCATGTCCATTTAAAGTTCCACCCACACATCATTTTGAGTCTTTCTAAATTCAATTTGTTTGATTTTTTACTCTTTTTTTTCGCAGATCTTGTCCCTGTGTCGTCAACCGTTATTCCCGAAGCTGAAATGCCAAATCGAGATGAGATCACAGCCGAGATGGATCTTCAATATAAAAAAGCTTATTATAGTCTCTTCAAGAAAAAGTTCAACGCTAAACTGGAGAAGCCCGACACATTGCTAACTGACAAAAAGAAATTCAACAAAAATATTGAAAAAAATGTGACGAAAAAAGTGTGATGAAGTCAGTGAACTGAGTATGAGAAAGCAAACATTAATCATAAACAACTTTCTGACATAAAATAATTAATTAAACGATTATTTGCTTGTGTCATGATCTTAAGCAAATGAAAATAAATATTTTTTATAAAAGCTCAGAAAGGAACGGAAAGCGTCACAGTCAACCATTAATTAATTAACAAATCTTTGTTTAAAAATTTTGAGAATTTTAATTTAAGTTTATTACTTAAATATGTTCAATATTCAAAACATTTTATTATATTCTTTTAATAAATAATTAAATTAACCAAAAACATGTTTCATATGCTGCTTCAATCTTTTGAAATTTAAGTTGAATTAATTACACAAAACTTATGGAAATTTCATCAATTCAAAAAAGTTTGTAAATGCGTTGGGATTTCTTTCGTTTGGTTCTTTGTAGGATATTTGATAGCTCGTTCCATTCTCACCACGATTGAATGGTGCTTGATCATTTGTTTGCAAGAAGAAATTACCAGCAAGTTGAGGATCAGCGTCAATTCCCATGAAAACATCTTTTTGAATGATTTCACATTCGTTTTTCTTAAAATTTTCCCACGAAAGACATGAAACAGAATTAAAAATTTCGACATTTTTTGATCGAACAGATTCTGAGTAAAATTGCCAAGATCTTTGATGTGAACAGAAATCTTCAGGCAATCCTACACAACCAGGTTGATCTCTTCCACCATTTGGAAAGAAGTCAACAGTGCCAACTGAATCGTCGTCACCAAACAGACTGCTGTCAGTATGAATGATATCAACAAACTTTCCTGACATTGTTCAATAATTATTTGAAAAGTTATCAATCAAATTTATTCTTAATTTACCATCATTCTTGCTTATCAGAACCACTTCAACATCAGGATCATTGAAATCAGGAGAAGCAGGGTCAAGTGCAGTTATTCTTGTAATTTCAAATTCATCATTCGAGAAAATTTTGTAATTTCTTCCAGTAGCACCGACAAGTTGACCACCAGCAGAATGACCGACAAGATGAAAGTTTTCCAACTTAAATCCTGATTTATTCATTCGCAGCAGAACTTTTCCTATAATTTCGCCGATTTTCTGAGTGTTTGGAATGACAAAGTAAGGATAACTTCCCCTGTTGTACTTTGCCCATTCAACAACGAGAATGTTGTGATCACCTCTTTCGATATAAGATTCGACGAGAGTTTGTGTACTTTTTGATTTGAATTTCTCATTGAATCCATAAACATACACAACAGTTGGCTTATTGTTGTCATATCCTGGGTGAGTTAAAAGTTTTTCCGTTTCATTCAATTCAATGATTTCAAACTTATCCACATCTGAGCTGCAAAATTTAAATAAAATTAACACAAATTAATACTCAACTCTGTTTAAATTACCCATTAATAAAAATGAACTTCAATTCAGTGAACTCTTTTTGATGCCCAAAAAGAAAAGCAAATAAAATTTGAAAACTGAAGAAGAAAAATATGAAAACTGATGCAACGTGAAAACTTTTCGTCATTTTCCGCACTGCAGTGACAATAAAAATACTAAATAAAGTTTATTTTGTTCAATAGTTTTTATAACTTCATTCTTATCAAATATCCATAATTTTTAATTAATAGAACAAAGCAATTTCAATGACATTTATTGATTACAATTTTTATTATTACTTGTTAGACATCCATTAATAATGTCATTGAATAGTTTTAAAATATTAATTTCCTTTTCTTAAATAACTTAATCCACAAGTAATTATAAACAAATCTATAAAAAATCGTCACTATTTTTTTGATTATTTATAAATTCCCAATTATCATTGAGTGGATATTTGATAATGAATGTAAACTCTTGGAACTTTAATGATTATTGTTTGTAATCGATACGATGACAATTGTAACTCATTGTAACTCATGAGAAGATTATCGTGGCTCTTGAATGTACGTTCTTAACTTAACAAATGACAAATGCCTCGGAGATTTGATTAGAATTTTTCGGGAAAAGTTTGATGCAGCAGAAACATCGCAAATATTGTTTTCGAACAAAACAGTAAAACAATAAAACCTGGAAATAAGATTAACTAACGATGCACTTAAACGTTATAAAATCTAATCTCAAATAAAAACACAAGACAAGAAACGAAACGCGCACAATATTTAGTCGTTGTTTGATTACCGTGCGAAGCAGTCAATAATTAAACAAACTTCAATATTTAAAATTTGCTTCGAAGATTTTTGTTCAAACTCCGGTGGAAAGTTCATTGAATCTGAATGGAAGGAACTTTTAACCACGCGTTCTCTTCACAAGAAAACAGTCAAGAAGTCGACAACAATTTCAATAAAGATCCCGAAAAAGAAGCAACAAATGCTTCTCATCAGGAGCGTGAAAAATGGGGAAAAGACATCGAATTTCTCTTCTCATGCATTGCTTTGAGCGTCGGTTTGGGAAATATTTGGAGATTTCCATTTGTTGCTTTAGCTAATGGAGGTGGTGCTTTTGTAATACCGTACGTCATAGTGTTAGTGTTGGTTGGTCGTCCAGTCTACTTCCTCGAAATGATGTTGGGGCAGTTTTCAAACAAGAACAGCGTCGCTGTTTATAATTGTGTGCCAGCATTAAGAGGCGTTGGAGTAGGACAAGTTTTCGCTACAAGCGTTGTTCTTACTTATTACTCATCCATTATGGCATTAACATTGAGATATTTATACGATTCATTTCGAAGTGAATTACCGTGGAGTATTTGTAGGCCAGAATGGGAAAATTGTATTCCAGCGAATATTGAAATATCTGAGAATGCAACTTGGCCAAGTGATGCGAGATCATCAGCTGAATTATATTTTTTAAAAGATGTTATTCAAGCAAAAGACAACATTTTGGATGGAACTGGTTGGCCAGTGTGGAATTTGGTAGGATTTCTGGCACTTTCATGGTTTATTGTGTTTTTAGTGCTTATGAAAGGAATTAAAAGTGCAGGGAAAGCTTCTTACGTTTTAGCAATCTTTCCTTATACGATTTTATTGGTTCTTCTGATTAGAAGTTTAACACTTCCTGGCGCTTTCAAGGGAGTTCAATATTTCTTTACACCTCAATGGGAAAAAATTGTTCAACCCTCAGTTTGGTATGCAGCAGTCACTCAAGTTTTCTTCTCTTTAAATATTTTCTTCGGCAATATTGTGATGTACGCGAGTTACAATAGATTTGATAACAAACTTTATAGAGATGTGAATATTGTGACGTCATTAGATATGTTTACGTCACTTCTAGCTGGTTGCACAATTTTCGGGATTTTCGGCCATCTCGCACATGAGTTGGGAGTTGAAGATGTGTCAACAGTTGTTGCACCAGGACCTGGATTGGCTTTCATTTCTTATCCATTTGCTATTTCAAGATTCACTTTTGCTCCACAATTATTTTCTGCAATATTTTTCATTATGCTTTATGTTCTTGGAGTTGGCACAAGTGTGGCTGTGACTTCAACTGTTACAACAATTATAAAAGATAATTTCCCGAATGTGAAAATTTGGCAAGCAGTTCTTAGTGTTGCTGTGATCGGGACAATAATTGGTTCAGTTTATTTAACACCGGTATTAAAAAATGCTTTGAAATTGAAAGAAATTCTTAACGATTCATACCTTTCTAGGGTGGTCAATCTGTTCTTGAATTGGTTGACTTTTATGGATCAACTTTCGTTGCTTTCATTTTAGCAATTGCAGAACTTGTTGGATTCTGTTACATTTATGGAGTGAATCGATTGTTGAATGACGTCAATTTCATGCTTGGATATCATCCGAACTTTTTCTGGAAGATCTGCTGGGGGTTCATCACACCAATTTTGATTGCAGCAATTGCAATTTATTTCTTCATTTTCTTCGAGATACCAACAGATGGTCATTACGAGTATCCAGCTGTGGCACATGTGATTGGATGGTGTTTGACTGCGATTGGCCTGATTCCATTTCCATTATTTGCTTTTTATAGAATTTACTACAGAAAAGGAGACACTTGGTGGGAGGTAAGACTTGACTATTCAAATTTTCCTTTTCATTACATAAAATTTATTTCAGAAAATTAAATCAGCATTTAAGCCAGCAGAGTCTTGGGGGCCACGAGATCCTATTTTGTTGAAAAAATACAAGGAATCACTTTACTCATCTGAATGATTCTCTTAAATTACTGTTTTAATTTTAATGACTTAATTGAATTAATTTAACAGAGAAATGACCAATAGGAGTTTAAATGTTTGAGAAAAATAACATTAAAAAGCATTCTAATGAATTCTTTTATTCTACATATCTACTTCACCAAAACGTTGAATTGAACTTTTAGACATGTTTTTTATTCATTAAATGTTTAATCAAATGGCTCATAAATAATTCCATTCTCTCCACGATTAAAAGGCGCATCAGCATTTGTTTGCAAGAAATAATTACCATGCAGTTGAGGATTGGCATCAATTCCCATGTAAGCTTCGGCATTGTCAGGATTAAAGTCACATTGATTGTCCTTGAAATGTTTCCATGAAAGACAAGAGATGGAATGAAATGTTCTGAAGTCTAGTGATCGAACAGATTCTGCGTAATATTTCCAAGATCGTCGATGTGAACAAAAATCTAAAAAATTAAATCACGTTGAAACGAAAATCATGTAAAGAATTTTCTTAAATAAATTCACTTTGTTCATCATAAACATCCACATTTGCTGGTGGACAGTTCGGTTGGTTTTTACCGCCATTAGGCCAGAAATCAACTGAACCACATGAGACTGGAGCTCCAAAGAAATTGCTGTCAGTGTGAATAACATCAACGAATTCTCCTAAAATTATTAAATTAATAAATAAAATAAATGATTTTATTGAATTGTTTTTCTACCGTCATCTCTGTTCAATGGACTGTTGAATATCGAACCAATTCCGTAAAACAAAGGATAAGATGGATCAAGAGCTGTTATTCTTTTGATTTTAAATGTTTTATTTGAATGTTTGAAGACATTTCGGCCAATAATACCAACAAGATGACCACCAAGTGAATGACCAATTAAATGAAAGTTTTCCAACTTAAATCCTGATTCTTTCATTTTCAAAAGGACTTTTCCAATAATTTCGCCGATTTGATAAGAGCTCGGAATGGCTTCAAAAGCGTAATTGGCATTGGAATATTTTGACCATTCAACAACGAGAATGTTGTGATCACCTCTTTCGATATAAGACTCGACGAGAGTTTGCGTACTTTTTGATTTGTATTTTTCAGTGAATCCATAAACGTACACAACAGTTGGCTTATTGTTGTCATACTTTAAATGATTTAAAAGTTTTTCTGCTTCATTCATTTGGAAGTCTTCAAAAGATTTTGTGTCTGGTCTGTAATATTTATTCATGGAATTAAAAAGCGTTTAATGAAACCTTCTTAATGAACTCTTAAATTTCACCCATTAATGAAACGAAACCTCAATTCCTTGAACTCTTCGACAATTCCAATATTTAGTGCAAACAAAAAGTTCACGCAAAACCAAAAAATACAAAAAGCTTGAACAGTTGTCGACATTGTCCTAAAATGACTGAAAAAATACTTTAGAGTATTGAACAATATTTTTTGAAGATGACAGTTTTGTTGTCGAAAAAGCTATTAAAAGGTAGATAACTTCACATTAAAAGTAAACTGTATGAAAGTATTTTCACGTTGTTTACTCGTTAATTGTTTCAATTATTTAGCATTTATTTAAAAGTTTAAAATATTTTGGTTTTTTATTCTTATGAACGTATAATAAAAAATTGTTATCATTGACTAACTTTTATAATATTTAAAATTAAAATATAAACTGCAATTGAATAAAAAAGATTTAAAACATTTTTAATATATTTATTTAATTCAATTAAAGTTGTTAAACAGTCGGAAACGTTCTTTTATTTTATATCTCGTTCTCGATCGTTATCGCTTGGATTGTAATGAATTCCGAAAAGTCCTCGTGAGAATGGCGGGTGCATATTAGTTTGGAGATAATAGTTTCCAAATAATCTTTATAAAACAAATTATTCAATCAGATTTATTTTATAACATAGTCAACTACCTACTTTGGATTTGCATCAATTCCCATATTACCAAGAGGTGGTTTAACACTGCAATTAAGAATTTTAAAATCTTCGAAACTCTCACATTTTATTGCATCAAATTTCAAGTCAAACGATGCAACACTTTCAGCAAAAAACTTCCAACTTCTTGAATGATCACAACGGTGATCAGTTGTAAGTCTACATCCAGGTTGATAAGATCCACCATTTGGCCAGAAGTCGACATTCCCACTCGAAACAGATGCACCAAGTAAAAGTGCATCGCTGTGAATAATATCAACGAACTAAAATTATTTTTGATGTCTCATTTCGTCCTTAAAATGTTTTTCTTTAATTACTTCAGCATCAAAAAAAGTTAAATGAGTTGGCAAGAAGATTAAATCTTCATAGAAAAGTGGTTTGGCTGGATCGAGTGCTGTAATTCTTGCAAGCTTAGACCTTCCTCTAGAAAGAGCTATCATCCACCTACCGATGTAGCCAGCCATTTGTCCACCCAAAGAATGTCCAACAACTTTATGAAAAACGTAAATTTTAGTTACATTCTCAAACATTGAAACAATTTTTTTCATACCATGAAAGTTTTTCAGCTCCAAAACTTTTTGTTCAACTAAATTGAAAATATTTTCTCCAACTAATTTTCCAATCTGATTGATTTTATTGAGAATAAAAACTGTTATTGAATATTTTACCATTTTTACCTTAACTAAGTTGGGAACAGCATCAGTTACATAACTTCCATTAGAATATTCAGACCAATCTAATACTAAAATATTGTAAGTTGATCGTTTGGTGTAAGCATTAACGATTGTTTCAACACTTTCCGATGTCATATTTTCTCTAAATCCGTGAATATAAAAAACAGTTTTGTGATTTATATTAAACTTCTCATGACTGGAAAGTGATTCAAGTGTAACTAATGAAAATGTATCAAAATCCATTGTGGTTTCTCCGAAATAAAAATTAATTTTTAACTCTTCATAATCAGAAGAAACAAATTTTATGAATAAAATAATTTTTATGATCCAAAAAAGTAACCAATATGACTTCAACATGACTGAAAATAGTTAGAAAAGTACAAAATTTTTTAATAAAATTTATTCACTTGAATTTCGTTTATGCATCAATTTGCATTATTGACAAATTTATTTGCCTTTCCTCAACTGATAAAACTTTTAAATACTTTCAAGTTTCATTCGTGTTTCTCTTATATTTCCGAATAGTCGCGGTAAGAAACCCAAGTATTGTTGTATAAAGCAGGATTGCTCAAAGGATCATCAACGAATGTCCTTCGAACTGGTGCTGCACTTTCCACAATTTCCAACATTCTTTGTTGTAACTTAGCAACAACATCTGGAAACATACTGGAAAGATTTTCACGTTCACACGGATCACGATGAATATCAAACAAACAAGGCGATTTCAAAGGTTCGCACAATGTTAGTGGAATTTGCTTCTCATTACAATCAATCATTGCGTTTCTGCGGAGGTTTAATATCTTCCCATTTGATAGTGTTTTTCCATAGTTTTCTAAAGCTTTCCCAGCTATAGAAGAAGAAACTCTATTTGCGTACTCATTTGGATCTAAATTATATTCAGGAATAATTCCCAAATATCCATCGTAAATTCCGTCAAATGTCGTTCCATTTACAAACTTCCATTTATCTAAGATGATTGAAGAATGACCTGATATGTTGTCAAAGGATGGAATGACTTCTGACCTTGGAGAAATCTTCTTATTAATTATAGCATTCCACATGTCGTAACCTTCCACATCGCCAATTTTAATACCAGCAGCCGATGCTAGTGTTGGTAAAACATCTGCCGTGTACATGTAGCCGTCATATATTCGTTGACTATTTCCAATTAATGGACTAAAGATGAAAGCAAGATTACGAACAGCTCCTTCCCATGGAGAATTCTTTTGCTGTTAAAATAAAACAAACTTAGAGAAATTAAACTTTAAATTGATAAAATTAACTTACGCCTCGTAATGGGAAGTTAGATCCATAATTATTAAATCGGCCCGTGAATTTACCTCCGTTGTCGCTGTAGAACAAAATGATTGTATTATCCAAAATGTTTGCATCTTCCAAAGCTTCTACAATTTGACCGATTCCGTCATCTAACTTGGATATCATAGCTAGTGGAAACTTTCATGAATTTTTATGAATCACAAATAATTTAACAATTTACCAGCTAATATCCTTCTGTTCGGATCTTCAATGTGCTTGAATTTGTCAATTTCTTCTTGTGGTGCTTGCATTAATTCATAATTGTTAGCAGTGTGTGGTGCAAGGTGATTTACCATCATGAACAATGGCTCGTCATTTTTATTTTTGATTAATTTAACAGCCTCATTAGTGAAAAGTGTTGTTGCATATTCTCCGAAATTCTCATAAGTCACTTCTTTGTTTCTGCGGAAATCATAACCAGGAGTATTGAAAGAATAATGAGTACGATTGAAGTAATCAATAAATCCATTATAGTATCCAAAAAATGTATCAAATCCTCGATAAGTTGGAGTAAACTTCTTTTCATAGAATCCCAAATGCCATTTCCCAATTAAATGCGTGCTGTAACCAGCTTGTTTAAAGTAATCAGACATCAAAGTTTGGTCATTTCCAAGAGCATATGCTGTACAATTAAAAGCAGAAAAATTGATCTTTTATCACATTCGTGTTGAATTTCGTTACCTTCAACTGCGCGAACCACGAAATTTTGCATACCAATAGTGTGCGGATATTTTCCTGTCATTACAGAAGCTCTTGATGGAGTACAAACTGGTGGGGTATAAAAACGGTCAAGAATGATTCCGTTGTAGGCAAGTGCATCGATATTTGGTGTTAAAAATTCGTTGGAACCTCGATAGCTTGCGTCAAAAGATCCCTTTATATGAACACATTTTCTTTTTATTACATTTCATGATTTTATTCAATATCTGACTACTTACCATGTCATCCGCCATTATTATGACAATATTTGGTTTTTCCACTTTTTTACATTTTAATATTTTCTCACAATGAACAAAAATTATGAGCAATAAAAAATATGCCAAAATATTTCTTTTCATTTTCAGCATTTTGGAAGCAGTCGATATCTTCTACCGGCAGAAATTCAACTGAGTAATTATATTTATCCAGCACAAAGTTCTCGTACTTTTATTTGTCAGCTAGAGTATGTTTGCTTTTCTTCTCCTAATGTTTGATCATTTTTCTTCTGTTCAATAAAACTTTCAAACCATACGAAATTAATAATTTGGTAAAGTATAACTTTCAACAAACGAGATGAAATGCTTTTAAATATCTACCTACAAACATTTTTAACCATAATTATAAAACAGAAACTTTGGTGCAATTAAGGGTTATTAAAGGTACCATTTTTCAAATGAATAAACAATGTCTTAAATGTAGTAAACTTTATACAGTAATTTTTTGTGACATATGCTTTTTGCAGAAAAGTTGTATTAGAAGAACATGAAAAAAATTTCCCAGGTTTTATCAACGCGCACATGTGTGTTTAATGTCGCGCCAATTTTTAAAAGTTGTTTTCAGAGTTTTGTTGCTAACTTCACATCCGTAAGCAAAACTTTTGCTTTTAATCTTATCAAAATAAAACAAAAATATGAAGTTATAGGAGCGTTTTGTGAAAAAATTAAAATAAATTCAAGTGCTAGATAGTTATAGAAATACATTACATGTGAAACCATTCCTTTATTTTATTCAACATATAACAAAACATTCCAAAAAGCTTTTTATAAATTATGGCATTAAATCGTGACGAGATTCTTTTACTTTTTGATGTTGATAACACTCTGACAAAACCTCGTGATGTTATTGACAAGGACTTTGAAAATTGGTTCTATCAAACCATTAAACCACTTGCAACAATTGGCATTGTTACCGGTGCAGATGTCGACAAAATGTTACAACAACTGAATGGTAAAAAAGTCCTTCAAGAGTTTGATTACATTTTCCCAGAGAATGGAATCGTTCACATTGAGAAAGGAGTTGAAGTGCAAAAATCATCATTCAATGAAAAGCTTGGAGAGGAAAGCTTAAAGCGTTTTATTAACTTCGTTCTTAAATACATTGCTGATCTTGATCTTCCCTACAAACGTGGAACTTTCATTGAGTATCGCAATGGTATGATGAATATCAGTCCTGGAGGCCGCCAATGTTCAAAAGAAGAAAGAATTATTTTCAATGAATTTGACAAGATTCATCAAATAAGAGCTAAAATGATAAAAGTACTTGAAAAAGAGTTTCACGATGTTGATCTCACATATGCTGTCGGCGGAATGATCAGCTTCGATGTGTTCCCAAAAGGTTGGGATAAGTCATTCTGCCTTTCACGTTTACCTGTTAACAAATTCAAAGAAATACATTTCTTTGGTGATCAAACTTCAGCTGGTGGAAATGATTACGAAATTTATTCACATCCATCAACAATTGGGCATCACGTAAATAATTACCAAGATACTCGAAGAATCTTATCAGAAATGTTTCGACTTTGAACTTCACTAAATAAGACAATCTTTTGTATGTTGGAAATCTAATCAATTTTTATTGAATAAAAAAAACTCTCAATTTACGAAAAAAAAAATTGTTTAATCGCTTTCAAACTTTTTCTCCCACATCGTCATTTTTCCAGTGAAAGTTTTCTCAAAATTGTTAAGAAATTTATCAAAATCTTTTGAGACATCTCTTGTCTTGTTACTGACTTCTTTAAATGCTTCGATATTCTTGTTGACTTTATTCAAACTCGTTGAACTTTTCTTTAGTAGAAATTCGATTTCATCTTTTGTTGGTTGCGTGAGTTTTGTACGTTTGCTGTGTGGTTCTTGCTCTTCTGATCGATGACCATCGTGAGATGGAATGAAATTGATTTTGTACCACCAAGGGACATGCTGATATTGATGAAAATCTTTCTTATTATAAATAAGCATTGAAGGTATTTCTTGATGTCGTTGGCTGAACATTTCATTAAACTTTCCAATCACAATTTCACCAATAATTTTAAGCCAACAAAAGTTAACAAGAGCTTCATTAACATCGTCGTATTCATAAAGATTTTGAGTGTAAAAGAAATTGATGACTTTACCAATGACAGATTGATAGACTTTTGTCGTATGTTGAGCAATGTTTAGTGTTAAGAAGCTGAGAAGTTTTTGTTTGAAATCATCAAAGTTTTTGAAAGAATCATTTTGCATTTTAATTAATTTAAGTGAATGAATGAGTTCGACTTGTTTTCTAGAATAGTCCAATGACTGCCAATTAACAGGAAAATATTCGTAACTTGATGGAATTCTTTGATTCATTGGCTTTAATCGTTCACGGAACTCATCGGGTAATGAAGGCATTTTTCTGAAATCATTTGTCACCATTTCCATGAGTTTATCAATGCATAAATTGTAAAATTGGACAACATTGTTAAATTCACTCATTCGTTTTGTAAATTCATCACTTTGACGACATGAAATCTCAACACGTCGCCACATTTCATCACCGATTGTCGTTTGAAAGAAGTCAAGAATGTGTTGCGCTTGAAGATCAAAAAGTTGATATTTCTTATCCACCAGAAGATCAGCATACGAATCGTAGAGAAATTGACAAGCTTCAATTGTTGTTTCTGTGAGGTTTTTCTCCTTTTCATGACATTCGTAATAAAGATTTATTTCAAAACTTGAAACATTCACTTCCGTTGTCAAATCCATGTGTTCTCTGATTTCATCTTCATCACTTGCTAACACAAGATTCTTGTAAACAATCACTGAAACTGGTACAGGAAGTTCAAGATTATCGAGAATGTTTTGCAATCTTTTTCTTGATGTTAAAAGATTTGTGTAAGTTGCAAAGAAAATTATTCCATTAGAATGATTGACAGCATTTGTCGACTTTTTCCCATCCTCATCAATCATTTCAACTCCTTGCACTTTTCTTACACAAACTGCGAGTTTGTTTCTGGAATTTTTCATCAGTGTCTCTTGAATCAAGAAAACTTTATCGATTTGCTCGACGCCAAATGTCTTACTCAACCATTTGTTGATAAACGTTGAGAAGCCCAAACACTTTTCTTCATGTCTGTAAGGAATTGAAGCGACGACCTTCCAGAATATTCTCTCGCACGACTCAAATGTCTTCAATTTTAGTTCATCAGTCAAGTTGATTGTCTTGAAATTATTCAAATCGGGAAGATGAATTGATTGTGGACTTCCACTTAAATATTGTTTCATATTCGAAAGTGTCACATTTTGTTCTGGATGATGAAGATTATCAGCTTGTTCATCAAGTGATAAGTTGACTATTGAACATCCAATTGTTGATAATTTATCGCGTCTTTCAATTTCTTTCAAAGTTGTTTCTCGCCATCGTTGGAAACATGAATGAAGCGTTTCGTATTTAAGTTTTGTTTCGTTGATATAAGCAAAAAGTTCTTGTTGGTAGATCTTGCAAAGCTCTTCAGCGACGACATCGAACTCCAAAGCATCATAAAAATCTTCAGGAATCTTCACATACAAAGTCATCGCCTCATGAGCTTTCTTTCTTCCTTCATCACCAATAATTTCATTTATTAACGAATTTAATACTTCTTGAGAAGCTTTTTCAAGTGCTTCTTCTTTTGCTTTTTCAATTTCTTCTTGAATTCTTAATTCTTCCTGCAATCGAAGTCGTTCTGCTTCTAATCTTTCCATTTCTTCACGTTCCTCACGTTCCTCCATTTCCTTCTTTAATCGTCGCAATCGTTCAGCTTCCTCAGCTTTCGCTTTTCTTTCTTCTTCCTCTTCCATTTTTCTTTTCTTTTCAGCTGCTTCTTTTTCTTCACGTTTCTTCATTTCTATTTCCTGATTATTTTGTTGACTTATTGTTGAAAATGAAAAGTTTGAATGCGATTGTTGAACAGTTGCTGATGATGGCATTCCAAACAACTGTTGTTTCGGTGTTTCTTGTTCTTTCGAAATTCCTAATTGCTTCGACAAGCTAAAAGATGACGGTGAAGTGAGCGAAGGTCCAAAAATTGATTGTGCTGTTGTTTGACTCTGTGGTTGACCAAAACTCATTTTCTGAGCGAAAGGATTTTTTGACTTCGTTTCAGTTGTCTTAAAAATATTTTTCGGTGATTGAGAAATTGTTTTCGTTGTTGCAAATGGATTTTGATTTGTTGGTTTGTTAAATGGATTCTCATTAATGACAACATCACTTTGATCAGCCGATTTTTGTGGTTGAAACTTTTGTTGAAGCATTGAACGTCCTGGAGAGACTGGAGGTGAACCTTTCGGAATTTTAAAAATATTTTCTGTCCTCGCAATTGGCAATGGCCCGTTTTGATCTTCAGCATAGAAAGATTCTCTCTTTAAGAATCCATCTTTGTCGAAACTTGAATGCGGAATGAGATTGATGAAACAATCAGATGATGGCAATAAATTTCCACAAACAACTTCCGCTACTGAAGTTTCCATTTTTGATTCAACAAGTTGATAAGCTCGTTCCATTTGATAAGAAGTTTCACCAGCACCAAACATTGATCGATCAAGAAAAACAACATCAGTTTCAGTGTCGCAAACAAGTCCATGATGTCCAAGAAATGTCACAGTCGATTCAAAATCTTCAAACGCCAGAATCTCTTGAAGATATGAAATGTTGTAGTTGAAGCTTCCTTTTCTTGGCGTATAAGATTTCATAATAATGTTGATAGCTTTGATGCGAACTTGTGTAAAATAACGTAGAAGAATGCAGGCATTCATGTATGAAGTTTCTCTTACAAGATTAAAGAACTTGACATAATTGTTATTGGCCACAGCGAAATAAACGTCAAGTGCATAGCGAACTTCTTTTGAATTTAAAATACTTTTCTCCAATTGTTTAATTTCCCATAGGAAATTTCCAGACTCGTTGAGATTTAACAGAACCACATAAGCTCTGAATTCAGCTTCATTCTTACATTTGACATTCTTCACTTTGAGATCATTGTACATATATTTGAGTGTTTGTAGACATTTCGTGAGATTTTCTGTGTTTATTTTTTGATCGAAAATTGCTGGATCTTCAGCAATGAGACGAGCTGAACAATGAACGTGAAATCTCACACATTGTTCGACAAGATCGACAGTGACGGGCGAACAAAGTTCTTGTTGTGTTATATCTTTACGAATTCCTCGAGTTCGGTCCCAAACAAAATGGTACCAGTCACCAATTGATGTCCGGTCATCATCACATAAATTCATAATCATATGAAGTAAATAAGTCATGCTGGTTTTAAGAGAACTTTCAGGACGGAGCTCGTGAGGAAGCGGAGTTTCGGCATCAGCTGCACTTCTTGAATATTGTTTGATTGCTTTTCTTGGATCCATTGATGAGTCTTGATCACTCACTTCAAATGATGCAACTTGAAGACGAGCTTCACGCATTATTCGCTCCTTTTCTGGACACATATCTTTGCATGTTCCTTTTGTACTTGGTGCTTTGTTAATGTCGGTTGTCTTACCAACAATTAGACGATAAAGCTTGTCACGAGTGTCAAGTACTTGAAGTCTAAATAAAATTTATTACAAATTTGAATTAAATATGTAGTTGAACTTTTCCACTTACTTCTCTTCAGCTGTTCGTGCTGGTTTTCTCAGAAGATTTTCTAACTCAACACGAGCCGCATTCACTAGCTTTGAATCAACTGACACTGATATAGATAAAGGTTCTGTTTTTGATTTTAATGCTTGGAGAATTCTTGGTTTCATCAATGCTTGAGGATTGCGGATAAATGTTTCCATACCTTAACAAATTTTATTAATTAATAGAGAGGAATTTTTGAAATTATATAAAATTCACCTGGTTTCGCCTGTGTTCTAATTCCAGATGGATACATTAAATCTAACTCTGATTGCACATCTGGATTGAGAAATTCTGGTTCAGGTGTTGCTGGCTTCTGTGGCGTTGGAAATATTTTAAAGTTTGCTTGATAGTTAAGTGCTTGTTGTGCTGATTCAATTGTTTCATATTCAACTGTACATTCTAATCGTTTAGGGCGAAAAATGATTCGCTTTACTGTTCCAAATTGACTGAAGAATTCTTTTGCTACTTGTTTGTCAACGATGAAAGTTTCTGGCAAATTACTTGCGCTATAATTAAATAATTGTTATTATTGTCATTTGTTTCGAATAGTTTTTTTCCAACCTGACACTCTTTGTTTGGATCTGATCATTTGGGATATTTTCTTGCTCCATGTTTAATCATTTACTAAATTTAATTTTACTGATTGGAAAATGTGAACTTTTCCGGTTTTGTAAACAATGAGGGTGAGTGCCGTTATTGCAATTCGCTATTTTTAGAATAACCGTTACAACCGGTTGAGAGTGCGTTCAAAGTTGCTTGAATTTAAAGAGTTCTCTACATAAAAAAATTCTTGGATTCTAAAGATTTTAATTTTTCGCAATTAAATCAGAAAAACAAAAGATTAAAATAAAATATTCGATAAATATATCAACAGCTTGTTACGAGGAACATAAGAAAAAATTAAAATTCGAAGAATTTCCGGGTTATAAACGAATTGAAAAAATCGATCACGGAAATTTTCACAAGTTGATAAAAGTATGGCGGACAAACAAGATGATTCACTTTATCCTATCGCAGTTTTAATCGACGAATTAAAGAATGAAGATATTCAGGTGAGTCACAATCTATTACTATAATAATAGAAAAGCTTTATCAGTTTATCTCGCTTTAGCTTCGATTAAACTCAATCAAGAAACTTTCAACAATTGCTTTGGCTTTGGGTGAAGAACGAACAAGAACTGAATTAGTTCCGTTTTTGACTGAGACGATTTATGACGAAGATGAAGTTTTATTGGCATTGGCAGAACAATTGGGCACTTTCACAAGTAAATTTATGATGATTTTTGAGTGTCCTTGAATTTAATTTTATAATTTTTTTTCATGTTTTCTTGTAATAAAAAAAAAGATCTCGTCGGCGGTCCTGAATACGCAATGTATTTGATTCCACCACTTGAAAGTTTATCGACAGTGGAAGAAACTGTAGTACGAGACAAAGCTGTTGAGTCTTTACGTAGTGTTGCCGCTCAACACAGTGCTCATGATCTGGAAGTTCACGTGATTCCAACACTTCAGCGTTTGGTGTCTGGCGAATGGTTTACCTCACGAACATCAGCTTGTGGTTTATTCTCTGTCTGTTATCCTCGTGTTCCAGCATCAGTTAAAGCTGAATTACGCAATCTTTTCCGTCAATTGTGTCAAGATGAAACGCCAATGGTTCGACGAGCTGCTGCCGGTAAACTTGGTGAATTTGCGAAAGTTGTTGAAGTTGAATACTTGAAATCAGACTTGATTCCAATGTTTGTTCAGCTTGCACAAGATGACCAAGATTCAGTTCGTTTATTAGCTGTAGAAGCTTGTGTAAGCATCGCTCAATTGCTACAACAAGAAGATGTTGAAACTGTAAGTGGATTTTTATTGTTATTGATAAATTTTCTTATCATTTTCATTCGTCATAAACAGTTGGTGATGCCAACATTACGTCAGTGTGCGAAAGATTCTTCGTGGCGTGTTCGTTATGTCGTCGCTGAGAAGTTTGTTGACTTGCAGAAAGCTGTTGGACCAGAAATTACAAAAACTGACTTGGTTCCTGCATTCCAGTACCTTCTCAAAGATACTGAAGCTGAAGTTCGTGCATCGGCAGCAACAAAAGTGAAAGATTTCTGTGCTAATTTAGATCCAGCAAATCAAGAACAAATCATCATGACGTCAATATTGCCGTATATAAAGGAGCTCGTGTCTGATGCTAATCAACATGTAAAATCCGCGCTTGCATCTGTCATTATGGGCTAAGTCCGATCTTCAGTCGGCAGAACATAATTCAACATTTACTTCCCCTCTTCTTGACTCAACTCACTGAATGGCCTGAAGTTCGCCTCAACATCATTTCGACTTTAGATTGCATCAACGATGTCATTGGAATTCAACAATTATCACAATCACTTCTCCCAGCGATCGTTGAATTAGCAGAAGACTCAAAATGGCGTGTTCGTTTAGCAATCATTGAATACATGCCGTTACTCGCTGGTCAACTTGGACAAGAATATTTCAATCAAAAACTTCGTGATTTATGCTTTAATTGGCTCAATGATCATGTTTATGCCATCCGTGAAGCTGCAACGCTCAATATGAAGAAAATTGTTCAAACATTTGGAACGCAATGGGCTGAAACGAACATAATTCCACAAATTCTCGTCATGTATAAGAACAACAATTATTTGCATCGTAAGTTATCATGAAATGTCAATTTTAATGAATAATTTAATGGTTTTCTTATTAATTGTCTTTGTTTAGGAATGACCTGCTTATTCTGCATTAATGCACTTGCCGATGTTGTTGGCGCTGATGCCATTAAGCGATTATTCCTTCCCACAATTAAAACTCTTGCTGGTGACGCTGTTGCAAATGTTCGCTTTAATGTCGCTAAGACGCTGCAAAAGATTTCACCTTTCTTAGATCAGGCAACAATTGATGCTGAAGTGAAACCGATTCTTGAACAACTAAACACAGATGCTGATGTTGATGTTAAGTATTTTGCATCGGAAGCGATGTCAACAATTCCTGGATTAGCAGCTTAAAATTATTAATTAATTATTGAGAAAACATTCGTCATTGATTAATTATAAACAGAGAAATGTTAAATGTTTAAAAACATAAACAAAAAAACGCTAAACAAAAGAAGGAAACTCACTTACACACACAATCACATACACATCTTTATAAAAAAAATTAATAATATTACAAAACAAGAAGAAGGAAAAGAAAATAACTTAAAAATTGTTTATTTAAAAAAAAATATTTTCCATTTCCAACTTGACAGAAAATTCATTTTCTGATTTAAAATTGGCTTTTTATTCTATTAGAAGTTCGGATTTCATTTCATTTGGAGCTGTAGATGTTGCGTGTTAGTGTTTATTCCTTAAACTTCTTTTCCTGTCACATGAAAATTTAAAAAATCTTTAAGCTCGAAATGAAATCCAAGAAGAAGTAAAAGTGAAAATTTTCGATCCGCGATGAAAACTTAGGAAAAGTGAAATTTATTCTGTTGGATCATTTGATATTCTTCTTAATAAAATAAATAAAGAATAAAAAAGAAATGAAAAATTTTGTTTAATCTTTAATCCAATTTTATTCAATTTCTCACTATTTATAAAATATTTCAATGATTTCGATGTATTTATTCATCTTCGAGTTCACCATCAGAAAGCTCGCTGTAAACGTCTTCAACTGGAAGTTGTTCTTTGACATCAAAATTAATTGTTTGCTGTTCATTTTCATTCTTTTCAAATTCAACATCGTCGTCGTCAGTTTGTTTTCGTTTTCTTGTTACACTATCATTGTTAAAGGAATTTCTTGAATCATCTCCCAAGTCACTGTCATCAAGTGACGAGCTGCTGATATCAGAAGCATCTGAGATGATATTAATTCGTTTCTGATATTGTTTTGGTAAACGAGATTCGCCATCGCTTGATTGTTGTTTTGTCATCGCTTCTTCACCACTCGCACTTTCCGCTGAATTGTCTAAATCACGAGGCTTTCTCTTCACTTTCTGTTGCTTCAAGCTATTTGCAATAACACGTTTCTGATGATCAAGTTGTGGGAAGAGATTCTTTGAGTTTTCAAGCGCTTTTTTCGCTGCATTCATCTCAGCTTGTTGTATGCTGTGACCAGTTGAACTTGCAAGTCTTTTGTCACGGAAATAAACTGCAACTTTATACACACGAGTGTTTGTTGGCCCAGTACTTTCAACAACTTTATAGTAAGGAATGTCAGGTTCATTTCCATCCATCGTTCTCAATGTTAAACAACATTGCTGAAGTTTCGATTTCGGATCATTCCAATCTTGATTCATGATGAAATCTTGCAGACGAGGAAACAAACAAACATGACAAAATGTCTCACAATATTCAAGATCTTTATCAACATAAAGTGAACCGAGAAAAGCTTCAAGTAAATCTGCACGATCTTTCGTCTTAAGATCAGCTTTTGGATTTGAATAAACTGCAAATTTTGTCATTCCAAGATCATCACAAACCACAGCTTGCGTTCGATTATTGACTAACGAACTTCTTAGAAGCGACAAATGTCCTTCATGATGTTCAGGAAAATGTCGATAAAGAAATTCGGAACAAATTAATTGAAGAACTGTGTCCCCAAGAAATTCCAATCTTTGATTCGATCCCAACGTTAAATTTGTGTATCCAATCGATCGATCTGTAAAAGCTCGTGCTAACAATCGAATGTGCGTAAATTCCACACCAATCGCTTCTTCAAAATTCCTTAAATTCTTTAACAATTCAAACGATTCAATCCATTGTCGATCACCGTTTGGTTCTTGTTCTTGTAATGGATGACGTGGATAATTATCCCAAATGTCCTTCAATTCCAAATCATCCATGAGTGCAATGGAAAAGACTTTATCAGCAATTTTTATATCGCCATCAAGAAACAAAGATCCCATCATAGCTTCGAAGCAATTCGCCATTGCATGACGAAGTTCAAGTTCATGACACAAATCCGATCCATGAGCATACAACATAAAGTTCTCCAATCCCAAACGCTTTGCCAGCACTGCCAGATGTTGATTTTGAACAATTGCAGCTCTATAAGTTGCCAAACCTCCTTCTTCAAGATCGGGAAACAAATGAAATAAATGAATCGAAGTTATGAACTCAACGACAGCATCGCCAAGGAACTCAAGTCGTTCATTATGTGTGATGTTGCTGTCAGTTTCATGTTCTTTTCCAAAACGTGACATGATGCTGATCAATGTGTTGATTCCTCTCTTTCTTCTGTTCATGTAATGAATCTTTTTATCTCCATATTCTGGCTGTCGAATCCCGCAATTAGTTAAACTATTTCGTGCATGATCAGGATTCGTTCCAAAGTTTTCTTTATACGAAGGATGAGTTAAAGCAAGTTGAAGCAAATAACGATTCTGAAAATTATATCCAATCGTCTTTTCGAGTGCTTCAAGTGACCGATGAAAGCGAAGATGCGTTGTGAGGACAGGAATAAGCATTGCGTGTTGAACAATGTCACACATTATTCCAGTTCGAAAGAAATTCTTTGACAAAACTGCAACTGTAACATTTCTCTTCATTCTTCCTTGCGTTCTCATCTCTTGAAGTCGATTTTCCTTCGCTTCAAGTTTTCTTTTATCTTCAAATGAAGGCTTTGACATGTTGGCGATTAAGTGACGAAATTTTACATATTCACGCCATGCTTTCTGATATTCAGGATTTCCAGCATAACTCAATTGAGGTGGACGAATGCCAAAGTGAACAATTACTGGATGTTTGATTCCATTTTCATCGACACTTTCAGGAATGTCAGCAGTTGATCGATCTAATTGATCAATTCTCACTGAACATGGTTTCATTCCAGGATTTGTCACAACCATTCCTTTAATTGTGTCGACATAATCCTGCCAATCGTATTGTTTCATTGAATCCATCTCCCTCAGCGTCTTTTGATCCACAACAGGTCCAGAATTATCGAGCAGATAACGAAGAACTTCGCTCATTGCCAACACTTCTTTCCCATTATCTGGAAGATCTCGAACGAATCGTGGATAGAAATGATAACATTGACATGTGTCATCATCACCAGCAAATGAAGGTTTCAATGAAAAGTCAACCAATTCCAGTAGCTCAATGAAAAGATAATTGACTAAATTTAAAAAAGAAAGAAATTAAAAATTCATGTTAAGAAATTAATTAAAATAAACTTACAAAACAAATCAAGTTCACGAATCGTGAAATTTTCCGGCAACTTCTCTTCAACATAAGCAATAGTGTATTCAATGTTGAATCTTATAACTTTACAAATCGGCAATTCGCTTCCAATCTTCTCGTGTGTTAACAATGAAAATCCTTCGAAAAGAAATTCGTGTTCATCATATTTGATGATTGTTGGAGTTTTTGTGAGGAAATTTGTTGGAGGTGAAATTGTAATTCGATAATGATAAAGTTTGTCAGCGTTGTTTGAGTTTGGTTGACATTTGGGAAATCCAGTCTCGCCGGGATACATTCCGTGACGAATCCCAACACGTCGTGACTTAGCTGAACAACGACATAGTGGACCATCATTCATTTCTCCACTTTCATTATGCCAAAGATCGGAATGAAGACGATAAGGATGTTGAGTTTTTCTTGACAACTCTTCCATCGTTCGATCTTCCTCAAGTTCATCATTTGATGATGAATCTGATGATGAACATTTCTCAGCTGGAAATAACAAGAAAGTTTAATAATAAATAAAGGAAATTTAATGAAAATTAATTACATTTATGACGACAAACTCGAATTCTTCTTAATCTTGATGGAGCATTATAAGGAGCTTGTTTGGCTTTAGCACGCTCGGCACGTTTCAATAATTCTTCTTCGAATAGTGTACATAAAGCATCCATACGAGGTGTTGATTCAACTACAGATTCCTTAACTCTTCTGTAATAAATATCAGCTGGTGATGAGCGAATCCATGAACTTTGTTCCTCATCGTTTGCCATTTCTTGCAATTTCTTAGATATTTGTTCAGATGTCTCGCAAAAGTTTTTTCGCCATTTTACGAGAAGACGTTCACGTTCAGTTTGTTCACGGTCTCTTGAAGACTTTGTTGATTGTCTTGATGTATCTCGATTCTCTCTTCTTTCTCGTTTCGGTGAAAATCGATTTCGAGGTTCAGATCTGGAAGTATTTCCACGATTTTGATAAGATGACGTTCGAGATGATCTGTAACTTGGTGATCTTTTTTTAGAATATTTAGAAGGACTTCGAGATCTACTTCTTCTATGCTTGTAACTTTCTCCTGACCGTTCTCTGGATCGTTTTCTTGACGAGTAATTTTCATGTCGTGAAAAACTTCTATTATCTCTCATTCCACTATAACGTGGTCCTTGATTAAATCTATTATGATCCATATGACGATTTCTTAACATCCCTCCGGGACTTACTTCACGTTTTGTTATTTGTTGTTGATTTTTATTCTCAATAGAATAATTTCTTGACATTTCATTTAATGTAGGAGGTGGAACCGAAAAATCTACTGGTGGCGGACATATTGGCACTTGCATCGGCATATTGCTAGTAAATCTGGGAGGTTTTTGATCCATCTTTTAATGTAATTACTTTTTAAATTTTATTTGAGATTTCTCTGAAATTTTTTTTTTTTACGGTTTAGGGTTAACTCGGCTATTATTCACCATCTCATTTCAAAAATTTAAAAACCGTTAAAATTAATCTGAAAAATTAATTTATTATTCAATAAAGTAAAAATAAATTTAATATAATTTCTCTCTTGTTAATTTTTATTTTCACATTTTAATGTAAATCACAAATATTAACAAGACCAAGATCAACTCGACAGCTGGACAATCAGAGTTATGTCGGCAAAGATTTTAGTAAAGTCGTTGTGGTGGTCCCATTGACGACTTAATGTGGAGTGAACGAACATTTTGCCAGTGTTTCTTCAACAAGGAAACCAAGAAGTTAACTGACAAGTGAACATTTTGAGCAAGCTCATCAGATGTCATGTTGACATGACCGACAGCAACAGACAAGCACAAAACTTTCTTCATTTGGAACTTAATGGTAGCTTTGACTTCGTCAATCTTCTGGGTCATAGACTCGGAGTGAGCCAACAAACCCGGAAATTTACCGGCCTTGTTCAAACCAGGACCCAACAATCTTGGAATTTGTTTGATGAGTGATTCGGAAGCAAGGAAAGCATCGTATTTCTTAGCGAGCTTCTTAACCAACTTCTTGTTCTTGTTGAGTTTCTTCAAAGCTTCAGCATCCATAAATGGAACATCATTTGCTTTAGCTTCATCGCAATGCTGTTGATCTCCCAAGATGCACACCTGCATTTTTGGTCGTGGAATAAACTTCAATCTAAAATGGAAATATTTTTGTTATTAAGGGAAGATTTATTGAATGTTTTGAATTAATTTTCAGGGGAGGACGTTGAGGAGAACTCACCATCATCTGGCTCAATTTTAACTTATAAATATAAGATTCGGATGATCATGAAATCATCCTACTCAGTTCGATTTAAAGACCCTGAGTATAGGTCCGTCACAAACAATATTTTTTGTGACTTCCTTATCAATGATAAGGTTGATAATATTACCAATAGTTTTCAACATACTTGACAGTTCCGCTGAAACGCTTGTCCTTCTGGGGATCATAATTCTTAAGTCCAATTTGAAGTTCCACAGTTTCGAGGAAGTTACGTTTCTTCTCCTGTGAACTTTTCAGAATTTCATTTACGCATTCGTAAAGGATATCTTTCGAAACCTTCGATCTGAAAATACAATTAAACTGGTAAGTAATTTCGTAATTTAATATTTTTTAAAAAATGTCTGAATCTTTTGGATATCAATTCATTAAAAGATTATGAATTGATGATACTAAGAAGCAATTAATTTTGCAACTTTATCCATGGGAGAATAAGTGGTTTTTCAATCTTTTAATCCCTGGCTTGATTATTGCATGATTTTTTATAACCTCAAATAACACTTTATTAAATATTTAATGTATTTTACAATAGAACTTGATTTCTTCTACATTAATCATTACTTTACAACTCAGTATTTTGAAAAGTTTTACTTTTGAATTATGAAACGAGATACTTACGACATAATTAATTTTTATGTTACTGCCTTGTGTTCTCTCTTCGAAGACACGATGAAAAAGAAATATTGAAGGGGCCGGCCCCTGGTAAAATAAATTTTAGGGTGAAAGAACCAAATTGTGAACTATCCAAAAAAATGTAATGCCCCTCTCAGAAAAAGCTTTTCGAAACGTATAATTTGATAATTTGGAAAGCTTTAATTAACTCGGGTTGCAGGTAAATTGTAAAAATTTTAAATCTTTTTAAAAACTATCCAACTTTATATAGATATTTTAATGTCAAACATAATAATGATTTTCATTTTGAATCTGATCATCATTTAACCTAATTTGTGCGAAAATATAAAAGTCACATGTCTAACGATTTATGTTTATTGCCTCTTTAATTCGCAAAGATGAAGATTGCGAGGGAAATTGGAATATTTTCTTAGATTTTAAATCTTTGAACTCGTTGTTTACAATAAAATCAAAGTTAATTCAATATTGAGTACATCTACACAGCGCATGCATTAAAAAATAATTTAAATGCATTGATAAAGCAGTCACGTTATTTATTTCAATATTGATAACAAATATTGTACAAAAATCATTAATATTCTTTCGACCCAATATATTACGTTCATTTGGCTTATCGTGAGTTCCAATTGTCAGAATTAAATGATGTTTTTATTTTATTTAAAATGTAAAAAAGTGATGCCTTTATCAAGTGATAACTTCATTTGAGCACGTGTGAAAAGTAAAAAAAAAGGGAATGAAAACATAGTAAAAGCTTCCTAATTGATTGAATTTCTTAAAATTTTAAGACAAGAAACTTGAATTATTTATTTGTGTAATTTATATCGGAAATATTTCCTACTTTTCAGTTAATGCTAAACACAAACTTGTGTGAATTATGCGTCAAGAAAATTATGGAAAATTGCATTCGTTTACTTCTATTTTCTACATTACTTTTTCGGAGCGACTACTAATAACTTACCTTTTGCTCACACACTTTTGAAAAAAAAGTTACGCTCGAAATTCTCTGAGATTGATAATTGCTAATATCACGGTGCTTTACTGCTTGTCATCTCAGTTTTACACATAAATTCATGAAAATAAGTTCTTTTTCCTAGAGTTATTTTTTTATATTTTTTAAAATGTCAATTTAAAAACAGAGAACATTCAACTTTAAAAAAACTAAAAATAAAACCCTTTTGTGTGTTTTTTTAACTCGTGTATTTATAAGAAAACGACAATTGATAACATGACAAAGAAAAGCTTCAATTTATTTAATTCAAAGCAAGTAATTGCAGTGGAAAAGAAGTAAGAAAATTATATGGGTATTAAATTTTAAGTTGATAATTGCTAAAATATTCTGTGTAAATATCTATCTATGAAATTAAAAATTGTGTTGCTTTGTAAATATGAAAGTTGTGTTATGACCAGAAAAAATGCGAAGTTTCAAGAAACTTGCAACAAGAACTTGTTTAATTTCTGTAGTGAATTCTTTTAATGGATATCAAGGAAATTTTATATTACCATGAACTCATTAGAATTATTGTTCGCAGTAATTAAAATGTCCACTTAGTGGTAATATCAGCAAGTTCTTCAAAAATATAATTTATAACTTTCGCACTTTTGTTAAATCCATTTATTACTCAATGAAGAATATATTTCAATGACATTCGCTGATAAAATTCATTCGAATGGATATTATTTAAATGGTCTAAGGTTAATCAGGCGATAAAGAATTGAATGAATGTGAATAAAAATTGTTGATTGTAAAAACTGAGTGATAAGACAGATTATTAAACTTTAATTACATCTTTTTATCAATAACACCCGTTTATGTCTCTTTTAAAATACAATCGACATTGGCTTTTTAATAGCTACTGCTTAATATACTTATGAGGCGTTGAACGATGTGAACAATCACCCTGATCGTACACATGAATGAAAAATAACGTGATGTGCATGCTCATTTGTGAATAACTACAAATCGAACTACAAATCAATTATATCCTAATACAAATCGAACTTTTGTTTTAAATACATATTATCATCACGAGTTTAATGTTGATAACATTTTCAAACTGCTTGACAATAATCATTTCAAATTCAAGTGTTCAATTAATTTTAGATTTTAACAGGAATTCAATAATCTTTTGAAGTGTAAAATTTATTACATCTTAATAAGATGGGAAACTACGAATTATAAAACTATTAGACATTTGGTTCAATGTAAGTAGTTTTAATTGAGTCCACGTGACGACGGTTTCAACACGAATTTTTGTGCTATTTTAAGTAATAAAATTCTTGTTATAAAAAACCTAAACAGAACCAAGTTCTTAATAATAAAAATAAAAATAAAATTCACAGTAAGACTATTTTGAATATCTACAAGGAAAACGTGATTTTATATGAAAGCTCGCCGCCGTTATAATTTGATTAACGTCTGAGACTTAAATTACATAAATTTAAATAGTTAAGGCCTTGATAATGAATGAATGCTTTGTCGATTAATTTAAGAAGAATTTGAGATATTTTTTGACAAAAGAAATGACCAATTCAAAGTATGAATATGCGTTATGTGAAATGTAAGTAAAATTCTAAAAATTTGTCCTAACGGAATTATTTCCTAATGTGCAATATAATTTAAACGTCATTAAAGTATTCTCATTAGTAAACATTAATTTTACACACTCGTAAACGTTATTACGTCTCGACAAACATTTCAGTGCGTTCACTTAAAAATTTACGATAAGGCCATTGATGTTTTTGCCACTTCAGTTGTATTGTTGTGAAACATCTGGCAGTAAAAGATGAGACGTTTATTTGGATAACTCTCTTGTAATCTTCAATGATTATTATCATGAAATTATCCGTTTTATCTTTAAACTGCTGCAATAAATGTCAGTCTTCTGATTCTTTCAGTGATAAAGAAATAACAACAGAAAATGATGATGCAATAAAAGATGTTGAAGAATCAGTTGAGAAAGTTAAAGACCCGGGATTATGGCGAGATCTTGTTGCTTATTGGATGTTTGGGTTGTGTAATAATTTTGGATATGTTGTGATGCTAACAGCAGCTCACGACATCATCAATGAACTCTCAGGAGATCACAACGTAAGATTCATAATTCTTTGATTCTCGATAAAGTTATAAATTTAATTACCTATATCAATTTGAAGGAAGGCCATGGAAATGAACCACTTGCTCCGGGAGTTCGGCCTTGTAATGTTCTTAGTACTGGTGCAATTCTTTTAGCTGATATTATTCCAGGATTGATTATCAAAACTCTTTCACCATTTCTTCCTTTTTGGGCTACGTAAATAAATAAAAATAAGTAAATTTATTTCAAATTTTTAAATACTAATTAAATGTTTTAGTGTACGAGTAACGGTCGCATGTATTGTTGCCATATGTGGTTTCGTAGCTGTAGCTTTTGCTGATTCTCAATGGTTAGCACTTGGCGGTGTTGCAATGACTTCATTTTCTTCTGGCTTAGGAGAACCGACTTTCCTTGCTTATTCAGCCTTTTTCAATAAAAATGTAATATCAACATGGTCAAGTGGAACAGGCGGTGCTGGTATCGTTGGAGCTTTAGCTTATTCAATTCTACGAGGGGTTGGACTTTCAAATCAACAAACACTTCTTGTGATGATCAGTGTACCTGCAGTAGAACTTGTAGTCTTTTATTTTTTGCTAAGAAAACCAGCAAGTAAGAGAATTGAAGATCAACATATGGGAGATGATGTGGCTAAGGAAGATATCGTACCAAAAATGAAAACAGTCACAGAGAAATTAATTTACATCAAATCTTTAGTTCCTTACATGTTACCAATTGCACTTGTATATTTCTTTGAGTATTTCATTAATCAGGGACTATTTGAACTTGTTTATTTCCCTGACATATTCTTAGATAGTAGTGAACAATATCGATGGTATCAAGTGACTTATCAAATTGGTGTCTTCGTATCAAGATCGTCAGTGAACATCATACAAATTAAACAGATTTGGGTGATGGCTATTTTGCAAGGACTGAATGTTGTCTTCTTTAGTTTTGAAGCTGTTTACATGTTCACACCGAGTATTTGGATTATATTTGGCATGATATTCTTTGAAGGATTGCTTGGTGGTGGCGCATATGTCAACACATTCTATAGAATGAGTAAAGAAATTCCCGCAACACGACGTGAATTCGCAATGAGTGTTGTGACCTTAAGTGACTCCATTGGCATTACAGCTGCTGGATTTGCTGCAATACCGACTCATAATTTGTAAGTTTTATTTATTTTATTATCTTTTGCTTTTTACGAAAGCTTCTTCATTTTCCAATCCAGCCTCTGCGGTCTTTCACCGGGTTTAAGACTTCAATAATGTGTGGAGACTTTAATCTAAAATATGACGAGGTAAATAATTTTTTGTTGCTTGTTAAAAATTATTTAAGACTTTTAAAGGACAAAAATAAATGAACAATTTTATATTCGTTGGTCACTAAAGATTTCTTTAAAATCGTTGTTTTAGTCTAATCTTGATTTATGTTAATCAGGTTTTATCAGGGATTAACAGGTGGATTAAGCATTAATCCGACTTCTGTTAAAAATGTTTATCGACAGTAACATTAGCTTTTTTATCATTTATTGAGCAAAAAACAAGATTCAGAACTCAATAAGAATTTTTTAATAAATTCTTAATCTCCCACTGTACAAATTAAAATGTTTTTGTTATTCCTCAAATTCTAAACAAATTCTTTTATATAAGAGAATTCATCATGAATCATGAATGATTTAAAAGGCAATATGAGCTGATGAATCATTAAAAACAACTACAAAAATGCCTGAGAAATTTAACACTGAATACGACCCCCAACAAATTCAGTGAAAACGATTTTTCGCTTGTTTTTATCATCTCGTTCCTTCAAGTCATTTCTCATTTATCAAATATCATCATGAACATGTTAAGTTTAAAGATTTAAATCTTCTCCAGATTGCGTGACTTAACTTCTGTCGTCTCGTCAACTCAAGCAGGTAATAAATGTCAATATGGAGAAGCGACAACAATTTTTTTCTGCTGTTTTCTTGATCAAATCTGCTACAAAAAATATAATAATAATAATAAAAAAAGAAATGAAAAAAAAATCACGAAAAGAGTTGAGAAAAAGCTTTTAGCGTTTCATAAAGACTTGAAGGAATTCTCCAGCTAAATTGGGGACCCACGAAGCAGGAAATTGTCAATCAATGGAATCTCGCGTCTCAGTCTCAGTACCACCGATGATTATTTCTTTATTTTCTTTAATTTTCCATCTTTATCTTTGAATACATTTTACGTATAGTTTTACATGTTTCACTTTTTTCCCTCCTCTCTCTCTCTCTACCATTCCATTCATGAATCGAGAAACGATCGCTGGCGGATGGTGATCTGCTTTTCATAAACTTGAACTTCTTCCTATATGCATTATTATCTTTCAAATGTTACATTTTTGCCTTGTTTTCATTCTTCGTCCACCACTTGTAAAGTTCTCATTAAAAGCAACGAGTTGAAGTGGCTAAAAAACCTTCTCTATTCCATTATGATTATCATCAACATCTGATTTATACTTAATCGACAATGTGGGGTAAGACGATATGTACATATGAGATGTGTTCGCATAACGAATATTTTTTTTTCAATCTTCGTCGCCACAAATATGTCTGACTACTTTGTAGTCGCTAATGGTTCAAGATAACATGCACTTCCTGGACTCTCTCCCATAAATCCGTTACAAAGCTCACAAACAGTTGAAGTCTTTAATTCTTTAAATCAATGTTGTCTGATGACTTTTCTCCCATTTTGCATTGATCTCAACTGAATGAAATTATTTAGATAAAAACTTTATTTAAAAAGGTTTTGCTTCATATGATTGATTTAGAGCGTTTGGAGAACGCGTAATTGAATTGTCAATGGAAGATTATTTAACTTCTTTCCTTTCTTGCTTTCATTTCTTCTATTTATTTCTTTGGCGTCTTCTTTAAACTCAAATTGGAAATCGTATTACAGTTTTCAAGAAATCTTGTTACATATGCGCCTCGCTTTATCTGCTTTTGAGATGCTGATGTGTTTCTTTCTTACTTTTCTTTCTTTCTCTTCAAGAATAATGAACGGATCGAAGTGATCTTGTTAAAGAAACAAATCAGCAAAATAAGAAAAAGAACATTTCCTTGAGCCATCTATCAATCACTCGCCCCAAAAATAAATGAAATTATATATGCTCCGAATAGGATTAAAATGAATTGAAATGTTGCAAAACTTTTGATGGTTTCTCATCGCTAATAAATAATTTTTGTCTTGAAATACTTATGATGTCTGATGCTTTGGGCCTTTCGAAGCAGCTATAAAACTGACACTCTTTATGCCGTTTAAAAATCTACATTTCAAGAAAGTAAGTAAGTAATAAGAAGCTTCTCTCGATATCAAAATAAAGTCACAAAAACATTTCTTACTCCATTGAACAATTTCAATTCAGAAGCTTTTAATATTTACCGTCTCATGATCTTCGCTGCAAGACAATTATATTATTATCAATTAATTTAATCGTCGGGAATGCTTTTTAAACTCTCATTCTGCTTTACTTTACTCACTGACTCGTTGGCTTTAGTCTTTCAAATCCCAATACGCGAAAGAAAGAACAATTGGTCGGCAAATGATGAAAAGACGGTGATTGGGGGGAGACTTGCTTATTTACATTCGTACATAAACATATGAGAAATAAGACTCAAGAGGCATTAAGCCATTTCTTCTAATGATATATTTAAAGAGGGGAAATAAACGAGACCACGAAAAAAAAAGAGAAATAACGACAAACAATTTAATTTATTATTTTTCCTTTCAATATGCTCCATTCTTTACTTCATCAAAAGTTACAATTGCCCCGAACTCAATCCCATCGCAAAAGTTAAGAACAAACCATCAAAGAGCTTTATTGTCTGACAAATAATCAGATTGTCTTCACTTATCAAGGGAAAGCCGTCTTTGAAGCTAAATATGTTCTTTGTATGGTACTAGGAGTCAATTCCCGATTCTCGTTTGTCTTTTACTAACATCATCGACATTAAGTATTAGAAATAAATAAGAAATATTAAGAATCATTCAAATTAATTTTCTTTTCTGTCAATGATCGCTTTCTGTATTGAAGTGAAGCAGGCGACGAGTACAATGAAAGTTGAAATGATGACCATTAATCAACCATGGTAGTGTGGCGTGGAGTAAGAGCAAGATCATTATGGGATTTGATTTTAATTGAAAATGATTTCATGAAATTTCTCTGAACTCAACAACAAAGCTTGAAGCCAAGAAAAAAAAATCTATTAATGTTTTTAAATGATTTGAAATATTCGCAAACATCATGAGTTCATTTAAAAAAGTTGTTTTTAAAGCCACAAATCATGCATAAGGATGATTGTAGAGTATAAACTTTCTGCTTGTGTGGTTCACCGCTCATATGCTTGGTTAACATTGATTTTTAAGCATTAAATTAATTGCTGTGATTTCAATTTTTTTTGTTATCATTAACATCACAGATATTTATGTTTATATTGAATGGGAGAGAATTATAACTTGAATTCAAGATAAATGTTTTTGCATTTCTACATACGTTGAAGTACGTCACGTGCCCTGATTTATTTGCACGAGCTTGAGATGATTAAATTGTAGAAATGTAAATAAGCAGGCATCATCATTACCTTAATGATTTGGTTGTAAAAAGCACTTTTTTTCTTCTAAGCACTTTTTTTGTTCACTTAAAGTCCATACATGCATGATTGGAAAAATCTAATCGTTGAAAATGTTTCTTTCTCAAATCATAAATTACACGTTTTTGCTATCGAAATTGTACTCGAGAAAAGTTCATTGCGAGATAATTTGTAGGCTTTTGTACGATTATGAAGAGAAGAATATATTATTCCAGATGAAAAAATTACAAAAATAACATTCCAGGTTTATGTTATTGCGGGCAGAAAATTGCGGAACGATTTTTAAAATTTTATAACCGTTAAAAATTAAATGCGTGACAAAATATTTTGTAAATTTTAATTTTAATTATAAAATGAGATAAGAAATGAAAATATAATGTATTTAGCTTTATAATTTCTTATCTTAATCATTAAATCATGTAGAATTTAATTTTAATAACATAAAATTAAATTCTTACTTTGATATTTGTAACGGTAAAAATTTCAAAAATATCCGCAATTTTCTGGCATGGAATAATTTTTCCGCAATAATCTGGATTTGGAATAGTTTAGTCGCGGAAAAATATATTCTTCTCATTATGAATAATAACGAAAGCGAAGCCTGAAGAAAAGTTGAGCAGATTAAAATTTGAGAAGAATCCAAATGGGAGCACAATTGTAGATTCACGGTGTAACATGTGAGATGGGGAGTGTGCTGTTGAAGGTATCAATCTTATTCATTCATCTTCAATGTAATTTCTTTTATGTATTCAAAAAAAAATAAATAAGAGAAGAAATAAAAAAATTAATCGAGAAACGCGCACGGCACACGAGACTGAAGCAATTCTTGGCTTAATGATGAACATCGTTCGGGTCCATAGCGATGAGATTCGATCTAATTACAATCTCCATAATATTCATAAAAGCGAGCCACGACTTTTGAAGAATTGAAGAATGAAAAGACAGGTAAAAAGGAAAAAAAATCAGTAATGTTCAATTCATCGCCTTCAGCACGAGACTAGGCTTGCGGTTATGAAAACATCACAAGATTCCGAACAGCAAAGATTTTTTTGTTTCTTTTTTTCTTGATAAATTACTCGTTTTCCTTCTCCCTCTGTATCTCTATCTTACTCTCTCACTTGCGCGATACATTAAAATTATCAATTTAACAATAGAAGTATCCAACCTGGAGCAATTTCGCTTCTAGCTCTATGTTTGTTTCATAATTACTTTTGAAATAATGAAATAAAAAAAACATTTTGTCTAAAGAAGGGAAATGGGCAATTGAGGCAGAGCGAATCTTCGTTACAGTTCTTTTAATACTATGCGCGCATGAGTAGATGACTGAAGATTACTTTGAAGAGATATCTTGAGGTGACAAGTGAATTGAAGACGGCAATTATTAGCTTTTGTTATGCGGGATAAACTAGAGGAGAGTAAAGAAAGAGGCAAAAATGGGAGTTGCAGGTTCCTGACTTCATCGTCTTGTGATGATCTTTCGCTTTCTTATTATTCTTTTTTTTTTTTGTTTTTGGCAAAAACTGATGGGCTCCTTCACGATACATTTTATGGATCTCCTTGTGGCAATTGTTGTTAATGCAAATATATGCGCTCACAGCTAACGATCATAAATCATGATTAATGAGAGAGTGTGCGCTAAGGCAACGTACTTGCTCGTTAAACAAGATGATTTTTAAAGCTTTTTTTTACCTTTCGATGCTGATTAGAAATCCATTAAAGCTCCGACAACATAACACAAAAAAAACTTCTTTTTGAAGGAGGCGCAGAAGAAATTTTAATTGTACCGTTGAGCATTAACATTTTAACATATATTCAGATTTTGAGACTAAGTGCGAGCTTGTGTGTTACCGTCGCGGTCATCATCGTCAAAGTTCATCAACGCCGCAATTGATTTTCTTTCAATCTTATTTTACGGGTCTAAATAATTAGAGTGCGAAGTATATTTTTTTTTAAAGTCGATAGTTAAGGTTAATATTTGAGATGTAGTTGTGAGTGTGTCAAATTGATTTCTGGTAAAGCTTTTGTGTATCTTCGTATTAATAAATTTAAGTGAAATAATTCTTTGTTTGAGTTAATCACTTTTTTATGATTGCGGCACGTGAGATGATTTTAAGTATTTTCTTGACACTTCGACACTGAAATTGAATGAAACTTCCTTTCAATTTACGTCTGTCACATTATCAACACACATTCTTATGCGAGGACAACTTCCATTAAGTTTAACGTGTGAAAACAAGCTCGATAAGAGATTAAAGTATGAGACATTCCACCAATCGTTCTTCATTGCAAAATTGACACTTTAAGAAGATAACATAATTCACAAAAGTCTTTTTGCATGCCACAAGTTGCGATATCTCATCGTGCACTTCAAAATAAATTAAAGTTTCGCGTTTTGCGTTTTCTTCTCTCATTCAATTACTTTATTGCACTTAATGTTGAAAAAGTAAAGTGATAATAAAAAGGCAAAAGAAATATATTTGCACTGCAACATCTTAAAGCGCACGACCCGATTCAGAATAATATTATTAAACATATTATGCTCTTTTAACATTCCACACGGTCTGTTCTGTTGAGCTTACAGGGCCACGACGTTGAAGCAAAGGAAGGTGTTTGTTGGATTTCCTTCTCGTTTTTCTTTTTTTTGTTGCAATCACTATACAGTTTATCTTATTTTCATTACTGTACGTTTCAATTTCTTTAAAAAAAATTAAAGAGAGATACGGTGAATGTACATAAACCAACATGCCACAAGCGAGCAATCAATGCTCTTATTAGGCGCATGAAACGAAGGAAGAGCAAAAAAGGTGCGAAGAGAAGGAATAAATGTTAACCTTTCGATCGCGATCAGGTCAAGATTGGATAGTTATTGCAATGAATGAAAAGTAAACATGTTAATTTTCTTCTTTTGCGGATTAATCGAATCGGAATGAGAAGAGGTCACAGAAATCGAAATTTTATCGCTCTTTAACTGTTTGCCTTCGCCAATCATATGTTGAAAGAAGAAACTGGAGCAGTTTGATTTCTCTTTGATTGCAGATTATCGATGATAAAAATAAAACATTTAATTTTCAAGGAAATATTTTTTTGTTTTTCTTATCCACAAATTTAATTCTCTAACTCTATGAAAACAGTTAACTTTATGTATCTAAACATAAAACATAAAACGTAAAACTCAACTTGTTCACATCGTGAAAGTTCCTTACTCAAAATTGAGTTGTACTTGTTAGATAGAAAACTGTTTGTACATGAAGCCAATTTCCATTGAATTAAAGAGTTAAGCGAAAAGAAAACAATCTTTGTGCTTTGATCCCGAAAAAAGAGAAGAAAAAAACAATAAACAAACAACAATAAAATCGTGACTGGTGAGAGTCGAGCGTCTTTTGAATGAATGAAGCTGCAAGTAGCTGCAAAGAACGGGAATTGGAGGCGCGAGGTTCCAGAAGAATCGTGCTATCGTTTAAGGTCTAACAGCCAATTTTCATGTAAAAACATAAACATGTGCGTGGCATGATGATGTCCAAGACAAAATTCTCATCGAAAGAGAATTTGTTCAAAGTACTTTAACTGTTTTATGTTTTTCAATGCTTGACTTGTGCAATTTGTAATTTTTACACTTTTACCTCTTGCCTGAGTGTTTTGTGAACAAAAGCAGACATGAAGCCGAATCGTGTGCTATCAAGGAAGAATACATGACAGCGATAATTAACAAGGCCAAGAATATAACGATTCTTGTCGAATGATTCGAAATTTCTCGTTAGCTCGGAAGTGAAAGATCACGTTGTCCATCCACAAGCGATTGTTCAAGCATCAAGCTCAAAAAATAATGACGAATTTGCATGATGATAATTACGATTAAAACCATCATTGATAGCTTAAGATCGACCAACATGCGACATAAGCATCAAATGCCAAAAACAAAAACGTTTAAGAATTTTATATGGTTAGACGACTTGATCTCGTGCGTGTATTTATCATCAGGGATCGCAACAGACGAGAAGCGCACACAAATATTGCGTTCTTCTCTCGCTTTATTTTTATTTTTTGATGCAATTTTCTCGCTTAGCTTAGCACTCAAATTATATGGAAGTTGTTTACGATCAAAAGAAAATTACAACTTCTCAATTTAACTACTGTTCGCTTTTGCCTTCTTCCTTTATCAATATCTTTGTTTTGTTATGATCTCTCTAGTTAAAAGAAGAACTAAACAACGAAACATTGCACATATGAGAAATTGCCTCGCCTTTCATGTTGGTGGTTGATTTAAGTAAAAGTTGAATTAATGCCTCGAGTATCTTAATGATGTTTTTGTAAATTGCATTTTAATAATCGCATACAAAGAACGTTTAAAATGTGATACATTCTGCTGCATGTCTTTCAAAAGAGTAAATAAAATTCCAGGACATCTGCAAACTTCACAACAACTTTTCAACTCTTTCTTTGTTGTTAAATGTAAGTGAGTGGAATGAAATTGACAGTTGTAAAAGCTGCTGACTTTTCTTTCTCATCCAGCTTCTGAGTAGGAATTCAACGTTATTTGATATGTAATGCTAGCAAAGTAAAGAGGGAGGCAAAGAATATAAACATTTTGATTAATTACTTGTAAATGCTTTTCAAGCTGACAAACTTTGCATGGAATTCAAGCATTTCATGATTGTTGCTTTGTAGCGCGTAAATATGCGAAAGGAGACGAGAAATAAAGAAGAAATCCAAAACCCAGCATCACATAATGACATGCAAGGACTGAATTAGACTGGTTTTTGTTGCTTTGGGCTACTATAGAGTTCATGAATGACTCGTCTTCCAACGCGTCTCCCGGCGTGTTATTCAGCAACATGGAACTCAGTTTCCTCGCACAAATAATTACACGTTTGTTCTCCGAAAATATGCTTCAGTAAAAAGACAAGCATGCATATTGTGCAACGAGTGAATGTACACACGAGCTTTAAGAATTTCAGAAGAATAATAAAATGCTTAATTCGATGCTGATTACGGTTCATATTTATTTTAACATGGCTAACATCTGACCGTATTAAACAAGCGAAGCAAGCGAATAAAGTCAATGCCATAAATCACGATACATTAATCTTTCTTTCTTTTATTCTGATCTTGTTATTTCGGAGGTGCTTGAGGTAAATAAACTTTACAGAATTCATATTTCATATTTGATTTATTTTCCTTCTCAGTTTTAAACGCCATACGCTATGATATTCTTTGGAGATGAAATCACGGTCGACGGATTTCAGCCACTGGAATTCGGGAGCTGACGTGCTTTATCATGACGGACACAAACAGCGAAACATGCCTTCTTGACATGACTGTCTAATGCTACTTAGTTATGCGTCTGGATTAAAAAATTTTATCTCAACTCTTGACCGATCAAACATTTTTCAATATTCCCCTTCTCCATTCCCATTCTAAATCTCCCGCTGACTCAAATATCCGCTCCTGGTCATTCGATGAATTGAACGAAAATTATTTCGTTAAATCTTGTGACATTTATCATCTGAATGTTTCACTAGTTAAGCTCCATAGAGCAGTCACAAAGCGCCGAATATTTCTTTACAAAAAATATGCCTTTTCGATGTTATCTGCATTGTACATCAAGCTGTGAGGCATTATTATCTTTTTTTTGGTCTTTTCAAAGTCTTCTCTCTTTCTCACTCCTTCTTTTTTTTGTCGCTCGAGCTGTTTAATAATTTGTTTCTGTTTGATTTGATTTACTGCCTAATTTTAAACCTGCTACATCAGATGATAACTGTTTCGTTCATAATTAAGACATTTCATTAGAAGTGATTTTTGTTGATGTTTAAATTGCAATAACAGTTGGTGATATTCCATTTAAAGTGATAGAAAATGTCAGACTTACTTTTATTCACATATGTTACACACAATAAATGTTCTGCTCTGATTTTTCTTTAAACTGCAGATGCATTATGGTCAAAACATTTATTTTTTTCTTTCTTTCATCTTCCATATGCAAAATACCTTCAATTGCATTTAGCAGTTGTGTTCTGCTTTCTATTTTATTTTTTATTTTGTTTTCTTCTACTTTTATTCGCGTGAAAATCACCAAACGGCAATTGGAAACAATTTCTATAAATCGATCAACATAACATTATTGGCTTGCATGAAACATGAACAGTGAATATTGTTTTGCTTGCGGCTGTTTACAGGTCGGGTTAAGTTGCTAACTATTCTATTTCAACTCACTAGCAATAAACAGCACGAAAGAACTGGAAGTGACGATAATTTGTTGCCACGCTTTGCGAGTATTTGCGGCTTCACTATGAGCTTTCATAATTTCATAACTCAACCAAACATAAATACTTGGAATATGCGTGACGATTATCGTGATAGAAATCATCGCATACATACACGTTCTTTATTCAAGAAAAGTTAGAAAGTTTTCCATGAATATCGTTTGGATTTATATTTTATTACTTACAAACGTTTAGAACCTTTTGACGACTCTACAAGCCTGTATTTAGCTTTTTTATGATTACATTTTTGCTATTAAAAGCAAATGATAGAATTATTTTAATTCAAGTTCATTTAAATTTGTCCTCTAGTAGTTGCATTAAACTTGGCATTTAAATTAAGCAGATGAAATGAAAATTGTTTACGATAAAAATTCTCAATGATGATCATCAATGCAATTCAGATTTTAAACATTTTCCTGTAATAACTTATCACGTAATTAAAAAATCAAATTCCTTTGTAAGGCACTCTACAATTATGGAAATATTTATTGAACACAATTTGACGATTGATTGCTCATTAACAATACCATCAAGTCAGTTTTTACATCTTTCAATTTCCTGTTTATCGCTTTAACATAAAATCGCTAATCATAAAAATGTTCAAAACAGGAAGCTTCAACGATAAGAATCAAAAAATGTAGTTAACTCTCAATCCAATAATGTAGAGCGACGTTAAGATCAGAGCGCGATGGATATGTTCATTAAAAAGTTACAAGAAGAAGACGAGGAAGAATTATTAAAATAATTTTTTTTCAGGTTTCGTTTCATCGTAAATATCTTCGACTACAGAATGTACATAGATGAAATTAAATCGTATTAATAAGTTGTCTATGGAAGCGTCCGCGTGACATGAATGATAAAAGGTGTACCTTTCATTTATATCTACAGATATTCTATATTCATTATTTATTAAAGAAAGTAAAACACGGGAGAAAAATAATTTCACGATAATGATGTTGTATTAACACTTGCTTCTTTAAAGCATAATCAAGTCTTCGTTACATTAAAACTTTAATGTTGCATCTTTTTTTTTCACTCTCCATCTTCATCTCAATACCAAAGACAAAGGCAACATTTCGTTAACATTCCACTTCGTCTCATAAATAGCCAACATCTTTGAACGTCATTAAAAATAGAAACAAGATCATTGTACAACAAGTAGGCAAGTAAGTAAGTAAGTAAGCAAGTAAGTAGGAAGTTCGAGGGATTAACGATCAGTTTCCTCCTCGATTATGCAGAATATATCACAAAAGATGAAAAACGAGAATAACATAAATTGCATTTATCGCGCTTCTAATTCATTGACCGAGGTCGTTTCGGGTATGAATCACATGTCGTGCACTTGTTAATGCAAGTACTAGAGAAAATCTTATTATTTTATAGTGCTGTAGCTTAACTGTTGCGATAAATTATCGCACCAGCTACAACTTCATTCTTGCTTGATGTTTTCTACCGCAGGTCGCTTCATATTAATAAGGTTGCCTTCTTTTATTATTATGCTTCTAGATTATGGTGGAATGGTCAGCACATTACAATTTCGCCACTTTATCATTAATGAAGAATCATGTTATTTACTTTTATAGTTATCATTCACATTGAATTTTAATTGTAACTTTTTTCTAATCAAACACTTTGGATTAGAAAGAAATGTAAACTTTATGTTTTAATGAATCGTTCGATATCTTTAGATCGATCACTTTAAAACATAAAGATCTTTATTTGTTGCAACTTACAACTTGCAATGATGAAATACTTAAATAAATCATTGATATCTGATTTTATTTTTCACTCCCATTTGTCAGAGAAGTCATTGGCAGTAAATAAATAAGAGAATTAATGAAGACAGTTTGGTGCTTTAATTAGGTATTTAAATAAATGATTACATACAATGTTCATGAAATGTGATACAAAGTCCAAGACATTTCTAAGAGCTTTCATTGATTTTCACCTGTAAAATGTAAAAAGAATTAATTAATTAATCCATTTCATTAACAGTTAAAAGCTAGATTGGTGACTTACAGTATAACTTCATATAAATAAATCGAACACGTTCAATAAATTAAAATCAACATTGGCGGTCAAGTCGAGTGAAAATATTTTCGATATCCAGTGAAATAAAGTAAATAAATAAATACATGGAAGTAGGTGATTCATGAGATTTTTCTTTGCGACTTTAAGAAGTTTATATTGAAGCTTAAACCGTCGTACGATTCGTTTACAAGATCGTTTAATATAATTTTAAAAATTTCACTGAGATCATACAAATAAGTATATATGCAAGAAACCTTATGTCGATGTCAAAAGTCAACAAGCGTTAAGTTTATTGCTTGCACAATAATTTTCAATGTTTCTGTTTCAACACCGTCATCGCTAAAAGCGCCAATAAACGTGTCGTACTTTGATGTTAATTGCTTATTTGTTGAAGGAAAAAACCTCATAAGTCACGCCTTCTCAATCTCATTGACGAGTTGTTGAAAACAAAGTGCAAATCATCCAAGCGGTAAATTCTAGAAAAAATTCTTTTTTTTTGTGCATGAATGAGATTTATGTAATGATGACGACTGGTTAACTAACTGGTAGTTCACGTATAAGGAAATTTAAGAAAGGGGAAGTAGAAGCACAAAACCATGACCATTAGAATCGCTTTAGAGAAGCATAAAGTATCAAGTGACAAATTAATGAACTTAATTAAACAACAGCATGTTTTCTTGCATCGTTGAGCAATTAATTTACCATATCGTACCTGCTTGCAGAGCGAATCGAATTCCATTTATGTGTGGGGTCATGTAATGAGACTTAGTGGTTCATTCAAACAAGAATTTAAAGCTTCCATCTCGAAACGTGACTTAGTTTGTTGCAAGCAATAAATTACGAATTAAAAGTACATAAATTCTCTTATCGATCAAAAAATACAAAATAAAAAAGTAAATTTGTTGTTTCTCCTTTCACGCCGCTGTTCTTGAACTCACAGTGATGTTGAAATCTCATTTCATTCAGTCGCAAATCCAAAGTGAAATATTAGATTTAAATAACATCAGAATCAAGCAAGCAACCGAGAGAGAAAAGATGTGGAAAAGCCATGCTGTTCCATTCTTTTATCAGAGATTAAAAACTCATGCGTTTCGAATCATAGTCGACTCTAAATAAAATAAAAACCACTCGCAATAGACGTTGAAATTGGTTTTTGATATCTAACATTTTATTATCACTTTATGTTGCTGATTTACAAGTGCCTGGCACAATATGAGATCAAGAGAAGGTGATTTGGAATGGACATTACTGTAATTTGTTATTGATGTTCTATGAAATTCCGTGACTTTACTGCCGTAATTTTCGCTAAGCAGTCAAACAACAGCTCGACTTAAACACACTTCTTCTCTTCACAAGAAACCTACCATCATAGAAACCTTGCCATACTTTGCAATTTCTTATTCATTGCAAGTTTTTTTATTTAGTTTTGATGATTAAATCTTTTAAATTAGTTGAATAAATACACAATGCGAGAGGAAATTACTAAAATTGAAGAACTTCATCATCATCTTCCCTGTTGCTACTTCAGAAGGAATTCTCTTTACCTAAGCTAGCAAAGTCAATGGAAATTTTCTGATTTCTTCTTTTGAAATTCATGAATGAAGTTTCATAGAGAAATAATTCAAACGACTGGTGATGATTGCGATAACAGTGACTAGTAGAATCACACAATATTATTTCTATTTATTCAGTTTGGCATCCGTTAGAAAATTGTTCATATGAGAATGAACGAAATAATGAACCAGATCGAAGCAAATGATTAAGAGACGCGAAAACTTTACTTTATGTTGCCTCATTAAAAACTTTCATTGGTGAAACAATAAATCAGAGCTCAATAATTGTGATGTATTAAAAGATTATGCTTAGATGGAACATTATTGGAGAAAACATTTATCGTATCTTGTTTATTTTTTATTATTTTTATTTAGACGTTATTAGATAAAAATTGTGGCAACATTGTATGTTAAGTCACGTTGGTTGTTACTGTAGTGATAACTTTAAAGCAACAATAAATAAATAATTACATTTAATCTTGACATTAATTAATGACGAGCCCAAGACGAAGCAGCAAAAAGTTTCCAAGCTCTTGTCGGTTGTTTATAAAAACGATAAATCACATAAGCATTTTAATTCAAGCACATTACATGTGCAAATGATGTATTTACATCAACTTTATCAAAATCGCGAGCAAATCTAAATGAGAGGAAAAATAAAATTAAATTGAGAATGATTTATGGAAAATAAATTTAGTCGACGCTCATGAAACAACATAAAAAATGTTTAGTTTGATTTATAAGCGATTATTTGCAATTCACAAATGAACTTGATGGCTTTTAGATTTATTTTTATGTCTTTTATTTTATTCAATAATCATAATGCACGGTTGAAAAATTTACATTTTCATGGCTACGTTAAAAGCGAATGCCATGACTATAAAAGCTAACAGGATTAGAACTAAAAGCGAACGTTGCTCGTAACGAACATGTCGACTCGTTTTTTTACCAACCAAATTTCCATAAATTCTTTGTTAAATATTTTCCTAATTTCGCTTCTAATTTGCATTCCCATTCCAGCTTGCGGTGATTTAGAAGAAATAAACTTAAACATTGTGTCGGATGAAAAATTCCTGAGTAATAGCTTTACTGATTAAGCTTCTAGATTACGCAAAAAATAATGATCCAATCGAGAAATAACTTTTAAAAATCAAACGAGAGCGTAAACATTCTTGTGCAAAACCGGCAAAAAAGCGAAAAAGAAATTAAAAAAACTCCTCTGCAGTTTACGAAACAAAAAACTAGATTTCGCTTTTCAGGCGCTTATATTTTGCATAAAATATGCAGACAGAGGCAATTTGACGTTCGAAGCCTACAGATATTTATAAATAAACAGAAAGATGAAGCAAATTAAAGGAAATATCGACGGTAGCAACATGACTCTAGTTTTCTTTCACTCTTGTTCTGATAAACTTTCGTGCCTAATTGTATTCACAATCAAAAATAATTTTTTACACTTAAATGAAATAAATTGACTGTCAATATAAAAGTCATCAAGAGAAACAAAATTGCATATCAATTACATGCTTTGCTGCACATTTATTTAATTTCTTCTGAATCACTAATAATTTAAATAAAATATTTTATTATGATTGCATAATCGAGAAGATATGCAGATATCATTTGTGACTTTGTTACAAATTCAATGAAACAATCAAGAATTATTTCACTCAATTGCTTCAACAAATTTCTTTGGAACAATTTTTTATAAATATTTCAGTAAAAATTGTGTCAATTATCCGCACGTTAAGTGAAATAAATATAACATCTCCTTTCCTGTTTGAGTGTTTTCTCTTTTTTCTTCTTAAAGTTCAACTTGCTATTGTGGCATTTTCATAATTTATGGATCTTCTTTTAAATTTAGTGCCTCGTTTTATGTTTGCGCGTTGTCATACCCCTAAAGAATGTTATAAAACTCTTCTATAGCGCAACAGAAACTTTTGTAAGTTTCATGGTTTGCATGCTAGTAGAAAGATGAAAGAAAAATAAATATAAAAAATATAAATCGTTGGCTGCACAGTGCACTTCCTCCAGGCCATTTAAAATCGAATTAAAAGCACAGCGAAACATGAACAAATCCTCACGATATCGTAATTTACAACTCGCATCGATTATACAGTCGATTTGGCTTCTGAAGAAGATTGGAACTATGCTTAGGGATTGGTGGGTGAAAACAAAAAATAATTTTAAGAAACTTTACTTAAAAAATTAAGTGATGGTAAAAAAACATCTTGAATGTATCAAACTGTCATTGAGATTGCATCAATATTGCCAAAAGCCTGGAAGGAGAATCACACGATCTTTTTAAATTAATTAAATTATATAATAATCAATTGCTACTTCAACCTTAAGAAAAAAAAACATTTACAGAAACTTCACCATGAGACTTACTTTTAAGCTGCTACACAACTAATAATTTATTTTATAATAATAATATTGAAATACTGGAAATAGATAACGAAATAAATTGTGCTAATTTGCGACTTGTTGCGCATTATTTTGGTTTCGGTCTTGTTGCGCCTCGTTGCTAATTAAGGCGTTTGAAATATAATGAAAAGTAAATATGAAGTGTCAAATGAAAACGAGTCGACAATCTATTGTGGGATATATTATTGGCACGAGGAGACGAAAAGTTTGACTGAAAATAAATTCATTGGTTGATATTAAAATTTATTAGCATTACAAATTAATTTTACATAATATTTTGTTGCGATCGTGATAAAGTTGATTGGTTTAGATTTCGCAATTGAATAAATAAATCTGAATCAGCAAAGTTTGTTATGTATGATTTTCATTTCATTGAATTCAGCGGAAGCTTTATGTTCTAAATTGCACTTTAACACCTAAGCATCAGTCTCCGCCTAACAATTGAATTATCACAGCAGCAACATCGACGTGACAGTTTCATTAAATTACATGGTTAGAAAAACAACACGGAAATCAAGTTTATTACTAAAAATTACAACACAGAGGAAATTAAGTGCATCTTAAAAAAAGACTTGGATATGCAGGCAGTGTTATTACAAGACCACCTGATTTATGATCATTATTGAGTAGAATCTTTTATTATAACATCATGTCATGAGATATGTCAAAACTTTAACATTCAAACATGCATTCTTTAAAAACGGAAGGGATCGAAAATTGACTCATGAATCAAAAGGCTGAAAAGATCTTAATGGAATCTTTCCAACAAACCATCTTTAATTCACTGACCACAAATTTCTAGTCACCATGCCTTTTTCTCTGTTGCACAATATGCTACACTAAATTTAAAAAAAAAGTTCAGTTCGTTCAAAAGAAAGAAAAACAAAATAACAGGAAGAAAATATATAATCATAAGGTGTTTGATCTCAGACCCCTATTTAAAAGACGATCAAAAAATACAAGAGCAAGAGAACAAAGTGAATAAGAAGTGGAAAACAGGTAGATGATGACGGTACACAATATTCAATATGCAATAATAAAAAAAGGAAGCGCAATTTTTCCCAATGAATAATCTCTTGATGAACATCAAATTGAATGCACTGAAAGCAACGATAAGAGTGTTTGGTTGGCTGGGATAGATAAGTGGAGTTTCCAGAAGGAAATTCTTCATATAATTCGTTAAGGAAATTATTTAATTTTCAAATAAAGAAGAAATATTTCTCATTCACAATTGCTCATTCTTGTACAGATATTTTTTTCGCCTTCAAAATGTAAACATATTGCCTTTATTTCTGTTCTTTCTTCACCCGTAAAAGGTGATGATTCTTGAGGGCAGTCGACACATTGCGCAAAAAAAAGGTAAAGAAACTTCAACTGCAAATTGGAATGCTTCGCAGAAAATGTGGCTTATTGAGAATTAATTTTTGTATTCTTCATCGTCTGACTGTTGCAAATGTGAAGCGATGCCAGATGTTGCAGTAAATTTATTTATGCGGGCAAAAGCTGCAATTTTCTCTTTTTTTTGTGTTTTCTCGCTAATTACGCAGAAAGGTTCAATATTGAATAATGGTTTTGTTTTGAAACTTATGAGCATCACGTAATATCGCGGTTGGTGAACGTTCTCAATCGACACATAAAACGATTTGTGGTTTGAAATGAAGAAAGAAAATTTAAATCATTTCTTTCGCTCATAAACGAACGAATCAATTTCATGGTCTGATGAATAAAGTCGTTTTAATTAAATTAATTTATTCAAGAATTTATAAAACATTTTCATTCTTTAATTTCTTAACGATCAATTCTATAAATATTTATATTTTAATTTTTATGATCTCTTGATGGTTCCATAAATCGGTTGAAAGGAGAAAATGATCGGCGATGAAATGTTGAAGATCATGATGTGTCTTTATGAAGAAAGAGAGTGATTCTTAGCGCTTTATGATTTTTTCTGTAGTGGACTATCAAATGCGGCTCTTAAATATATTTATCAGAAAATAATAAAGTCGTAAAATGATAATTAATTCATTTAATGAAGAAAAAGATTTGTCGTTAAAAAATATTCTTTTTTTTCATTATATACTTTTATTGCATTACATTTGAAAGGAAGAAAAGGATGAAACTTGTGTTGAATGTTAATAACCATGTGGGAATTAAATTGAATTATATTTACTAGGATTTTGAAACGCTGACTTTATTAGTTAATTACGTCATCTAAGCAATTTATTTCCTTCTTTTAAATTAACAGAATGTCCCGTTTGTGGCAAACGCTTCACAGCTAGCTCCAATCTTTATTATCACAGAATGACTCACATAAAGGTAAGCAAACAGTCATTTCAATTCGAAAACATTTCATTTCTTTGTTCAATGTACGTTCTTACAAGACTTTTCCATGTTCCACGTACTTACGAGTCTCCCCTTGATATAAGACATGAGGGACAAGCAGACCAATATGGAACATTCTCTGAATCGAACACTTCCTTAAGAACATTGCATGATATTTAACTCAAAACAAACAAATTCCTCTCGACTAGAGATTTTAATGTTTAACACGATTCTTAACCAACAGGAAAAACCACACAAATGCAGTCTCTGTTCGAAGTCATTTCCAACGCCCGGTGATCTCCGTTCTCATATGTACGTTCACAGTGGATCGTGGCCTTTCAAATGTCAAATCTGTTCGAGAGGATTCAGTAAGCAGACAAATCTTAAAAATCATCTCTTCTTGCACACCGGTAAGTAACCGAAATCCATTCCAGAGTTAATTGAATTCATAAATTAAACAATACGATTCGATGCATTCACTATACAAAAGTTTAATGTTCATTGCAATGAATCAGTAGCCAAAGAATCATAATTTATGGCCCATCTCCAGTAGTCTGCTTCACCAAAACTCGATTTTCGATCAAAGTAAAACAAGAAACAAAATACAAAATTAACTTTAAATGTTCCATCGACGATCATGATCGAAATATCTTGTACGATGATCATTGATAAAAAAAGCAATAAAGTTCAAATTAAAAACTCATCGTCATGTTTACACTTTTCATGTTCGCAGCATTAACAACGAATTACTTTCATCAGCTTTCATGAAACAATTTGATGATTTTTCTAAATCGCTTCTTCAGTAATGGAAGCGTTTTGATCTAAAAGAAAGAAAAATAGAAATCTTTCTCATTTATTTTTATGGCTCCATGATCAACGCGGCTTCTTTCTTGAGGTTGATTCACTGGCGTTTAAGTCTCAAAAACTCTTCACAATGAAATGTTACTTATGAGTTAATTAAACTCTTTTCCTCCAAAATGATTTTTCATAATTTTTCTATTCAACATCACCCTTCTCATCTCGATGATTCTGATCAGCTAAAGTCATCGTTAGTACCGTGAAAAGTTAATCTTCTTCTTTTGCTGCTCTTAAGGTAATTACACTTTACACAATTTTTCCATCTCGAAGTTCTCTCCTATCGTGAAACTATTAAACATTCAACTATAACAAATAAACATTAAACAAAAATTCGAAATAGTAATGTCATGTATTATGTGGTTAAAGCTCAACGTGGAACGTGGTTAATGTTAAAGCATACATCCATCTCAAGTACAAAACACAAAACAACGCGCCGGCTATACAGAAACGCAGCGCATAGAGAGTTTGGACTTTACAATTAAAAACATGAGCCGCGATTGGCTTTTTTTCCTTTCTTCTTTTCATTTCGTTTCCATTCCGTACTTTATGCGGTTCAGTAAGTTTTTGATTTATTATTTGGCTCATTTTTGATACCAAAAATTTTTTCGTGGTTGTTTTTGTTGTTCAACGTCCGTTTGTCATTCGATCCACTTGATTTTTGTCTGTAAAGTTGGAACAGTTGTTCCAAGAAAAAGGCTTAAAACATGATCTTAATTTATTTGCGTGTCCGATACGTACCGAAGCAAAACAAATGGTGTCAAATGGATTGTTACATTTTCAAGTTTCTTTCTTATTACTTTTTATTTCTACCATGTTAATGAATTGAATAGCTTCACGTGTGAGATTAATGCAAAATGTATCACGATCGAGTTCAATATTGATATTTACTCAGATATTTTTCTTGTCTTCTCTTCCTGTTAATGTCTTTAACAATTTTGATTTGTTGTTCTCGATGAAATTCTTAATTGTTAACGACAAGACGCTATTTGCTAGAAGTTGCTATTTACTTTGTAAGTAGGTGGATTCCAAGAGTATTTTTATCTCAGCAAAGAGCACTCTGAAAAGAAATAATAAATTAATAAATCATTTTTACCTTCCGATATGTTTTTCCACGATATATTTATAATTTGTAGTGATGGGGGTGGGCACATATGAATTGAAAATAAATTACATATCAATAATGAATTTTCATTATTTCATTTCAAAATGAAGTCTCTTATAATTGAAATATCAGTTTCAAAGTCGAGACAACAGAATTTAAATGAATTATGAATGAAACTTTGAAATGTTTCAATCCTTGCTCGAATAAATAATTTTGCTTTATGATTAACAAAATGGACATAGAAATCGTGATATTAACTCATTTATATTGAAATTTCAAATGGAAATGTCACAAAAAAAAGTTGATTGAAAATTCTTATGAAAATAATTTAAATAAAAACAATTCTCAATGTCGTTTTGTAAGTGACAATTTCAGAAGATAATCCCACGACACTTAGAAGTAACCGTGAAGGTGAAATAATCAGCATAAATGTTGAATCAAGTTAACATCTCAAAAAAAAACATATAAAAGAACTTTATTCTCAATATCTTCGGTCGCGTTTTGCATGCTTTCCTAATCTCTCAACACTGTCTGCTAATGTCAGTGATAAACTTGATTCCATTACCTCTCATTAAACGAAAATATAATAAAAAAAAGAGAACTTAAGTAGTAATTTCTTTTGCACTGCAATTTCGTTGTATAGAACACAAAAACAGGAAATTTAATTGTGAAGAGAAATGATTTTGAATCTTAACAGAGATTTAATGAGCTTTTCGCCTCCAACTTTATGCACAGTACATTCATTAATGGTAATCAAATTAATAAAATAAAGGCAAAGAGAGATTGAGAAAAGAGTGACTTACTTAACTTACCTCAGTGTGTTTTATGCTTGTTGCACCTTTAGCGTCGTTAATGCACCAATTAAATGAGTTCTAGTTTAAGCGTATCGGGAACCATTCGTCTGTTAAAAAAAATAGAATTCTCGAATATTTATTAGCTATTATTACGACGCATCCTTACAAGTATCCTTTTGAAGTTCCAAATATAATCCCCCATCTAAATGTAACACAAACAGGATAACGTTCAAAGTCAACGGCACCTGCTTCTTTAATTGTATCTCGAAACTGTTTCATTTTTCTTATTTTATGAATTTCATTTCATCGAAGTTAAATGAAGGGAATAAAAATAAAGATTAAGAAGAAGACGAAGAACAAGAAGAAGTTTCATCGTCAGGGTTTGTGTCAATAAAGCCATTTGGAATTTCTCCTTTCTTTCAATTATTATTACTATCGATTGAATAAAAGCATTTCTGAGTGCTTGGAATATCTTTATTATTTTTTTGAAAGAATTCATAAGATGACCAAGCAGCTTTTTCATTTTTTCGACATATTTATAACAAGAATTTAATTCATAATTTTTCAATAAGAAGCAACAACTCAATTTAGTTTTCAAACAAATGCTGCTACTGAAGCTGCTTAAAGGATCTGACATCTGCATAGTGACATTTCTGTTATTCTTTATTAACTAATAACACGAAAGGATGTAAAATAAATTCTTTTTCTTACAACAGTTGCACAATTTTTCGTCATTAAGTAAATGGAAGTTTGTCTAGCTATCAATTGATGGATCTCAAATCAAACATGATTTTTGTACAATGATATGTCTCATGTTACATAGAAAATGATTTGATTGTTTCAATGGATGATTTTTATGCTTTAAGAAAGCTGTGAGTTTTATGACGTTAAGATTGAGAAAAAGCTGCGTTTTTAATAAATCGCCATGTTGGCTTTTAACGATATCAATGCACTGGTGCAATTTATGTCCCACGACTAATAAACCGAAAGGCTTATTATGATGCTCCAATAAGTCTGTCTTTGACTCTGCCAATTTAGCAAAACTCTTTATAATTAATAATTGCAAGATAATTGGATTCCAATACACAACAATATCTCGCTCTGTAGTAGCCTTGATGGATAGAAGAATACAAGAGAAATGAAAGCTATAAATTTGAAGCGTTTTCTTTCATTCGCTCAAGAATTTAAGTCTTTTCTGTTATTTTTTAATAAATCACATCTTACTGTTCATTTCCCTTCAGGCAATGATTTTGTTCAAAGTATTCCGACTATATTTGAAATTTAGAAAATGTTTCTTATTGACTGAATTGTCAAAAGATTAGTAAGAGGGTGACTAGAGAGTAATTTCTTGCATATTGTAATACACAGAAAATATTTCGAAAATTTAGTCATCCAACAAATCATTGAATTTCAATTTTTCATCTTATTTAACATTTTTAAATAATTCTTTCATTCAATGTTTGCAAACAAAATCAGTTTAAGCAAATCGTTCCTTTAATTGAAATTAATTATTTGAATGATTATTTTTCAGTCTTTCTTGTGATTTTGTCTCACATTATTCATTTCTAATATTAAAGGCGGCGTATGCTTTTATTTAATGACTTGTAAATGGAGTGTAAAATGCTTTTTAAAAAGGTAGATGGATATTGAATTAGTTGATCGGGAAAGTCTCTCGAGTTCATCTAGTTTGACAAGTAATTTAGTAAAGCGTGAAAGCAATATGCAATATATTTGAAACGCGTTGGGTTGTAGCATTAAAATCGACGCTATTCAACTAAATCTAATGTGAAAAGACTTTTACGATAAGCATGGAACTTCACTTGCGGCGCTTATTCTGTTCAAAGCTTCTTTTATTGAAAAAATCATAATGCATTTCATAAATCAGTGGACTTTGTGGCAAAAATGTTCACATGAACCTACGTTTTTACGAGTCATAATTAATATCTTTATTTACTTTTTTATATTTCCGTTGCAGCGAGTTTGTTTTTGATGAGCGCTTAAAGCGCTACATTGTAAACGCTGTCAGAATCATTGAGGTGGTTTCAGCCACTTTTTAGTTTATTTTATTGTTGTATCGTTACATTTCTTGCATTTGCATTGAATTTGTTGCACTATGAGAGACTCCACTGAGTTAACTACTAAA